GCAGGGCAGGGGTTGAACCACATGGTCGGATGGACCGGTTGTAGGGATCTAAGGGCGGGAAGGGAGAGGGGTTTGGTTTGGTTTGTGGTGGTTCGGTTTGGTTTGGTTTGGTTTGGTTTGGTTTTGGTTTGGTTTGGTTTGGTTTGGTACGAGGTGACGGTTTGGCCACTCGACTCTATCCTCTATTTGGAGATGGGGAACTCGGCGTTCCCGCCGACTGGGTCGGTGGTGTGGATTTTCTTTTGCTCCGTCTGTATGATGCGGTACTAGTACGGTGCGAAAGAAAAAAAAAAAAAGGGAGGGGGAGGGGGTTTGAGTATCCGCCGTTGATTGTTTTGGAGTAGGATCGAGCAGCTGAGGCGGAGGGACTGGCTATGAACACTTTAGCTACCCTTGAGGAAATGCCCGTTGCCGGGAAAATAAAAAAACACATGGGTAAAGAAATTGTATGGTGCGGCACGAGAGGTATCTCCCCAAAACGCCAAAAACTTCACGCCAAAAAGTCAGAAGCCACCCATATAACTTTATGTATGTAGGTATCGCGCTCGTTTCGCGTAGAGTTGAAGATCAAAAAATCACCGGGGCCATACAAAAAACCCAATTTTTTTCTCTTGTTTCACATTCCAAAATTTCCCCGTATCATGTATTCCCGACCGCCGTGCTCGGGGTCCCGTTGTCGTTCCCAACACCGGCGTCCATGACTCCGTTGCTCGTTTCCCCATTCGTCACGCCCCCATTCCCACCCGTACTCATCGGGCTCTCGGCTACGGCTTTCGTCCCATTCACTTCCTCGTGTCCGTGCACCCCATTCGTTTCCTTCTGGCCCCGCGAAAACCGATATCTGTCCACCAACCCCTGATTCACCGCCGTCAGCGCCTCCCGCCCTTCCAGCACCGCCTCCACGTTCTGCATCACCAGTTTCTCGAACGCCGTCGCCGTTTCCACGCTCCCGCCGCCCGTATGCGACGTCAATGTGACGTTGAACATCTTGCTCAACCGTTCGCTGACCCGCGGTTCGTGCGCGTGCACGTCCAGTCCGGCCGCGCTGATGTGTTTGCTGTCCAAGGCGTCGGCGAGGGCGTCTTCGTCGATGCAGACGCCGCGGGCTATGTTGACGACGCGGGCGCCGGCGGGGAGGAGGGAGAGGGTGTGTGCGTGGAGGAGCGGGCGGCCCGTGTACGGGGTGGCTATCAAGACGCAATCGGATAACGTGAGCAGCTCCTCCATGGACGGGCAGAAGATGGCATCTGCTTCCCGTTCCATGTCCGCGTTCTTCTGGATGACATCATGGTATATAATCTTCATGCCGAATGCGGCCCGGACTTTTTTCGCAATCGCATGCCCGATGTTACCCAGGCCTATTATGCCGAGGGTATGGCCTCGCGGATTGTGAGACTCAAAGGGGATCAGCTGGTGCGCCTTGGTCCATTCATCGGAAGAACTCGATCGCGCGGCGAGGGAGGACCAGGTCATGTGGCGGAAAACGGAGAGGATGTGGTAAAGCGCCATGTCGGCGACGGATTCGGTGGAGGCGTGCGCCCCATTGCAGTAGAGAATGCCTGTATCCATAAAGAACATCTATCAGCAAATTCCCACTCTCAGTACAGTATGTGCATGTTTCGGAGGTCCTCGGTGTCGGAGGCACCTCCCGCCGGCCTTGCATCGATGCCTTGCATTGACGATCATGCAGTCGGGAATCGTGCAGCTGTCAGCACGGTGCATAAATAAATGCACACGCACATACCGAATTCCGCCAGGACCCCAGTATCAACCCAGTCGAACCCCGCCCCCGCACTCGCCATCACCTGCATGCTCGTCGGCAGCAATTCAATCAATTCTCTATCCCACAACCCCATCTCCCCGCCCGTATTCCAGAATGGCCGTATCGTCGCCGAGAAGTCTCCCCATGTTTTGTCTTCGAGATGTTGTTTGAAGACGGAGCGCTGTAGGGAGGAGGGAGGGGGGTTGATGATGTTGTATTTGGAGGAGAGCTGGGAGTGGAGCGTGTGGTTGTAGAGGATCGGATCGCCGAGGTGGAGGATGGTAGGTTTGGAGATGATACCGTTTGTGTGGTTGTTGTCGTTGTCATTGGGGGTGTGGATGTGTTTGGTGTCGTATGAGGAATCGGCAGTAGAGCCCATGTTGGTGAAAAGATTGAAGAGGTTTGTGGAATTGAACAGGAAGAACGCAAACAAAAAGCCGCCGGGTGAGATGTTATATACCTTGCACTCCCACCTCTTACACCTCCCCCCTCTCTGCTCTTTTTCACTCTCCACCTCTCAGCTCAGCTTCCTGGTTGTTTCCGTAGGAATTACTCAATGGGTAGTAAGTGGACGGCACTCGTTCCGTCCGTTTCCCCAGACCGGAAGCAAAGCCAAATGGTGAAGGCAGTCAGCTCGAAGGTCCACTACCGATAGTGCCACAAGCTTCTTTCCCCGGATTTCGCTTTTCACACCGCAGGCAGTAGCGGAGATATCAGTTCATGCATCATCGCCATCTTCTAAGTTGTGTCTCCGGTATGAGTGATCAAGGATAACAGGGGGCCCTGGACGAATAGCGGGGCTTCAAGCATCTTGTAGCGCGTGCTCTCTTCTCCCCTGAGCTTTGGCGGACTTGAGCTCTTGCACTCTAGTCTCTAGCTCTTGAATTCTGCTCTGGATAAGAAAGGGGAGAGACTAGAGAGAGAGGAAAAAGGGAGCCACAGCCGCGACAGCCGTCCTCATGATCAGGCCACCGCCCTCCTCTCTTCCTGGAACTCAGCATGGGGCCACCCAGGGCCGCCCCAAGTGCAAGCCTAAATATGCCCAAAGCAATATCTCAACTAATGAAAAGTCTCCGCCTGAGTTGATGAGGTCCGAGCACGCGGCCAAGGAAGGAACTAATCTTTTTGCTGCATCGAAGATCTCCTCGCTTAGCCCACCCAGGGACTCTCCAGGGCAGCTCCCCAGGGTAAGCTCAGCCTCTCAGGGCCCAACCCTTTGGGGCTTCAGGGGGCGCTATCTTTAGTTTGTCCGGAAGCACCAGAGCTGTGGTGGCTGCATATCTGAAGCGAACTTGTTTGGGTATGCCCAGCCGGCCACTCGTAGTACAGTTACTGTACTGGTGGTACCTTACCATCTTACGAACTACGGTAGGCTTAAGGAAAGACGAGTCTGCATGGGCCTTGTGTGGGATTTGCATGACGATTTGCATGAGATTTCCCATGCTAACAAATCCGATCAAAGCCGGCACAGACTAGCAGGCCAACCCCAAAAATCAAGGATATCGAGCGTCGAATGAATGAGTCAGTCAATCATCATACAGCATCATTCTTCCCCCCCCCCTTCAAAACTGCTTGCACGGGATCAACTTCCTTGCTGTACTTAATTTACAAGAACCAATCGGTCTCTAGCTGGTATCTCATTCATGCAAGTCTGTAAGAGACTGCAGTAGGTAGATACAACGCAGCTTGGCTCCTCTTCCTCCTGTCACTACGACCTGTGTCAGACCGCTGTTTGACTTTATCGAAATGCCGTCATGCGATCCTATCCATTCCTTTTCGTCGCTTACAACTCCTCCTTGACCTTGTCCGACGCCTTTTGACCCGCTTCGCCAGCGCGGTTAGTGGCTGCCGTTCCTGCTTCCTTCACGTGGTCAGCTCCCTTTTGCCCTTGATACTCAGCCTCTTTGCGGCCACTAGCAGCTCCAATCTTGAGTTGATCAAGAACCCATTGAGCACCGTTTTGTAGGCTGCCGAATATGCCGGCTCCAGGGGTGTTTGTGCCGTGGCGGAAGTATTGAGCATTGCGACGGGCCATAGCCTTGAGTTCATTTGTATTGCTACCTTGATAGTTTTTAACACCGTATGAATCGAGATATGACTTGAGGTCAGAGTCGGACCAAGTATCGAACGTGTTTTCTTTCACGGCATTCGTAGATGCTGCAAGGTAGGAAGTGACCGAGGCGTAGTTGCTGCCTCCTGATTTGGATGCGCTCGAATAACTGTCTTGGGCTTGCTTAAGGAGATCATCACGAGTCGCCCCAGCCTTGTTCGCAGCCTTCTGCGCAGCTTTGTCATTTGAAGAGGACAGGTATTTCCTAAAAAAAGCAAAACAAAGAGATCAGCGTGTTTCACAACATATAGCCGCGCCAAAGGACTTACTTCAAGTTATCGACAGTCCAAGTGTCAAATGTCCATGCAGACCAGCCAGTTGACGCCTTGTGCTTGTTGAGGCGGACTTGCTTCATAAGCTCGTCTTTCTTGCCGCCTTGAGGGACGGGTACACCCCGAGCATCAAGAAATGCCTTAAGCCGGCTGTCACTCCAGGTACCAACGGCTTGGTTGAAAGCGTCCTCTCCCTTGAGTTGGGCATCATCAGTGGATTGAGCGAATTGGTTGTTGGCTTTGGTCGTTGCAGCCCCGAAAGCGCTTGAGACTGAGGAAGCTGCGTTATCACCGGTCAGGGCACTGCGATGCTTGCGTGCGAGCGCCAGAAGTTCATTCCGCTTGGATCCTTGAGGCACTTTGATACCGTTTTTGTCGGCCCACTCCTTGATCTGGGAGTCGCTCCATGAGTCGAGAAGGGCGTCGCTCAAACTCTCTTTGGCTGCTTGGGCAGACTTCGAGGCGGAAGCAGCGGTGTCCTTGAGATTGGTGCTAGCGAGGCGTGAGTTGCGGCGGACCGAAGCAATGAGCTTGTCACGGGTGCTCGGCTGAGGTACGGGCACTCCACGCTCATCGAGGAATTCTTTCAGGTCAGACTCGGACCACGTCTCATACAGCCAGTCGCCAGGATAGTGGACGGATTGTCCAAGCTTTTTTGCGACTGAGTCATAATTTGATCGAGCTGCTGCGATCATGGTGTCGCGCTTGCGAGGCTGAGGAGCCGGAATATCGTTTTTGTCGAGGAAAGATTTCAGCTGAGAGTCGGTCCAGCTGCGTAATGGTTGTCAGTAATGAATGTGAGTAGTGAGGAATCGAGGAATACCTATCGAAAACCCAGTCCTTCACAGAATGATAGGATTCCGAGGCAGAGTCCGCACTATCCGTCCAGTAGCTCTTGACCGAGTTGACCAAGCTGTTCTTGTTCGAGTCTGCGGCTTTCTTGCTATCGGCTCCCTTGGACTTGAGATACGACTGAAGCTGGGGAGTATCCCAGTCCTTATACGGGGTAGCAACTTTTTCATTCCAATTGGTCTTCACAAGTTTCTCGAGATCTTTGCGGTTTGCGGGTGTAGGGTACGGGACATCGTGGTCTGAGAGCCAACGCTCCAGCTCGGTTTCATGCCATTTGTTATATGCTAACGAGGTGGATTAGACTGGCTCGTGAGAAGACACGCGTACATGTGCATGGAAATGTATATGGATGGAGTGAGTGAGGATGGAGCTGAAGATCCTTGTGACGTAATTGGTCATGGCAGAGCATTCCCGAACCAGTATTCGATGAGGGAGGTACACTAGATAACAGGGGAGCAGAAATGAAATGAGTACGAACCTGCCGTGGTAGCACCACCGAACCAACTGCTTGCGACAGTTGACTCTGTTGCCAACGCGAACAGCAAGACGGAGGAAAGGGAAATCTTCATCTCGTATCACGGTTGATGTATGTGCCTCAACTGCAATAAATCTATGGAAGGGTTCGTCAGAAGGGATCACGGCAGGAGGTAAGCTGTCAATGAGTTACAGAAGTGGTTGATGAGGAAGTGAGGTCTGTGTTGTGGAGTAGAAACTTCCAGCAAAAAACGGGGAAAGCTGTTAGCGCGAAGGAGCCTTGTAATGACGTAGCCGGGCAGCCACGAAATGACAACACACGCCCTTTCTCACGCGTTCACCAGTTGGCCTGGCGCGTTTCGGCCTTCTGCAAAAACTGTTGCTTTTACGAGAAGTTGCGGCACAATGTTCAGAGCTAATTCTCGGGGCTCAAGCACGAAGAGATTCAGTCAAGCCACACTCGTTACTGGGGCTACTAAGTTGACTGGTCATAAAGGCAGATAAGTGCTTGTCATCACCATAGCATTCTATTTCCTGGCTGCCCCGTATTGATGGAGGGCATTGCAGTGAAGATACGTCCTTGACTTTCATTGCCTGTCAAACAGAACATGCTGCAGCAGTAGGAGCAGTAGAGCAGTAGGAAGGGTAGAAGGGTGTTCCCCGTCGCCCTTGGTATGTCTCCTATCGTACACTTCCACCTCGCAGGCTTGCCCATGTCCCTTCAGCTCAAAGTGTCCCGTCCCATCATTCCATCATGGATTCCTGTCGGCACCACCTTGACCTGCAAGCAGTCAGCAGAGTCCAGGAGAAAACGTAGCCAGCAACTTACCACTCCAGAATCCCTTATCCACTTTGTCCTCCTTATCGACGCTTTTCTCATTAGGACGGTCATGCCTCTTTTCCATATCCTCGTTGTGCGCTCTCACCTCGTCACTGTGAGTATGCTCTTCAGGCGCATCATGCTTGTGAATCTTTGGTTGTGGCCCGCCTCCCTCTCCTCCACTTGCTCCTCCACTCCCACTCGTACTGGCCTGACCACCGGAGTCACTCTGCTGCGTATTGTGACCTTCACTTCCCTTTTTGGTAGGTCCACCTCCTGTGCCTTGACCGACTGACGGAGGAGGTGGGCCTGGGTGCTCGAGGTCGGCCGAGGGGTTCGAGCCTTGGTCTGATGGGTTCTCGCCCTTTGGGTCGCCTTCTCCACCGCCGTAGGAGGAACCGCCAGCGTAGAGACGGTGTTGCTGGGCATAGGCTGGTGCCAGGAATGATTGAGGGGAAGAACGGATTGTGGTGATACGTGTGACAATTGGGGTCATTCGTAGTCGTGTCATGGTTGAAGTATAAATGGTATTGATGGGTGCCAGATTGGATGGTTGATTGCAGAAGGCAGGTATTGGGCAAGTAGATGGTTGATGTGTTTTATTTGAAGTCTGAATGACTTCTTTATTGAAAGTAAAAGCTATACGAGAGAATACAGCTCATGTCACCAATGTCGAAAAGTCCGGAGCTCCACGTCAATAAAACGTTGATGACGTAGTTGACAACCGCTTGCCCGACCGAGGGACCCAAAAATAACATCCATCCCACAATTCCTTCGCCAAAATCAAAACTCCTGTATCCTCAACTTCTAAACGTCGACCTTTGAACCCATCTCTACCCACCTCCATATCGTCTGTCCTGGCGTCAGTCTTTGGCATCTCGACTTCTTGTAAAGAATGCATACCGCTCAAATTGTCCTGCAACGACTCACATCCTCCAATGGCTCTGCTAAATCTCTCGAATCATCCGAGCTGACCGTTGACTTTGTCGATGATGAGGCCGATGTGCCCTCGTAGCCCTCGTCCATCTTCAATGCCTTTTCACTCAGTTCAAAGTCTTGGGCTCCATCTAGCCGTGCGAAAATTTGCCGTGTGGTGTTCTGGATGTTGAACATGATGTTGCATCGCCTGCTGTTGCTCGAGTGGATGGTCCTGTTGATCTTCTCCAGTTGCTGAATGTCGTTGGTAAATTTTGCTGCGAGTTCCTTCCAGCGGCAGCTCCTCACGTAACGCTGCCATCTGCCAATGTGGTCGTTTCCGAGATGGTAGTCCTCGATGTGGTCCATCACCCAACTTGGGTTCAGCCCGGATGCATCGATCATGCCGTCAATTCGCTCTCCGATTTCGCGATCACCTAGGTCAAGATTCTCAGCAGTCTTCTTCGTCAATGATTTTTTTGCCCTTACTCGATTTCGTGCCCCGAAAGGAGACATTTTCCATACTGTAACCAAGTCTCGTCCTTCTCCTCCATCGGGGTAACTCTCATCAAGCAGTATTGATCGAAAAGCTGCTCACGCAGAAACTTTCTCAGCTGGGCGACGTCGGATGTCAATTGCTGCTGGGCATGGGCAACTCGGGCAACATGAGTGGTGACTTCATTGTCCATGCGACAGATCTGGGCCCATCTTGGGCGGGGGTGTTTGCCGACAGGAGTGCAGATGAAGGTATGGTAGGCGGAGTAGATCTCCATGAGCCGCGTCCTGAAAGTCCTCTCGATCTTGTCGGTGCCTTGTAGCGATTCGTACTTTTTCGTTCTGAGTATGGCTTCTTTGATTTCGTGCAACTCTTTCTCAGTCGGCTGGCGTCGGGAGTGAGTGGCACCGGACTCGTCCTCTTCTGGTATGGTTTTCATGGGGTTCTTCGCTAGCTCATCCACATTCTTGACGAACCGGTGTCTGGTTTGCAGGATGTCCACGACATCTGCCGCGTCCTCGAATGCGATCGCAATTCGTTGGCGGTGTAATCTCAGGGCGTCGGATCTCATCTTGTGTACGTTTTCTTCTGTGGCGGTTTTTGAAAGGTAGTTGCTGGTGAAGATACGTTGTCGCTTTGCCATGGACAGCTCGTATTGACTGGTCATCTCGGTCCAGAGCTCATTGTTGGAGGTCCGTGAGGGCTTGGACTGACGGTATGTGAGGAAAGTCCAGCTGGCTGGAGGGTAGGCAGACGCGTGGAGGGTCATGTAGTCTGCCATGATGGCGGAAGAGAAGTGATGTTGTTGAGCTGGTCGATGAGTGATGTGTATAAGTGTTCCGAAAGGCGCTTGATACGGTTTGTCTTTACTTCGTACAGTGTATGGAGATGTGGAAGTGTGAAGATCCATGTGGGCATTCTCCCTACTTTTTATACCATCCTAGTGGCCTCTTTGACTCATTTTATTCCCTCAATATATTTGTATAAAAAAATTTCTTCTGAGAGATTTCTTGGCTCCGAAATCCGCCGTTCAGAGTGGTACGCTGAGTCTGTTACCCTATGCCGGAATTCCGTGCCAACAGTTCTCTTCCAGACCATCACACTACCGAACAGAGATCTCTTCTACCACCCTGTCCCAGCTCAACTTACATCGCCTGTGCCCAGATGCCCCAAATGGAAGACATCCTCAAAAGGGCGTCAAATAGGGGTTCCTTGGCATCACGAAGAAAATTTCTATTCCACCATCTCACAATCCAAGACTCCCTCAATCTCAAAATTCCACCCTAGGGATAAATTCTAAAAGAGCAAGTTACGTGACTCACACCCCTTTCTCTGCTGCCGAAGGCTCATTTCTCAAGATGGGGAAAATCGACGCATCTGTTGTAGGTGAGTGAGTGAGTGAGTGAGTGATTCGCATGATTGATTGATTCCACATGCAGCTACTTTGACACTGCATCCAAACATACCACCGCAATGGCAGGTATCAATCCCTCGCAGCTTGGTCATTGTTCGGTTGTCCGGGATGGTGTGTCCTACTTGGCTTCTTCCACCTTTATCTAGAACCTAGGCCGAGAGGTCTTTACCGCCAAATCCTCTCTTTCTCTCTCTCTCTCTTGACTTTTCTCATCTGGGTGGAAAAGATCGGTTCCCGACACGACTTCCTAATACTGTTACGTGGCTATCCTACGGGAAGAAAAGCTAGCAGCATGCTCGAATAGTCTCGAGTTTCTCCTTCGCGCGCAAAATAGCTCCTATTTCCAACGCGTCGCCAATGCCTACTGATCTTCTCAACAGCTCCTGCGTTTTGGATTTGGATAGCATGGATAGACAGTACAGGAACATCCGTAAACAATGCTACCTATCTCTGCACGGCATAGCGTCCCCTAACATCGCCGTCGCGTAGACTTCCTGCCGCCCTCACGCTCCCCTCTCCGCCGCATCATCGACCGGAGCCAGAATGTTGGTATGGCGTGGCCGTGTAATGCTCCCCAATGTCCTTGCTAGCGGACGTTACATTGGCCGTGTCATCTCCGTTCGGCTTTGCTGGTTTGAAAGCACCCCCCCTCCCTCCCCTTTTCACTGCTGGCACCTGCAGTATCCATACTGCGCGGGGTTTGCCCCTCCCAACCTCCTCTCTCCTCCCCAATATTCCGCTCGTTGCTCTGCGGAGAGAAGTCCTGACCTGGAGGCAATGAACAGCGATCGAACGACGGTGTAGGGAGCGGGGGCCTTGGAATGGCCGAAGGTGGTTTCCGGCCATTTCGGTGTCACTAGTGGCTCGCTTTCGCCATGGTAGAACTCGTAGCGTCTCAGCCTTGCTTCTTCGAAACTCTGCTCTGCACGGTTGCAAAAGCCAGGGATGCTAACGAGGACGCATGTAGTATCCGGAACGCCAGGCACGATCGTTTGTTCCGGGCCACCAAAGGTGGACAGAGCTAATTCGCCGACTTGCGGTGGATTGCGAAGGCCAGCAGCTGTGCCGACTGCTGGAGATGGTGTTGTTGCGAGAGGACGGGATGTGCAAGGTATCGAACCAGATGCGGAGCCAGGGAACGGAGGCTTTGGTGCGTCGAGACGTTCTGTCTGAAAAGCACGGGGCCAGAAAAAGAGAGGCTGCGCGGCGTAAAACTGAACTGGAGGTTCGTCGAGGACGTTGGCTTGGACAGTTGAGGCTCTACTTGTACTGCCAGTAAGGATACCCGAACAGTTGAATTTCCCCATCAATTTGGAAAGCGCTGGGCGTACGACTAGCTTTCTCAACTGGCGGGCTGCTGACAGTTTGGTGGCGGAAGCAGCGACGCACCAGGCGCAACTCCTTCCACAGTCAGCCCAAGATTGGCCGATTCTCCATCCGAGAGGTCAAAGCCTGTTGAAAGGTTCTCAATGGCTTTCTGCATTAATTTTACTGCATCTTTCATGCTCGCTCGCCAGTGCATGGTGCTTCTCGTGCTTTTCCTTCAGAAGCCGACGACACTCTTGTGCCACTTGGAGCCCGACATGAAGGTTGAGGTCCTTCTCTCGCGGAGTTGATCTAGCTCTTCCTGAAGCAACGCGTAGTACTTCACAGCTTCAAAATGTGGGTCTTGATTGAGCTTGGGCTGGCGGACCTCATCCTCGAGTCCAGCGATCTGCTTACGCAGCTGGTCTTCGACGGCGCTAGATGGTCCTACAGTCTGCTGCGGATCAATCAAGGCTGCTGGGAAGGCGGAAAACATGCCTTTTTCAACGACGTTGGACGATCGTCATATTTTTTGTCGGTCGAGTAAGGTTACTGGAGAAGCGGAAGACATGGCTCCTTCGGAAGCTCGTGGCGATATGTATGTAGCCTAAGATGGGGATCAAGGCCCTTGTGCCGGTGGAGAGCGCTGGAAGAGGATCGATGCTTGAAATGGCAGCTCAAGCCTAGGGGTACCTGTTGGATTGCGGAATTATCATGCTCTAATATCCATGAGAACTCAGCTTTTTGTATGTTACAAGGCCCTATGTTAAGACGCTAGGCGAGGTGTTGAGGGTGAGATCTATCAGTAGAACTAGAAAATATAGACTTAAGTCAAAAAAGCAAAGGATTTGTACAGACGCGCTTGTCGACGCGATTACCGGATCATGCAGTAATCTCCATCCCAGGCATCCCCTCTATCCCCCCCAACGCTGCCCCAAAACTCCTCAAAATCGACCCCTTGTTCCTCAAACTCCTCCCTAATTCTTCTGCACCGCCTTCTTCTGCCTATAAAGATTTCGGAGTCAGTGTCTCTTCTTCACGGCAAATATCCGAGTGATGAAACAGCCCAAGAGAATGAAAAGAACTCTTTTGTTCCCCAAGCGTGATTCGCTGCTCGAAACGTGGTATGAAAGAGGAAGAACATGCTCCGAAATGTACATACCGCTCCCCCGTAAATGGCCCCGTCTGACTCGTCTCACTCTGCACAATCTCAATCCACCGAAAGAACAAATTCTCCTTCCCCATAGCCGTCAAATGATTCTTGATCAACTGCAGCTTCCTCGTGCCTTCGTCTCCTGCGCCTTCTTCCTGCTCGCGCCACACTTCCCAGATCAGCCAGCCCGATTTCTCGCTGTGGACCAGCACGCTTGTTCGGAAGTCGTCGATCTCGTTCTTGCCTACGTCAACGAGCGCTTGCGCTTCGATCATGCCGGAGAAATACAGATCCCAGTTCTGATCCAGCATTTGGTAGCTGGTCTTGCTTTTCACCCAGCCCTTGTCCACAGCCGGCAACACCCTTTCTCTAAACAATTTCCCCTGTCGCCCTTCCTGTAGCCACTCCTCTTTAACCCCGTCCCTCTTCTCCACCTCCCCTCTCATATCCTCCTCCTCCCCACTTCTCTCCGTAGCAAAGAGCGGAACATCCCACCTCCTACTCCTCCGAACCACAACCTCCACATCCCTAAACCGGCACCACCTCCTCCAACCCACCGGGCTGGCCTCCCCACCCTTCCCCAAGAAGAAGTCCCACGGCCACATCCCCACGAACCTAAACAGTAAAAAATCCCCTGCAAACATCAACGTCCTCTCCCCGCTTATTCCAAGTAGTGTCCATTGATCCGTATTGTCTTTATCGATGTTGGCGGGACTGTCATAGCCGAGAACGGAGAGGAGGAGGTAGAAATAGGTGGGGAGGGCTCGCTGGAGACGGAAGACGAGGATTATGAGAATGAAGATGTTGAGGAGGAGCGGGACGGTGAAGATGCGCCGTTTGAAAGCGGGAGGGTGCGTGTCGAGGTGGATGATATAGAGGTGCGATTTGGAGGTTAGGGTGTCGAGGAAGGTCGACAGCTCCGCGGGCGCTGGCTTGAACGGGGAAGGAATGGGCGACGTTGAAGAGGTATTGGGAGCGGTGGGCTTCGCCGGCGGCTTGCCCGAGCTCTTTTTGGGTTTGGGCATCGTGGGCACTCCCCTCTGACGCACAGTTCCAGGCAAAATGACAGGTTTGCTGATGACCGGAAGCTCGAGGCCTCCCGAGCGACGTCACAATCCCCAAAAAAAATACGCGAGCGCCAAACGCGCCTCTCCAACACCAGCCAGAACAACGACATCCATGCCTTGGAAGTCGATGGAGGATCCAAAGCCAAGAGGGCGCTCCGGCCTCATCGCCAGAGCTGTCGTAGGCCTCTCCTCATTTCTACCTAAGGACAATAACTAAGCGATCCAGGATACAGCCCTCCTCCCCGTCCACGCCGCCGCCTCCAAGCCCGCCCAGCGAGCCTACCTCGGCACCTTCCTCTTCGCCGCGACGAGCATCCTGCTCTTCTGCGTCTCGAGCGTAGCTTACACGCTGTTTTACTACAACTATGTGCCGCAGAATAGCGTGGAGCGGGTGGTGCATTTGCAGTTCGGGTGCGTTTGTCTCCGTGGTGTTTCTTGGGCGGAGGTGCTTGTTGATACAGATGCTAATACCGATACTGTGGAGTGTAGGGATGGTCATCCCCACGGCACAGCCCACCTCTCTACATCCCTGACATCGCTCCAACCCTACGACATAACCCTCAGCCTCCACCTGCCCCGGACCCCCTCGAACCTCGCCGCCGGAAACTTCATGCTCGACCTCTCCCTCCTCGGCCCTTCTACGACCGGCACTCCCTCCTCGATCCTCCCTTCCTCCCTCTCCTCCACCACCAATACGACCACCACGATCGCCCGCTCCCGCCGCCCCGCAATCCTAACCTACACCTCTGCAGTCGTCGAGACTGCAAACACCCTCAGCGGACTACCATGGTATATCCTGGGCTGGAAGTCCGAGAGCGAAGTGCTCTCGGTCAGTATGTTCGAAGGCGTCGAATTCGCAAAAGGTTGGGCGAATGTGCCGCAGAGCGTGCGCGTGGTGGTGGAGGCGGATGAGAAGATGCAATTCTATGAAGTGGGGGTGCGAATCATTGCGAAGTTGGGCGGGTTGAGATGGGTACTGTACCACCATCGTGTCCTATCGTTTCTATTCTTCACCACAGCGTTTTGGAGCAGTTCGATGATCTCGATGGCGCTGGCGTGGTTTGCTATTTCGACGTATCTTGGGTCGCCGACGACTGTAAAGACGGAGCCGGAGACCAACGGCACCATTTTCAAGCGAGAGCGCTCAGACTCGGACGCATTTGATCCGACGTCAATGGAGGATCTTTCCGACACGTCAAGGACGTTCCCTACGCTTGGCCGACAGATCCCATTGCATTTCACTGGACGCAAGGACGTCAAGAAGGAAGAGGAGATCAAGAGGGAGGAAGACGAAGTCTTGAGATCAACGGCAGTCCAGCCATTAGCTGCTGAAGCAGACGATGAAGACGACGACATGTCGCAGGAGACAAGCGGTTTCAGAGACTCGGGAATTGGGACCGGTCTTGATGATGAAAGGTTGGCAAGTGTTCAGCGACGGCGTAGAGCATTGATGAATGGAAAGGACAGTGGAGCTTGATCTATGATGTTTTCTAGTAATCAAGATTTCTAGTGTTAAAGATGCATTCATTTGAGCTCGCCTGATACCGCTGTTGCCAGCTGAAACCCACCTCGATGTTGGCTGAAATACCACCTATTTCAGCAAGCCAATGGCCTATTGCCGAGAAGATAGGATAACCTGCACTTTCTCCTGTAAACAGTAAGTATGAAAGTAGGGGTTATCTACCCAGGATCTCGTGATAAAGCATGTCATGTAGCCAATACTGAGCGACAAGATGCATCGAGAAGAGCCAATATCTGGTCATTCAAGCAATTTCAGACCCCAGTGGCAGAATTTACACCTCCAACTGCTGAGTGTGGGCCAACGGTAGGGTCGGCTGCATTGGCGGAGCCGGAAGACGTCTCGTTCGTTGAAGGATGGAGTGTATCGCTCGACCAAGCTCCAGACGCCGCGCCAGAAAGAGTTTCAGACTGCGCTGCCTTTCTACGCCGCTGATACCATTGACGGCGATGACTCTGCCCTGAAGACGCCTGGTTTGAGGCATCTGTACCAACTGCAGAGAGACGACGAGGCTGATTCTGTGATGGCTCATCGCTTGGTCCATCAGTCTGGCTACTCTTGACAGCTGATCCACTAGGCTCGCTCTTATTGTTGCCACGGCGTGGGTTGAAGTTGCCACGCTTTTTCTTGGTCTCGTGTTGGCCTTGGCCCGAGTTCTTCGAGTCAGAGGTGGTCGGCCTGGAGTCAGACACGAAAGCGTCAGATGTGGACTCCGACTCAACAGCGGGCCCTTTGCCCTTCTGATTGCGCTTGGCTCCGTTCTTTTTGAAATTGCCGCTCTCATGGCTGTGTTGGTGGGCTTCATTCCCGTGGTCGTGAGAGGCCTGCAGAAGATTTCTAGAGTCAGCATTACCTCTTCTAAGGCAAGCAACCGAAGTACGTGAAAGTTTTAAGGAGTGGAAGCGGTAGTTTTGTCTCTAAATGCCAACGTTGTTTTGGAAGTTGCCCCAGATGTACGTACCTGACCTGCGCTTGCAGACGTGCCACGCTGGACACGAGGTACGAAATCAGGGGCAGTAGCGCGAAGACTCTTGGTTCCAGAAGCCGAGCTGTCCGATGATCGTCGGTTTTCCTCGCTAGATGACTTTTCTGTAACATGGCTGAGTTTGGGCTGCGGGGCGGTGGCAGGATCGGAATCGGTGAGCATAAGACTGGCATCGATCTGTTTGTGCCAGAGTTCGTGGAACTTTCCTTTAGACTTGAGAAGCTCACGCGGCGACCCTTGCTCAACGATAACACCATCTTTGATGACCAAGATAGTATCAGAGCTGGCCACTGTAGACAGTCTGTGAGCGACGGTAAAGGTTGTACGGCCCTTGGTCAATATTTGCAGGGCATCCTGGATGTTTCCTTCGGTCTCGGTGTCGACAGAGCTCGTGGCTTCATCCAATAGGACGATCTCAGGATTCTGGAGTATGACTCTGGCTATTGCGACCCTTTGCAATTCGCCACCCGAAAGCTTGACGCCACCCTCGCCCACCTTTGTTGAATAACCTTTGGCGAACTTTAGGATCTTCTCGTGTATAGAGGCGGCTTTGCATGCCTCTATGACATCTTCGTCTGTCGCAGCTAATCGCGCATAGCGAACATTCTCCATGATACTGGTATCGAACAGCGAAGGGTCTTGTGGCACCACGCCGATGTGTTGACGGAGGCTTGACAGGGTGACGTCTCGTATGTTCTGGTCGTCTATCATGATACTGCCCTTTTTGACATCATAAAAGCGGAAGAGCAGTCTCAAAATAGTGGATTTTCCACCGCCGGTTTCTCCGACCAAGGCGACCTTTTGACCCGGTGCAGCATAGAAGTTGAAGTCTTTGATAACTTCTTTCTGGTTGTCATAAGAGAATCCCACATCGTGGAAACGGATGGTCCCACGCTTGAACTTGAAAACATCTTGACCATCCTTGACACTGGGTTTCTTCAGGAACAAGTCAAGCAGCGACTCAGCATCTGTAAGATACTGAACCAATTGACGCTGGACATTCACAAAGTTCTGAAGTTTTCCTAGGTAGGATTAGTGACAGTGCTTGTAGAATATCAGCAAAGAAGACTGCAGAAGGACTTACCAGTGAAGTTACCCCAATATGATACAAGCATCACGAAACCGCCAATTGGTGCACCTTTGGCAATCTGATAGATGGCCAGGATACAAGCGCTGATCATCCCGCATTCGATGATCGTATCTTTGGCGACTTGAGAGATGTAGAAGAGATAATACCATTTCTGCTGTGCCTTGATGTTCAGACCTGCAAGAATGTTCTTCGTCAGCGCATATAATCATCAGCGATAGGAGATGTTTGCTCACCGACGATATCCGCATATCTGGCCTTCTCGTATCCGTGGCGGTTAAAGTATGAGACCGAACTCCATCCTCCAACGCTGTTGTACATCACCTGGAATTCTTTCCTCGTGAGGGCATTGAATATGCGCCTTGGCTCCGTCTGCTGGCCAACAAAAGCAAGCGAAGCCCAGACAAAAATCGCCGTAGTTGCAGCCACGATTAGGGCCATGTAAGGGCCGAACACCCAATACAGGTAGACAAACGCGACGGCCACGTCGACAAACATGGGTAGCACTTTGAACAATAAGGCTTCAGCGATGTGTTTGAGAGAATTGCCTTGGGATATCGCCGTATATAGCTCCGCAGATTGCTTCGTTGTGTGGAAGTCTCGGGATAATCCCATGATGTGGTTGTACGATCCGGTTTTGAGAGATCCCTCGGCGTACTGTTCAATAGGTAGCCACAGCATGTACCTGAGCTCACCAAGGATCGAGTTTTGTACCCAGCTAAACAAAACCCAGAGACTGACTTCCAGAAGTGGAACGTGGCCCTGAGACGTGCCGAGGCGGTCAATCACAATCCCAAATTGGCGTGGCTCAAGGACGTTTAGTGCTCGCGCAAAAAGAAGGCATAAGCAAACTCCAAGCATCTTTGCCTGGAGTTTTCGGCTGCTTGAAGGCCATAGATAAGGTATGAAGATGGAAAAAGCTTTTGCGTACCTATTCACAAATCAGCGAATAGTCAACCAAGATTGACATTAGGGTAGAGCCGAACCCTGAAGAGGGCAATCGTGTTTGGGGCTGGGACAAATGATGAAACAAGGATAGTGCCTTACGTGAACCAATTTCCTTCAGCCTGCAGCCGCTTCTCGACCAGTTCCTTCTTTTCTTTTCGCTCCTTCAGATCCTCATCGTCAGACTCACCATCTGCATCGTCCATTTCTGCTGAGACAGTAATGGATCCATAGCCTGACTTTCCATTAGAAGTATGGGTGTCGCTCGATTCGCCTTTGTGGTGCCCAAGAAGGGACGCGGATTCTTCGTCGGCCTTGGTGCCTTTGGAAGACTTGGTGAAAAGGACGGTGGAGAGCAAGACTAGAATAAGCAAGCGGCAAGCTTGGACTGCCGTTTGAGCATAGACGAAAGCGCTTCGCGGCAAACCAAAGGCAAGGCAGAGGGTGAATATGATTGCTTCGACGACCAGCCCAATGAACCATGATCCGTAGTAAGGGTACCATACAACCGGATTCTCGGTGTCCATGATGCTCACAGCGAGAAACGCCCAGACGAGAAGGGAAAAAAGGGCGTAAACCTAAATGATTGGGGTTAATGGAGAGGACTCATGGAGTCTCGACCAAGCTTGTGGTCATTGGAAAAGGCACTCACGTTGCCATCGGTGGAGGAGTGACGAGCGCCATTAACGGCGGTGTCCGTCAAGAGCATACATGACTCCACCAAGAAAGAGACGACGATCAAGGACACGAGACAGACCAGAATCCTGCGAGGACCCGAGCGACTGGCTTTCAAGTTCTGCAGTGTGCATATGCTGACGGTAGCGGCGACCAGGAAGTACGCAAGCACCAATGCTGGTGCAATGTAGTGTAGAGCTTGAAGGAAGCGCTGCTGCTGTTGTGCTGCGGCCACCACGGCCGTCATGGTTCCATTCATGGGTGACTGCAGAGACACCATCCCTGACCTTTGCTTGCTAATGGGAAGTGTTGTGTGAGACGATGGAGAGTTGTGACAGATTCTAGAGGGGTATCAATATCAAGGGTGTCAACCTGACATAGGTTTCTTGAGTTGTTACTATGAGAATATTCAGAGTTAAGTTGTACGGGGGTGAAAGCTTCGAAGAAGGCGATTTCCGCGCTAAAGGGCGCTAAAGGAAATATTGATAGCTTTCCTGAAAGGGTAGTAACGGCTAACGCCATTCAAGTGGTCAAAAAGGGCAGCCGGGCTCAGCTCAACCACTTTTCGGCAGGATTCAGCCGCAACCGCACGGGCACGGGAGAGGGGAGGGACGGGGAGAAGAGCGGCGGTCATTGCGTGATATAAAGTAAGTCTTTCTGACCTGCTTCTAATATTTCTCATTTTCTTTTCTCATTTTCTTCTTCGCTTTTCTAGTAGCTGTGGCCAGAATTGAAGGGTCCCGATACTGGCCACTGGGAAAGAGCGACGACTCCATACCCGAAAGAATATCTGATTTTGCCCTGGGATTTGGCTTATACTCTTGACATTGCCTTCAATCATTGAACGTAGCCTTAAAACCGCGCACCTGCATTTCTTTGGTGGCTGATTTACTGTCACAGACTCACAAGGCCACAGCACCTTGAACGGCCACCATTCCTACCCCCCAGACATGATATGTATCCTCTCTGTTCCCTGTGACATAGATTGAGTAGGATGTCGAATCCGATGGAGCACCCTCCAAGTCAAGCCGAAATGTCAGTAGTCAAGGACCTTCGATCGCTTGAAAAAGGATATCAACAAATCTCCAGTGGTAGTTGACTCTCCTTGACATGCACCCGTAGACTCTCCAACCTTAGTCGCCCCGGTTTCATAGAATTAGAAGCTTATGAGGTGTTCATCATCGTATGATCATGTCCGAGAGAAAGATGTTGGCAACTGAATAAAAGAAATGCCCGAGCCTCCGGGGCCGGCTTTTGGCGCCGCGGCACAACAGTCGCCAATGCACCTCGCGCAATACGACACCCGCCATAGAATTGGCACGCATTGGAGCACAAGCATCTCAGCGTCGTCCACAGCAATCGCTCCAGAATCATGGACTTTGCTCCTTATCAAGACACCACTCCAGAATCCACACGAACCCTCTCTCCACCTCCAAATCGAATCTCGTCTCCTGCCCGCAACGCCAGATCTCCCCCTCCAACCCGACCAAACACAGACCCATTTGGCGTGTCATCCTTGCCAGAACCCAGTCATTTCAGTGATGAGCCTAGGGAAAATGCAGGGTTTGGAGGAGGAGATATAGAAAATGGCAGGCTGGACGTCAATCTGTTCGAGACGAGCCTACCACTACGGCTAGACTACGAGGCAATGCTGGCATATCTGCTGCTACCGCCTGCAGGAGGGGTATTTCTACTGGTGGTGGAACATAAGAGTGATTACGTACGGTACGTTAGACTTGGAGAAAGAGGTGTTTACGGCACTCCTTGCTTCCCGTGGAGTTGCTCTGTAACAGTATCTCTGTGCAGTTGCGCTTTTGCTCAACCTATTCTCTACCTACTTGTCTCTGCGCATCGACCGCCATCTCTCTGTGTCTGCTGCATGCATGTACTGACAAGACGTTCCGAAGATTCCATGCTTGGCAATCAAGTCTACTATTCGCGGCGATTTTCGTGGGCCTCACCCTCCGACCATTTGCGTGACGCACATCATTGACCTCGTACCAGGTCCTACACCTGATCCTCTCGTGGTCAAGCATACTATCATGGATGTTATTCGTCATTGATATAGGTCTTATCGGATTCCTTGCTATGCATGCCTACCGAGACGGTATAAATATTCCCCCATACCTACTTTCATGTTGATACTGACATGGCTGCAGCTGATGGCTTGGATCGTTTTGAAGTTCCGTTCTTTGGGGGTTTGGCGAGCTCCTTCGTAGACTCTGAGTGAGATATGCTTTTGTATGATATCGATACATCGGAAGAACGGCGCAATTGCTGGGCAAGATACCCGTTAAGAGTTGGCGGTCAATAGACAGCGTTGTACTCGTACTGTACATATAATGATAGGTAGGGCCATAGATCCTTGGACCAGTCGTTTAATCTATCCTCCGGAGAATTTCAAGTCTTGAGGCTCTAGAATTTTAAGAATGCCCCCTCTAAACTTCCACTCGCATGTTTTAAGTATTCACAAGCTCGACGTTCCGGATATGCTAAATTCCAGAAGAGAGCATCTTACGAAAACCGATAATCTTTTCAAACGATGAAGCTTATCTTTCGAGCCCCGTACAAATGCCTCGTGGCGTATGCGCCACGCTACAAGGCAGTGCTCTCAGCCTCGTCCCATCTCCGCCCCCTTCTGCGTTCCTTCCAGCTATAAGAACTTCCATCTGCTTTCTTCTGGCTTCCTAGTCATGCGACTTATTCCTCACTATGGATGGCGTAAGTATCGCTGCATCAATTGTGGGCATTGCCACGGCAGGCGTCCAAGTCTCTATCAAGCTCGTCACTCTCGCATCTCAGATCAGCACCGCATCAGACCGTATTTCATCCATCGGGAATGACATCTCTCTTACATCAGGCGTACTTCATCAGCTGGGTGAACTGATAAACCGGAAGACCACGGACGATGGCATCAGTATCTTGAACCAAGATGGCCTCAAGACTACGAAGACGTCCGCGGCGATGTGCGAGAGGATATTTCAAGAAGTTGAAAAAGAGATGAAGAGAGCGAGTGAGCAGCTGAGAAGATACAAGCCAGGTCAAGGTCGGATGAGCGGGGAAAAGATCGAGTTGTCGATGACTTAAAAGGCGAAATGGCTGTTCTTGCAGCCAAGCATTGATAGATGGAGAGCGGACTTGAGGGATGCAAAGTCGACGTTGATGTTGATGCTGCAAGTGGCGAGTTTGGCTTTGAGCAAGAGAATGGCAGATGCATCCATGTCAATAACCGAGCACCAGGACTTTGTACGTGCCATAGTGGCTTTGGAGCTACAGCGACGAGAAGAACGTACAACTTCCTTTCAACAGCAGAAAGTGTTGAGGTCCTCCAGCTCAGATGATACAACCAAAGAGAACGCCGATACGACGCCAGCGGGAGAAGGCACGTTGAATTCCGATCGTAACCATCAAATACCCGAACCCGTGGTACAGGCAGGCGAAAAGCGTACTGCAGGAGTTATTAAGTTTCGCAAGTTGTTGTCAGACGTACGTGCAGGATTTATGTCAGAGCGCGTTGAAGGTCCTGGAGTGGCCCGACCAAGGGGGCTCGAAACCCAGCATGTCGCGAACATACCTCCGGCATCCTCTCCGGATTCTAAATTGCCACGCACGGATGACACCAGCGACGTGCCAGAGTATTACACCATGGATTCTTCACACGTATCGTTCTCCTCTGACAGTGACAGCGGGACACAAACAAACCACAACACAGAGCTTCAGTCGTTCCTCCTCAAGCCCATATTCGAAGACCTGTTTGACAAAATCGAACTTCGCTGGTCGGTAGAGAACACAAATCTGCGACCTTTGGCAATTCGCCAACACCTGGCCGAGAATAAGAAGAACGATCTTCCGTCAGTCGTTGAGATGCTGCAGCATTTGCATGCCTATGAGCAAGCAATGGTTGACTCTGAAACAACAAAGGGTTCCGGAGGCTCCGTCCTATCTTTGGAAAGAACGAAGACAGACATTCAATCCAGAGACATGCTCTTCCAGGCGGTCCCAGGGCTACAATTCGTGGTCCAGCGCCGAGCACGCCAACCACCACGTTTGTTTTCCACTTCACAGTTCGAATACCGTCACCCATCTTCTAGCACCCCGACTCAACGCTCTAAGTCCGTCAATTTCCATAAAGGTGCGATGTCTCGTCGCGCCCACCCCCCGCCAGCCAAGGCCATCAACATTCAAAATATTGGGCAGCAGGAGAGCCGCAGTTCCCACGGCAGCATCGGTCATTCTCGATGAGCGGGACCAGGGCGACGACGAAGCTGACGCCGTGGTGACGGGACTGTTGGGGAAGTATACGACTCTTTTCGACTCATGAGACGGTCGGGCATGGTGTCGGAAATAGTGGCAGTCGAGTCGATAACAGTAGAATCAATGAGGAGGTTTTCGTACTGTCTAACATTCTTCCCGGAGCAAGTTTGATCCTGAATGTCAATTGTTTCCGGGTTGATGGCTGAGACTGATGTGAAAATGACAGGGTCTCAGCGTCTCTGACTGCCGCTTGTGTTGACTGCTTGCCCTTGGTAGCTGTGGAATACAATAGGGGGCTTTTACATACAGAAGCACGGGATTCAGTGGAGTGTCTTTCAATTATGGCATTCTCGCAGCGCAGGGGATATCTAGTCAAGTAAGTCAAGAAACACGAGGTATCTACACACGGCGCCATCACTCAATAGCTACCCAAACCCAACAGCGCCGGGAATTTGTACAACCGCCCTCATCAGTCATTCCAGTGGTCAGACATCAGCACCAGACGCCATTAACCGACCCAAGTCGCTGGCCTTATTCATCCATCCCAGCAACACCATCGAGTCCTTCATCTTCAGCGCCTCCATCGTCAAGCTCGGCTTTGACTTCTTGGTCAACGAACGCTTCGTAGTTTTCGAGATTTTGCTGGATGTGGACCTTGAACTTGATGACATCGTTCAAGATCTTCTCGATTTCGGTGTGCAATTCCTCGCGCAGGGCGTTGGCACGAAGGGTCAGTTGTTCGAATCTAGCAGAGTAGTCAGCATGATGTGACTCGCATTTACCCTAGAGGAAGTGAGGTTCGCGTACTCGATGTTAGTGTTCATCTCGCGCTGCTCCATTAGCTGGACGCTTTCGTCGAGGCCGGCGCGCATCTTTGCGAGCTCCTTCTCCATCTTCTCGATCTGCGCATCCGATGCAACTTTCTGGGTAGATGTGACCTGCAATAGCTGATTAGAATACCAGTAGACCTTTTGGAGGGAACGGTGGTTCTGCTTACCTCTTTGGTCTTCTCGAACTCCTCCTCGGCCGCTCTTACACGGTGCTCTAAAGCTTCTACTTCACTTCGCTTGTCGTCAATAGCTTCTTTGATAGAGTCCAGCAGCTCATGGTTCTTCATGTCCGCGTCAACTGCCAACGTTCTCCTCTCATTGATTTCTTTTCTTAGTCCGATGAGCTGGCTTTTGATGTTGCCACGTAGGTCAAGGTTGAGGACGTGAGGAGGATGGTAGCCGGTCGAAGGGTCAGCGAGCAGACGATCATTACTGCTGCCGCGCTGTGAGGCGCCCATTTGGGAAGACGAGAAGTTGGGCGTAGAATCAATGTTGAGGTGGAGCTCGAAGTCCTGGCCCTTGGCATTTGCTGCGGTGGCAGGTACCAAGGCGATCTGGTAGCACAGAGAGTTGTACTTCTCAACAACGCGTTCCAGCTCTTCCAGACTGCGGTTGGCGTCGATTTCCTTTTCGCCCGCTCTTCGCTTGACTTCCCCCAACCTGGTTGTTGTGGTCTCGAGGCCTTTTTGCAATCTTTCCCGCTCAGTAGTCATGCGGTCAATGTCCTGTATAGTGATACCCTGCCTGTCCACTGAATCTTGCAAGTTGGTCTTCTCCTGCTCAACTTCTCCGAGCTCTGCCTCCGTGCGTTCGATCTCCTCCTGCAAAAACTTGTTCCGTTGCTCATACTTCTCGACCTTGGCTTCAACGTTGGTGTTGTACTCCTCAAACTTCCGCTTGTCGTCCTCCAGAATCTTGAAATTCTTTTCCAGCTTCGCTAGATCTGGAGCGCCTGCTTCAGCTTCGGCGATATGCTGCTTAAGGACCTCATTTTCTGCCTCAAGGATCTTCATCTCTTCGGCGTACTTCTGGTTACCTCGCTCAAACTCGGCAGCCATAGCTTCAACGTGAGGTACCACCTGCCTATTCGCTTCTTCTTCTCCGTCTTCGTCTCCTTCTTCCACTTCCACTTGTATCCAATCATGATAAGCTCCGCTTAGGAATCGGAAGATGATTCTATCTCCACTGACGTCCACACCGGCTTCTGCACATGCGTCGTCGTACTCACCGACGTCGTATTTATCCATCATCTGAGCTATCTGCATCATCCATTGTAGCATTCCAAGGAATGAGGACCAATTCTGGCCGCCGACCGCTGCCCATTGTGACTTTGAGACTTTATTCTCAAACGGATACCGTAGCTGCTTTAGGATAGCGGGCCCCTCAAAGTCGATACTTTTCATGAAACGGTAGGCGGGATCTACTCGACGATACAGCCATTGGAAAATAGCCTCGAAGTCCTTTTGCGTAGGTGAGGTCATGCTCTTCTGGTTGAGCGAGCGCTTCATGTCCAATTCGAAGTTGTTCCGTGTCAGGTAGTCAAGCAAGTCTTGGCCCACTTTCGCTCTGTAGTTTGGATCTCTCCACGGTCGTGGATCTCCTCGTGCGCTAGCTGGAGCTGGCGCTTGTGTGAAAAACGATTGGTGGCCCATCCCGCCAGTGGAAGAGGATCGAGACCATATGCTGCTTCTTCGCTGCATGCTCTGAGAAGCGCTCAACGATTGCTGGTTCGCTGGCGTCATTGCGCCCGGCGCATAGCTCATTCTGTTTGCGGACACACCACCAAACATGTTGGAAGAAGAGCTTCGCTGCACTGTAGACGGACGGTTTGTCTGCCCCTCCGTGAGAGTATTGAAGTTGACGCCTGATGAGGCACGCTGAAAATTGGGCTGTTGAGGCCGACTGGGAGCGAGCGACATGCGAGAGGAGGAGACCGAGCGAGCATGGTGGGATGTGTGCGGTGCATAGTTCTCTTTGATGTTGGAGATAGAATTGGAGCGTTTTAAGGCGGAAGCAGGTTGTGGAATTGCGGAGTTGTAGTTGATACCACCCAATGTCTGCGAGGTGGATTGTCAGTAGAGCTTGAATATTGCAGGCGTGGAAATTTACCTCTCGAGGCCGGCGCACGCTGAAGAGCCCTGTATCTTGTGACATCTTCAGTGGTAAGCGGCAAGTGCAACGATCAGGTCTACAATTCGCGCAGCCAAGAGTCCGCAATATAGAACTGGTGTCGGCGAGGTTTCTTCAATGACAAGTAACGGCAGCGGTGTAGTTTGCGCCGATGTTGATGGTTTGTTTACTTTTCAGATTTTAGCGTGCCAAGACTTGCTGGCGCTGCCGCGCGCGGGCCGAGGTCCAGTTTTCCCCGACCACCCCATGTACGGGACCATCATTTTGGACCACCTCGACACCTATTCGCTTTCATAGCTTTGTATTCGTACCGATTGGATTGAGACTCTCATCAGACGACGACAAAGAATTATGACCTCTTCGATCGCCTCGTAAAAAGTGATCTGACCGCTTAAACGGAGCTGTATGCTCGACGCAGACCCAGGCGCAGCGGATCGAGATGGTGCGTGAAGATCTAGTATCGTCCGCCGTAAGACTCTGTCCCAAGCAGATGCCAGAATCGCAGCTCATCAGTTTCTAGGTTTCCTGTAAGAATTCTAACAGAATGCCACGGTGCAATGTAATCTAATGATCTTAGTTCTCCAAGACCCATCTGTCGCCGCTTCAGCCCTTGACAAAAGAATTGCCTTCCTACAATCAAAAAACCTTACGCAAGAAGAGATCGATGTTGCTCTGGCGAGAGCAGGAGATGGATCACACACAGAGAATGCAGTGGCACCACCTCCGCCGAGCCAATACCCTTATCAAGGGCAGCAGATGACGAGGCAACCTGCAGGGTATGGATACGGACCTTATCAAGGAGGACCATGGCCACAAGCGCCGCCAGAGTGAGTATGACAGTTGCTAATTGAGGCAGTACATGGACTGACGAAGAATAGACCACCTCAGCGGGACTGGAGAGACTGGTTTATAATGGCAACTGTCACCAGCGGAGTTGGCTATGGCCTTTATGCTGTTGCAAAGGTACTTGGAACTTGTTCCAGTACCCCATATCTTACTGACAGCTATACAGCGCTACGTCTTCCCCCTTATTTCTCCTCCCACACCACCTCAGCTCGAGGCCGACAAAGCCTCCATTGACGAATCCTTTAACCGCGCTTTTGCCCTGATCGAACAACTTACAACCGACACCGCCGCCATCAAAGAATCCGAATCCGAGAGAACAGAGAAGCTAGACACGACCCTAAAGGATGTTGGTAGTGTGATCGAAGATTTGAAGGCTGCAAATACGAGACGAGAAGCGGAGAGTAGAATAATAGCCGATCAAGTGACTGGCTTGAAAGATATGGTACCGAAAGCGTTGGAAGGATGGAAAGCTAACGGAGACGCCAAGTTAGAAGAGCTAGGCCAAGAGGTGCAGAGCCTAAAGAAACTGCTAGAGAATAGAGTTGGCAGGCCTAGTGGGGCACCGACACCAACGGGCAGAGGACATCCGAACGGAAATGAGAAGTCAAAAGATAATCCGTCGGCCTTCAGTTCGGCGAACAGTGGGACGACCACTCCAACTGCCGAGTCTGCCAGTGGTCCATCGGCTCCAGCGCCAGGAGTAACAGTGCCCAAGAGGGAATCTACCCCATTGCGGGGATTTGAGAGGAGTGATCGCCGAGCAATACCTGCATGGCAGATGGCAGCTGCTACCGAGAAGACTGACACGGGGGCTCACCTTCGAATGCAGAAGCAAGTACATCGGAAGCTGGAGCATAAGCAGGAGAAATCAATAGTTCCAAATCCTTGTTTGAGACCCAGTTGACCTGTTGCAAGCCTTTCCTGCATTGCACTCCCAGACCTATCCAACTGTACAAGTGACAGAGACCACGAGTCGAAGCACGAATGCAGATAGAGCTACAATGGACACCGGTACACGAGCAATGTCAAAAAGGCTAGCGTCCGGTCGCATCAATTGTCTGTGCATAGCAGGTAGAAAACATGTCGTCTGTGTTGCTACCAAACCCTTGATGTTACTATTTGTTGGGGCCTATGCAGCTGATTTAGTTTGTTGAAGCGACACAGGCCTATCTTTTGGCTTGAACTGTGATCTCCTTCAGCTGCGTTTCCAGATCGGGAACCGAGCTATTGTCGCCGCCTCGATCCGTCATCACAACCTAACATGGCAAAACCTGAAATCAGTTGAAACGAGGTGGCACTCGCTAGGCTCGACGATAAAGTGTCACGCCTGGTAGACACCGTGGATAGACAATGCACCGCAGTGAATGAGCACCCATATCCAAGATACCACTGCGGCCTCAAGTTTGATTGATTTCGTCCCCAGGTTGCGCGAGTTGAAGGGGAAGTTCAAGTAGCCCCATACAGAGCAATTTGACAAGTTGGGGGACCATCGACCGCGAGAAAGCTGGCGCGGAGGAGGTTTCGCGTAGAGCAAGGGGGAGATTCGAGGAAGCAAAGAGAGAAAGAAGGATGCTGCCGCGCAGTCGACTCGAGAAGTTGAGGCGCAAAACCAGGAGGCTAACGAGCGTCTTGAATCGCAGACATTGGGATGGAGAGGCTTGAGAAGAGGTTGGTGGGAGTGTTACCAGAGGAGAAGAGACCGAGACGAAGTTGACAGATACCAACAGACGGCAAAATGCCCTAAAAGACTGGATACAGTCGGAGCGCGAAAGCTACAGCGAGAAGCAACGCAGAGTCAAATGTCTCTGTGGTTCTGTCATGCAGTCACGGAGACAATTCAACGCGGATCAACAAAGGTTCGATACCAGATCAAGGAAGCTCGGTGAGGATGAGGAGACCCTTCGCAACGAAGTCGAACGTCTCAGGCCCCAGATCACATCCCACAATGGGGTTCAGGAGGCATTTTATCGCGATCGCAAGGCCCCCGAGGAGAGGGGAACGGCCGCAAGAAGCGCCTCAGAGGCTGCTTTACAACAGTTTTCGGAGAACATGAACGCTGCCAAGGATGCTTTATCCAAGGCACACAGGGGATCAACCATGCCAAAGACGTTGTCTACGCAGCCACCGCCAGCAGCACTGTCGCCTACCACCGCCCGGGACGAAATCCGTGGCATAAGTCGTGGTGGAAGCCCCCACTTTCCTACAGGACTACAGTCGGCTGCGACCTTTCCAAACCAATCTACTGGGTGGCTACGCATCGTTTGGCCCTCATATTGATCGCACTCCGGCATTAACCGGTCAAGCGTCATCGAGCGCTCAAGGTAGTCAGTCCGAATCTGCAACCCCGGCGAATGCACCTGATGATACCAAAGATCTGTCGAGCAAGCTGGGTTTCCTTGCCGACTGGAACGACATTGATACCAATAAAATGTTGGCGAAATCGATTCTTATTTCGCACTTCGTGTTCGATACTACATTTAGTCTCTGATATCATTATTAAATTGTCTTCTGAATAGGATCAAACCAAGGGGTCAAGTCTCAAGTACCTTTTGTATAAACAATAGACTGGTCCATGCCCAACTGCTTGTGTTTTCTTGTGTCCTTTCTACATAGTCGTACCGTCCACATAGCTGAGGTATTCGATCATGTTGGAACTACAGGTATTGGCAGCGGAAAAAGCGTATGAATGATAGGCCATGACTATTATACTCTAACAGCTATCTTGACTGTCATGAAGAATGTAAGAAAAAAAGCATCAAGGTGGCCATGCTCTAGTCTATATACACCCTGGAAATATCTCTCAGTGTTCATACGACTGAACCCGATATCTGACTTACGAATACGAACAAATCATGCATGGCGATAGCCACTAACCTCATTAGGCCTAGCTCATTGTAGCCCCATTGCTGTAGCTGACCTCAGTCAGCTTGGCACAGTAGATAGAAGAATCAAAATCTATTACCACATCTACTACTAGGACTATATCGTGTCCCAAATGTACAGATGGACCCTCTTTCCATAATAGCAAGCGTTGTAGGTGTTGCGACTGCCGCGCTGGAAAGCTCGGTCGCACTTCATAATGTCCTCAAGGCTATTCAAAACGCCCCTCGCGATATCAAGAAGCTATCTGGCGAGACCGAAGAGCTGTCTTCTATTATCGCGTCATTACAGTCAACACTCAAAGACGAAGACCAGAAGCAAGCACTGCGAAACAATGATCGTATCATCAAGTCGCTGGAACAGCTGGAAGGTCCTTTGAAGAGTTTCTCGGAGATCAATGGGAAGATTGAGAGTACTCTAAGGCCTTATCTCAAGTTGACGGATGATGGGAGGAGTTGGAAGATCTCGGATTTGAAGTGGCTGTGGGCTAAGGGCGGCATCAATGAACTTTTGGAGGGCTTTCAGCGTAGCAAGCAAACGCTCAACCTCCATATGAGCAATGTAACTATGTGAGCCCTCCATTTGCATACAGATCAGATGCCGGGATTATTTTCGAGTTCTGATGCCCACAAAAGGCAGTGTACTCTCCTTCTCACCGCCTATGACGCTGGCTCCCGACCAGAGAGACCGAGAGTAAACCGCCAAGACTCTACAAGCACGAATGTCGGTGGCGCACTGAAGAAATACGTGGCCGAAACGCTCGATGGGGCATCAGAAGGCTCGTTCGAGGCAGGACGATATAAAAAGTACGACGCAGCAGCTCCAGTTCTCGAGAATCGAGACTCCACGGCGGACATCACTAAGCGCATGGAGAAGCTTAGCCTTCAGCGGATAGCACTCTTTGACGCCGCTAAAGACGGACAGCACGAAATTGTCAGACTGTTACTCCAAGACGGCATGGATGTCAACGCGATAGCCCGAGATGGCCAAACGGCCTTGCATCTCTCCGCCGAGTACGGCCACGAAGCTGTTACGCAAACATTGATAGAATACGGCGCTAAAATCGACCTGAGAATGCTCCCCGGCAAGGCCGACAAGAATGGGAACTGCCCAGGTGGCAGAAATCCACTGCACTACGCAGCACTGAACGGGCATTTAGGCATCATCAACGTACTACTAGATCATGGAGCAGACGCTTCGCCGCAGAGCACAAATCTCAGGACACCTCTACAAGAGGCAATAGCAGAGGATCGTACTGCGGTAGCCATGCTGCTGATCAAGCGCGGTGCAAGCTCAAAAACATGCGATCGCGAGGGCTGGACGCCATTGCATTGCGCCGCTTACAAAAAAAACCTTGATATCGTAAAGGCACTCATTGCCAATGGTGCAGATGTTGAGGCTAGAACATCTGATTGGAATGTCAAGGGCAAAGAGCGCTGGCGGCGTACTACTCCTCTCTTTCTGGCTGTCTGGAACGGTCAAATCGGTGTTGTGCAAGCGCTGCTGGATGCAGACGCGGATCCTAGGGCTGATATCTCGGATGGCGCTACTTGTGTTCATGCTGCTGTCTATGGGAACCGGAGGGGGCCGTGGATTGCTGGTATGCTACTTGATGCGGATGCGAAGCGCGATGGCAGACATGATATCGCGCTGATCAATATGAAGAAATTGGATGGTAACACCGCACTACATGTTGCGGCTGCCAAGGGTCATGTTGATATGGTTGAGCTGCTGTTGAAGAAGGGGGCCGATGCGAAGGCTGTGAATGGGCTTGGGAGAGACGTGTTGCAGCATGCGAAAACGGTAAAGAAGAATGAAGCTGTGGTGAGCTTGCTAGAAGAACATGTTTCCAGGTCGAAGAAGGCGAAGGGGATAAAAACGAAACAGAAGAGCAAAGGAGGTAGTCACGAAAACCTTACTATTGAACCAGCGGACGCCAGCGTTGACCCCACTAAACGCCAACATAGCAGGCAACGCAGCTCGGCTTGTTGAAATATTCGATCGGGGACAGAGATCCCTTGACCGAAGCGAACAAGTATTCGAGGTCCGTGCCGGGGAGTGAGACTCGAAAGGGACAGCCCACATATACCGTTCATGAATTATGAGTTATGAACACTCGAACATTACCTGAATCATATGGCACCTGCCATGGAGTGAGTAGATTCTCGGAGCTGATATTGCGTGTGAACGGTGTAATAATTTTGGAGAGGTCTATGCACGATAAGGCCCGTTACTATAGATAGTGCCAAGCCGCGCTAGGCCCAACTGGACCTTGTGTGGTAGCAGGGCTGCAACCATGACAGTCTTCGACGTTAGTGATTTGTTCTTTTATCTAACGACTCGAGTTGGGCAACCAGCTCTCGACACCCGGACTACTCCTCGCTCGTTACGCCAACATCGGATAACCCCAGCAACCCCTGATTCTTCGGCATGCTACCGAGTGCGGATTGAAGACGTAACTCAATAAGCGCTCCATGGCGCATCCGATACCGCAGATGGTTTTCACAGGATTGCATGGACGGATTCGAGAATGGGATCGAGGCAAGCGGTTTTGGAGAAAAGAAAGCGATGGAGTAGAATGCAAACCGCGCGAATTTGGTCAGTCGATGGAGAGGAACTGCTTGAAAGGACGGTGACAGTCATTAAGAGTGCGTGGATTGTACGGAGGTGAGGAAGCTGTGTAGTGACTGATAACGGGGAGATCGAATTGTTGCCTTGCGCAAAGACCAAGATATGCGGAGCGTAGATGATGATGGGTACTGGCCTGGACATATGATAACATGATAGCTTGATTCAAGCTCTCGGATTGCGATGGTAATCCTGGAGCGTCAACGGAGGACCCCGCTGACAGATTCAGAATACTGTTTGTCATGACCGTTTGAACAATCCTCTTGCTGGGCATGAGCCAATAAATTGCGCTATGGTACACCTATATCGAATTACTTCAAGGTGACAGATGACTTATAAATGTACCCAGCTAAGACATGCTCAGCTTCGCGACTCAGGACGTCAATGATTGTCTGAATAAGCAGAGTATGGCAGATAAGAAGAGACTTACTCGTCATCAAAGCCCCGTAAATCCCACCCCAAATACGCCTCCATCGACTTCGTGTGCTGTTTGCGATATTCCTCCCTCTCCTCCCAAAACTCCCTTCGGAGCTTCTCGGCCTCTTCCGTAGAAATGGGATCCCCGTCAACCATGCCGATGATGTTGTCGAAAACCTCCGTCGGTAATCGCCTCATCCTAGGACTGCGTTGACGTATCTCCCGTGCCCACCAGTCACGGCGCTGGCATGGTACCATCGCGGTGCTCATGTTCCTTCTGTTGGGATCGAGAAGGTGGAGAGTCAACAGCCGACAATGGCCCGGTTTCGAAGCATCGGCGAGGCTGAATTTGTTCAGTCGGGTTTGGAAGATATTCGGGTGCACGACTGTCCTTCCTTCTCTTAGTTTCACGTCACCTATATGCTGGATCGCGGCGTCGCCGTCTTCGGCGCCGTAGATCTCAGGTGCATAGGGCGGAGAGAAAACGTAACCTCTGGCGAGGCCGGCCTCTTCGGGATTGATGCGTCGACGGAACGACATGGTTGGCGGAGCGGAGGATGAGAGATTGCTCGTCGAGTAGACGTAATGCGCAGTAGCACATATTCGCTCATTGTTCTGGCCCTGAACATGCCACGGCTCACCCTCATAACCTGGTTCCTCCGGCGTGAGGTTAATGTCTTGAAGCTGAAGAACCATCTGGACACCAACGTTCCAGAATTCCTTCTTCAGATCCACAAATATGACGTCTTGATATCGTCCTTGACGGTCAAGCCAATCAAGAGCTCGTTGTTCTGGGGGACGGAAAGGATCCGGTTCACGCTGGATCATGGGATCCCGTCCAAGCACTGCGAGGTGCATGCGTTGGTTCTGCCATCCAGAAGCTTTGAGATCGATAAGTGTGTAGTTGAACAGAGGGAGGAACGAATCAATGAGGTTTTCTGTGACGTGGTATAGTGACCGATGAGTACAAGGGTGGACGTTGTTGATATAGCTAATGATACTATGGGACGGGGAGTGGTTAGCTGATATAGATGTGCTCTTGATTTGTAACACCGTACCGTGAAGCGCTTGCACCTCTATCTTCAAATTGAACATCGAAAGGTAGCCATTGAAAGCGGTTTGACCAAGCATGATCGTTGGGATATTTTGGACGTCCTTTTTGGACGCAGTCCTCATCCGATGGCCTTTTCACCGCCTCACCCTCGCCGTACCTTGGGATACAATCATTTGAAGTCAGAGTACCGTCTCTCAGGGTTTTCGTTTGTGCAAAATTGAAAGGGTAAAGATACGGATCCACAATGTCTAAAATCATATGGCTCGAATAACTTGTGGAGTTTGTCAGAATCTCTTCTCAGGGCAGCTGCAGCTCTCTGGAGATCTCTTCGAAGCGAGGCATCTACGCAGTCATCTGATTTGAGCACACCTCCGTCCAATGCTGGAATAAATCGTGTGGAGATAAAGTTGCGAACATAGTACTTGACTTCTTCAACACACTACGTAATTTTAGACGTCAGTCCAATGAAGAGTATTCTGCCGTCTTACCCAATCGGCCATGGAACGTGTTACGTCTTTCCCAGACGCAACTTTTGCACTCTTCCATTCAAAGGTGAAATCAGGATCAAAAATCTTGCGATCCCAGTCCGGCATATCAGTCAGTTCGTTGATCAACACTAGCATAGTCAGTTCCCGAACAGTATAGCAAAAGGTGCTGCAGATCAAAATTGGCTCATCAGCTATCTCAAACGGTCGTGGGAGGAATGGGAACTCACGGATTTTCAGATCCATCGAGTGCTGAAAGAAGCAGGGTGTTCTCGTCGGGCTGAAACAGAGGCTGCCACAATCTGCTTTGCATTTCTGGCCATCTCAACGGCAGCCCAAAACCGGGGACTGTCCATCCTCGTTGTTTCCTAGAAGCCATTGTCCTATGCTGTGACTTGCAAACTCATTGCAACTATGAAGACAGTGCAGATAAGTACACAGTAAGAGTGGATCCAGCGATGACGCGACGAGGATGTTGGATGACAATGTTGGAGGAGAGAGTGGCCCCTTTTCTGGAGAGGCGCAGCTATATGTATGATCCTCTTGTCAGCTTAGATGTGAATATTGTGCCACCACTGAATACGTGTACACACCACACCCTCAATTCCCATAGAGTCAAGGTACGGTGGCCGTAAAACGCCTGAAGCGAAATTAGCGCCGAGTGCAATTTAAGCCAGTCTTCTAACTGCCATCCTTTACCCTCATCTTCATATTCGATCTTCTCAACGACGCGTATGAAGTACCAGCATTTCCAAAGTCAAAATAATCACAGAGCCATCTATTCTACCAGGCGAGATTGCAGGTGGAGCGGTGCTGCCCCACGTCGTAATAGTCTTTCGAGAATTTGGTTGGAAACAGCAGCAACACACCTCATTATGCAGACGCCGCAGCGGGCTCCTCAATCATTTCCTTCCAATGCTTAGCTACAGCCTGTTGACTCATGAATCCCAAAAAGCACGAGATGCTGATGATTGGTGCCTGTTGGAAAGGGGCAGCGTTCGTCGGGGAATTTGCACCGGATCAAAGCCGGAGCACCGAAGAGGGTGGGGGGCCGAAATGTATTTCAGCCTCCAAGGAACAAACCGTTCGTGGGGCGTCGTATAAAAATCGTCATTCCGAGTACGACAGTACCTCGCTCTGCTCTACGAATAGATGCCACATCTCTCGTATCATCTTCTCTCTGAAAGGCTGTGCATCCTGCCAGTGCTCAGCTTACCACAAACAGAAGTAGTGTGTGAGAGATACTGAAGTCTCCATGTTCTCGGCCTGTCTTGTCCTGTGAGACCTCCATTTCACGAAGGTCCCGATGTGTCGTTCTTCAATGTTGTCGAATCTTTGCCTGTATCACTGGCAATTTCTTCAAGAAAGCGTGATGCTACCTTCGCTTTCTTTGTTCATTGACCCAGAGTGTGTGTTTTGGCTTGAGCCTGACAACCTGACCTGTTTTACTTAGTCCTTGAGAAAGGAGGGGTCTCAAAGGGTTCGAGGCCCAGCCATAGCCTCATGTTCATGGCCTCGCATCCGTGACGACTGTGCCTCAAGTTTCATGTGTCTGCTTCATGACATCGCTTCCCTGGCGTAACATCTACCTGGATGTTCTTGCCATAAGGCGTAGAAGCACATGACGTACGGTATGTAGGCTTGGAGGTGAGAAGCGACTATGTTCGACATAGCCTCTACAAAAGTATAAAGAGGAGACCATCCGATCATCTTAGAGATAGGATACAATTCAACCACCTGTCAACAAAGTCTAGCCTTCGTTCACTCTACAGTCTAGTTACTATCTTATTTTCAGTATGGTCTTCTCTTCCAAAGCCGTTTTACTCGCTGCCCCAATTTTCACTCTTCTCTTCTCTACGATCGTTACTACATCTCCTCTTGAATATGCCGAAAATCATGGAGAAGCAAATGATGCCCTCGTCATCCTCAGAAGACAGGTCGCGGACCCAACCAATGTTGCACCAGAAGATGAGACTGACGCAGAGATTGCTGCGGATGGCACTCGCCCTTTACGAAAAGGTATGAGAACCAAGTCTTTCCTCGTCACTTGTCAAACTGATACTTCGAAGCTGTCACTGCTCGATCTATCTATCTTGACCAAGCCACTGCAACATGGTACCAGATTGACGTAGCCTCTAACGATCTTGCTGCCTCCTTCACAAGTTTCACAGACACAACGACTACAACATCTATTCCTCCGCCGGACGATCCCAAGCAGACATCAGGCCCGAATCCTTGGAATGTGGACCATATTTTTGAGCTTCAGATCATTGGGGAAGCGTTCAAAGCTGACAGACCGTACGCCACTGACGCCCAGAGCCTCAGATTGAGACGAAGAAGATGCTGATCAAACTAATAGTACTGATAATCCAACCTCTATCGCAGCAGCTGACTGGACAGCGGTAACCAATGCCGTCTTCACCTTATCTCCGTGAGCCTCCGTACCTTCATCCTCCCTCCGCCAATCCAATTAACCAAGCGCTCTTATAGCGCCTGCACAGCGATAGCCGAAGAAGTGACTGTCCTCCAGAACCTCGAAGGCATCCCCAACGCCGTCAACAGCTTCAAAAAGCAAGTCTTCACTGGCAATCTGACCGGCGTCGGCTTCCCCAGCACGGGCAACACCGCAACATACTACTCCTTCTTCGGCCCCGCGGTACAGAACTATCTTGTATCGAACCAACCCAATTTTTTCAGCGTCAATGGTATCGTAGACAATATTGGCGACCAGCTGTCTAGCGCAGGTAACAACAATGCTGCTATCAAGGCGTACTTTACATCCTATGCTGCGTTCCATTACCAAGGTGCTATCGACTACCTCTCCACTTGGTCTGGCAAACCAATCACACGCACAATTGCAAGTTCTACAGCCGCGACAGGCACTTCCGCTGCAGCCGCGACTGTCACATGTCAGCATAACGCCGACCCGGATAACACGTGTGCCGCTATCGCTGACAGCCTTGGATACTGCGAATGCAACAACGACGGTAATACTTACGCTATCGAGACCAGTGCTCCAAACCCTTGCGGCTGGACAACTCTGCCACCTACGACTTCCTTTGACTGTAGCAGCACCCCGCCACCTGCTCCCGTCGTCGTGACACCTACGACTACGCCTCTCGCTTGCACTTTGCGGTAAGACATTCTTCCCTGGGTAAAATACTAGCCCTATTGGTGTATGCTGACGATTTCTTCCGTGCTAGCGATGAAGTAATCGGCGGCGGTCGTGACCCTGAAATCACGCATATCTGCACCTGTAACGATGGATCGTCTCCTTCTGCGACTGTGAGCGGTGATGAATATGCTTGTCCGGCGCAGGTTAGCATAATCGCGAAGAGGAGTCCATGGAATGGTATCGATTTGGGCAACTTTGCTCAATAGAGCCGTGGTGATTGAGGATGCCGTTTCGCGAACAGCCAGATTGCTATATATCGAAATGTCGAAAATTCAGCATGGGGAATTGAGTGATGTTGTAGTATTGGCTATCTGGTTGTATTATACATTGAATAACGATGCCTTGGGTTATTTCGGCAATTGTAAAATGAAGGAGTGGCGAGTGGGCAAGGATCTTTTCAGTGTTCTTGAATTTTGACAATAAAGTCTGGCCTTCAAGGTCTCGCGGGTAACGAGATTGACCAGTATCACACGCCCCTGTCCTCAAGTGCGTGTGTGTGGCCCAAAATTTCGACGGCCTACTTCCAAACCGTACGCGTATGGCTGAGCCTCAGCAGCGTCTGGAGGTCACGAAGGTGCCGCAGCTTCCTAGGCAACACAGCGCGTGTCTTTAATGTCCATCAGAACATCTCCGCCCTGGGTGACGAGCTCAGATCCCCACTCACAAACGAGCGAATCCCGGCTAGCCGTGAGTCTGAATTACTGAGACTACCCTGTCAAGGGTAGGAGACATCTGTCCACTACGAGCTACATATCCACCTGTTTTGCACCTGACAATGGCTCTATATTCGATTTCGTCTCTTTCAGAGCCATTACATACTTTTTATCCCACCCACCCACACCTTTGTATATAGTTAGCTACCATTTCACTCCAGGTCTATGCTATAGGCATGGGAGTTTTCTCGGCGCTGGGGTACGAATACATCTGTTCAGGCCTCTATTCAGGTGTTATCCCGGCGTCGGGATGACCCAACCACTTGATACCTCATACCTATGTGCCCTGTGTATGTGTGATGCGTGAGAATGAGAACACTAAACTATGGATCTCTACTTTACATATCGTTGATATTCGCCACCGAACTTTATTATATAAATCGCTTAGTTTTATAAAAATATTTAAATAGTTTTAAAAACTTTAATTGAGAGTGAGCGAGTATAAGTATGATTTTTAAAGACGTTATAAATTAATTATACTTCTTTATTTTAATATTATTCGTTAGCAGCAGCCCCTACGGGGGCCCTGTGGAGGTATTTGAATCCAAATAGGGGTGTCTGGCTGTCAAGCGCAGACACCCCCGGGACCAGGCTTTTTAGCCGAGTTGCTAACTCTCTATATGGATGAGCAAGGCAAGTCGAGAATATAGGGGGTGAATCCACTGGGTAACCAAGATGAGTCGCGGGTATAGGGGTGAGTGTAAAAGGTGAGTAACCAAGATGACCATCATAGGCTGCCGAGCGTCCATGCTAGAGATAATTTACATGTTACTCGCGAATATTGATGGGCAGCAAGTTAGGACCGAAGAAGCCTTTGGAAATATCACGTGGAATGGTGGAAGATACTGTGGTGAGTTGTCACAATCAAGACTGATGGAGCATCTGAAGATGTTTGATGACATTCGTGAAGCGTGTCTATAGGATTCGTTCATTAATCTAGCCACGAGGCCCACCTCACTCAAATAAGGAGCTCTTCACCCATCCATGCTGTCTGTGATGAATGTATCCAGTATTGAGGAGTGCCCAGCGCCATTGTGGCCAGAGACCGCATCCCATCGCAGTGTCACTCGGTGACAGACCCTCATGGTCGACGACATTCGGGTCACATCCAAGTTGGAGTAAGGTGAGCAGCTTGAACATTGTACGCTTTTTGAGTACCTGCATCGGATTCCGAATCATCTCCAGGGCGCCGTCATCATTTTCACAGAGAATATAATCGATGCTGTACTCATTCGCTGCGCTATCCGCTTCATTGAACATATCGTTGACTATATTGTCTTGAAGTGGTCCAGGGTCGGCGCCTTCGTCATCGTAGTCCTCCTTGTGAGAGTCATCTTCTGTGTTGAAGAATTCCCGTGCATACCAGATCGCTGCATCAGCTGAACAACCAGTCGTCAAAGAACTCTGGAGCGGCGAAAGCACAGTGTAACACGCCTCGGCCTTCGGGATCAGTTGCGTGAGGGTTAGCCCCACGTCCAATGAACAATCTGAGACATTTGACGATATGAGGCAACTGTTGAGTAGCTGCAAAGAGCAGTGGCGTGAGTCCATTAGCGCTCTGCTGTTCTATGTCATATCCGATATTGAGCAAGAATTGAAGGGTCTCAATAGGTAACGTTGGATGCGCTTGAGACCAATCCCAAACAAGTGACATGGAAGAGAGCATTGGCATAGGAACTATTAAAGGAAACTGTATCCTCGATATCGCAGCCGTGGTTCAATGCAAGGCGTGTCATATTCACGTTTGCGTCAAAGGCCACGCGATCTTGACGTCCCCCTACGAGAATGTTGGTTTCTGCAAAAATTGACCAAATGGCCCAGATGACATCAGTCGTATTGGAAAATCTACGGTGGTGTCATCAGAATTTGCAAAAGATATCCAGGGAATGCAGCGCTTACAAGTTGCAATTTTGTGTGCCTGCTCCACCTTCCAAAAGCAGACGAAACATATCAGAGCTTCTGTGTTCCATGGCATACTAAATTGGAAGTTAGTGTTGGTTGTCTCACGTGCAGCATCGGGGCTGAATACCGAGAGCAATGAGAAACCACCCGAGTCAACATCTAAAGGGGAGGCTTTTCCTTCTGTGAAAAGCCGTTGCACGCCCAATATATCGTTTCCTTCGTATGCAATGGATGACCTGTGAGTCGTCTGGGATTACATTGAACGTTCTGAGGCGTGGAGAGATGCGGCATCCTTGTGATATAGATGAGATATTTTGAAACGCAGCAGAGATCCCGATTGTACGTTGCTGACTTTGGGGTATGAGAAGATATGTTGATCACAAACGGCACATCCGAAGTATCAACGTATGGGGATTCTGCTGGTGGCGTGCTGAATTCAATGTTGAGCCTTCCCATTGATGTCGGGTGCCAAGTCCTACTCGTGAGCTTCAGTTTAGGCCTATTGTCGAAGTCCCTTTCTTGTATAGGCTGGCGTCCGGTCTTTGGCGCCTCATATTCGTGGGCGTTTTCCAACGTCAACGAAAGGCTGGTTCCATTGCTAGTAACCGGCCTTGCCGCCTGTCGACGCCGGATAGCTTGCGCAGATAGTTCATAGCTCCGACAAATCAGTTCTTCTATCTCCAGCGATAGCCAGGTACTCTGTAACGTGGAGCAAAGATGATCGAGTGTGGAACCCTGACTGCCCGATTTCTCCGGATGCTCGCGTCGCTCGGAACGAGCCCTACGGACTCGATAAAATTTGACCTTAGCAATTGCAATGGGAGCATAACACTCTCAGGATCCGTATGATCGGAGGCCAGGAAAGTAAGTCGTCCATTGAATTGTTCTGAAGTCTTTGATTGGGACCCTTGCCGTTCAGGGGAAGCTCCAACTGTTTTGTCATGGAGAAACGCTCCGGGCGAAGACCGAGTACGAACATGGATAGTACTCAAGGGTCTTGATGGGTAGCGAGGTGACTGAAAAGCCATAGCGGGCGATCCAGATGACGAATTCATGCTTGGGGAAAAGTTAAGATATCTGCGCCAGTCGATGCAGGATACCTGTGAACTACTCGCTCTGGAAAGCTGGGTAGTAGGGAGGTGCTTGCGGGAATCGTCATCCTGAAGTACTCTACTGATACCGCTGTGTTCACCCTGCATTTCAGTACTTGGAATCACGTCTCCCCCGAAGTCCGCCCCTTCTATTTGTAGAGGTGCTGCAATAGGAGCTTCTGCCATAACCAAGTCACCCGAAGATTGACCAGCATATGCTAAACTATGGTCATCAGACTCTTGCATTACCGGTGGAATATCGAAGTTGAAGTCGAAGTCAAACTCGAATGGGTTGTGGAAAGCAACATTTGGGCTTCCTCTGGTCTGGTACTGCTCGAGGAGCGGCATATCGAAAATTTGCGGCGCAATGGATTGACGATCAGTAGAATTCAACGAAGCGCCACTTAGAGCATCTTGAGGGCTGTGCTGCCGCGAGGTGTACATTTTGATGTATGATGGAACAACTAGAGATAATTTTAGACCCGCAATCCACCCCAGAGATTGAAACTCACAGTCTGGCGATTGCAATGGCCCTCTTTGTCTCTTCCAAGCACGCTCCATTCGTTCTTGCTCAACATCATGACCTTTGTACTGGAAACGAGCATCTTTGCCAAGACTTTGTCGCTTTCTTTTCAAGGACAGCATGACCCTCAAATCATCGTCTGGGATATACTTCTTGACATCCCATTTCTTGAAACGGTTCTTGAGCTGTACTTCCCTGCTTGGTCTCAATATCGCTCCGGGTTGCAAGTCTACCGCACTCGAGGCTCAAGCTTACGTGATAATGAAATGGTGCTTCTCCGCCATGATAGCAACAATCTCTTTGCGCGGTACATCATCTTCCAGGAAGAGATTCACCAGCTTCTCTCTCCAGATCTCCCATTCTCCGTCCGGTATTCGCCGAGCTCGCTGGGGCACTGAAGACCCACCTTCAGCGGGCCTTGTGGATTGAGAAGCCATTTTGCTCGAAGGAATTCGCCGAAAGATCGAGATTGCCAGAATGTATTTACACTGGGACCGGTAGGTCACCAGGCGAGAATATTACTTATGACTTTGAGATGGTGTCAGAGGCGGTGTGGATCCGCGCACCATCTCCAAGGCAGAAGTCTGCCTGGAGGCCTGCATGGTAGCCTTGTTTTATGAACCTAACAGAAAGTGGCCTAGTGTTCCAAAAGCACTTTTCAAACTATTTCGGGAAAGGCGTGGATTTTGCTAAGCGAGCTTTAGTCGACAAGATGGTAATACATCTTAATCCGAGGCTCATCTCAAACCAATTGACGAAACAGAAAGCACATATGATTTCTGAGAAGGCAGCTGCAATGGCTAGCTGGGATCGTGCTTATATATGGGCATTTCTGCCCATTCAACCTTCCAACCTTTCCAATCTCTTCTCCCAGCAATTAACATAATAGATCTCGTCGTGCCTTCAGAAGGTCCAGATGTGAGTACTGCCGTCTCGATTGACAATTCATAACAATGACTAAGTATTCTACGAAGCCACATTCCACAATGCAAGACGAACTTCGCCAGCTCCAAGAGGCCGAAGGGGAGCAACATGCTGACAGAAAGAAGACTGGGACGAGTAAAAACGTTTGTACTCCACCAACAGCAATTCTCAAAGACCTACGACCGATGCTGACGAGTTTGATAGTCTAAAGCAGCGCCACCCGCGGCTGCTGGTCATTACCTGAAAAGGACATGGTCAACGGGAAATGAACCCTCGGGTGAAAGAGAGCCAAAGCATGCGCTTGTGTCCAACAACTCGTCGACAGTCGATCGGTGGTTGAAAGAATCCATGAGAGAGCAGCCATGGAACAATATCGGCGCAATCCTCGAGCCCCCTCCTACCAAGGAGGCGCCTGGGATGAGAGGTGAAACCGGTAGCAACAGTGCTGTAGCTGGATCTGAAGAGCGAAAATGATTTGAGTCCGATAGGTAATGACCCATTGATGAGATGAAAGTGACTTATAGAGCTAACAAGGTATTTCTAGCCTCGCCGCGGTCAGGCTGTCGGAAAAGAGCGTTGTGTTGAATCATTTGGAGTGTGGAATATAACGGCATCGCTAGGACATAACCACATTCTTTTCATGTAAACGTTTTTTGGGCCTCGCTCTAGGAAAACTCTGTGTCTCAGAGAGCTGCGAATAATCAAAGATCGATAGCAAATCTCAAGAAGGGCCATCAAACCAGTATCATGTCGTCGTGGTTCTACATAGCCCATGTAGAGAATCTCTGTAGAAAATTCCAATTCAATACGGGCCTCTGACAACGGCAAATAGCGCTCGCTGAAATCGCACTCGCAAGTGATGATGATTCAGATCTGTTTGAAGGAACCTGCCTTCAGCTACTGGGTGCTATCTCGTGTTCAATAGAAGACAACATTCCTCACCTAACGATCAGTCCTAGCATGGTAGCTATGTCCAGATTTTCTCAAGGGCCCAGCTTCTTTGCAGCAAAAGACCATCTCTTCTCGCGCAATCGCTTAGAGATGGTGGATGTACCCGAGCGCTTAGAAGTAAAACTCCAGTTCACCCTGGCTTACCCCTATCTCTATCTTGACCACGTTTGATGTTTTTACACGTAAAACTGCTATGGCGAGGGTACAGAGCTCCATAGCGATTTGCTGATACTCTGTGAAAGGTTGAAGTCACGAACGGGCGACGAAGATCCATCGCTGGCTTGTACAAAAGCACTGTGTTTGACTTCCTGTCTGCGGCGCTGGGAACAGCGTCCGCCGTATCTGTGGGCACTCTCTCTTCATCCTCTACGGCCTTTCGCGCAAAAAACAGCACTCGCTTTGCACTATGAGTCACGACGCATAGACGTTTTCTTCTCACGCAAAGTACGCTTACTGTGAACCAGCATCCCATTGAAAGGTCATCCTGTCTAAATGGGCTTCTATGCAGTCGCAGTCGTTGCGGCTGCTGCTGCGGGTCCTCCAGGACGTAGAGATGCTCTGCTCGAGTCCAACAATTCCTGCTGACAACGTGACTGGTACTGCCGCTGGAGCAACTGAGCCTGGCAGCCCATCTGTCGCTGCTCGGCATCGAACTGGGCTCGCTGCACTGCACGCAGCGAATCCTGGACGAACGGACAAACTCCACGGGGGCGAAGATTCCGCGAATCTCGAGCTTTGATGTACTTCAAAAGGCCGTGTTTGCTGCTGAATCAACAACAATATTTTGTGGTTATGTGAAGCGCCTGCATAAACACTTGTCTAATCGGACTTTTGCTTAAAAATATAGGTATATTCATGTGCTGGGATATTGCAGGCGTATCCTCGACCATTCAGAATAAGATGCATCAGATCTAGCAGCATATTCGAAGAAGTCTGGACAGGGAAACCCACCACGGGTATCTATTTCCATACAAACTTTCTGATATCTTTCCGTATCCCTGTACATCGACCAGTATCAGTCCCGTGAAAACTCATGTGGACATCGGAGTCACAGACTATAAATTGGAACCTTCAAAATTGTCTTTGCAGCTTGTAAGCCAGATATAATCTCGAAGCGCCAGCCCCAGTAAGAACCTACCTAGCTCTGATGATCCTCGGACCGGGCATCTCGGGGCTGTACAGAGAAAGTCCGAAACGCTCAGACTAAAGCCCCACCTAAAGGGCACCTGGATAATGCGAGAGTTCTCGAATCGCACCAGCCAGCCAGGTTTCGAGGCAATGCCCCTATCAAGCCAAAGAAGTACCTAAAGTCCCATCCATACGCTGTGAGAAGATATTTCTAGGCTTCCCTACAGGGCCGCTTCGAAAGTAGGGTTAGGGCTGCACTAGTGCGGGTGCAGGACTTTCGGTGCAGACCTCTGTACAGTCCCCCCGGATATGCAGATCCTTGCCGTCCTCGTTGGGACCTGGTCCCAGCGCTTCGGCGCTGGGATTTGATCCCGGCTGCCGATTGGTTCGAGAGAAGCACTGCGGTGACTTGGCCGAGCCTGCAGCACACTTATGCACATGCACATACAGTAGCGCAAACATTGCTTCGTCCGTTAAAGTTCCGCCTTGCGCTAGAGAATGCGTATGATAGAACAAGGACAAGGAGGGCAGGTCAATGCATGCTCATATCTTCTTCTTCTGATATCTCGCATCCAAACCAACGGCCACTTTTGATATTCACAGGTCGAATCCAGACGGCAAACAGAATGTTCGTCTCTTTATTTCAGCTTACCGTTGCTTGTGTCACTGCAGCTTCACTCTACCTATCGTACTGGAACATCACTGCTTCCATCGCTCGTCGGAATGCCATCAGCAAACACCGTTGCAAAGCCCCATTGGCCTATCCTCACAAAGACCCCTTCTTCGGCCTCGACGCCGTTCGGGATGCGATTACCGCAGCCAAGTCAAAGACTTCGATCGCGCGCCAAATCGGACAGCATCTGCGCTATGGAAGTACCTTTTCCTCCAAGTTCTTCATGACTCCCGTCATCAGTACGTCGGAGCCGGAGAACATCAAAGCCGTGCTCTCTACCAACTTCGGCGACTACGGTATCGGCTCACGTCGAAAACGGGCCTTCGCTCCACTTCTGGGCAAGAGTATCTTCCAGGTCGACGGACCGCAGTGGAAGCACTCGCGGGATCTTCTTCAGCTTTGTCTCACGAGGAGCCAGGTGGTGGATCTGCCGATGTTTGACTTGCACGTTACGAAGCTGATCGAGGCCATCTCTAGGCATGGATCCGCGACCATCGACCTGGGAATCTGGTTTCCCCGGCTGATAGCCGATTTTTCCACGGACTGCTTCTTTGGCAAAGGGATGGGTTCGATCGAAACACCTTCGTCTTTGAGCACCGAGTTTGTGCAAGCTATGCACGACGCTCAAGCGGGCTGTGAAGATAGGTGGAAGCTGGGTCATTTCAGCAGCCTGTTCCCGCACCGGGAGTTCTACAGAAAGGTCAAGAGAGTCCACGATTTCATCAATCAGCATGTGGAGAGAGCTATGGGATTGCACGATTGCTCGGAGGGAAGGCCAGAAGTTGGTCGTTCCGAAGGAGAAGACAGGCGCGTCTTTCTCTACGAGCTCAGTAAACTCACCAACGACCGGCATTTCCTTCGCGACGAGATTCTGACCATCTTTTCTGCTGCCTTCGATCCTGTTGCGGCTCTTCTCACGAACCTTTTCTTCATTCTTGCCAAAAGGCCCGATGTATGGGAGCTCCTGCGTGGAGAGGTGAGGCCCCTCGATGGTAAAAACCCGGATATGAGCCAGCTCCGGTCTTTGAAGTACCATCAGTTCTGTCTCAAAGAATGTGAGGGTCCCTCACACGACTTCATGGCTAGAATTGATTGGAAATTAACCATTGGCTTAGCTCTGCGACTTCACCCAATCCTTCCTTCCAACTCCCGAGTAGCGTATAAGGATACCATTCTCCCTCGTGGTGGAGGTCCTGACCAAAAGTCGCCAGTATTTGTCGCAGAAGGAACCATGGTCGCTTTTGGCATTGCCGCTATGCATCGTCGTAAGGATTTATGGGGCGAAGATGCAGATGATTTTCGGCCTGAGCGATGGAGAAATGATAAGTCATCCTGGGTAAGCATTGTCCTTTCGCTCGGGCTCGCTCTACTGTATTTGAAGGTTGCATTTCAGCATCCTGAGGCAGTCAATATTTCACAAGAGAGATGCTAATACATATGGCGCACTGTTTAGAAATTCATCCCTTTCAATGGCGGCCCAAGAGTTTGTCTCGGCCGTAAGTTCTCTTTCTCAATATTTCGTTTCTTTCCCCTCAGTACATGTTTTCTCAGCCCCATTTTTCTGACCAAGAACAGAAGACTTTGCCATGAATTTGACTATCTACACACTCGTGCGCCTTGTGCAAGCTTTTCAGAGCGTCGAGAGCCGCGATGGCAATGAGTGGGTGGAAGAAATACACCTGGCCTGCACGAGCCAGAACGGGGCGAAGGTCGTGATGAAAGCGGGTTGAGCCCTGCAACTGGGATCTGGAGGGGCACACAATTAGACGCACGTGTTTGAGGGAGGAAGACAATATAGAAAGATGTTGATATTCGTAGACTGGTTGCTCCTCTCTTGCTCGTTGTTCGCGTGAAACCTGGCTCTTCCTACAAGGTCGTAGTACTTCTCGTAGGCTCCAGTAAGAGCAGCAATCTTCGGCCCTGGAATTGCGGCTAGGGGCCTCAAATAGAGCCAGTGAATAAGGCCGTTACAACATAGGCTAGAAGAGCGCTAACGGAGATCAATGTGCTTTGTGATGGTCGGGATTTTGAGTTGGCAATGGTATTTAAGCCGTCCGGTCCGTTGCATGAGGGTGCAATGCAGCTAGATAGTAGGGCTGAATAGTGAATGGTGCCAACTAGTCGCTAGATGCATATGAGCCGATCTTCCAAACAAGAATTCGTCATGCACGTCGGGTTTACGAAACGAAGAAGTTCAATTTCCTTTAGTCTCTCTTGAATTTGGTGGGGAAAGAGCCCCGCACACGCTGGTTCTTGTCTTGGGCCATGTGATGCGACAATGCCAATATATGGACTGGTCCTTAGCAACTCTGTTTGCTCATGGTCCGATGAAGCTGGGATATCTCATCCTTAGGACTGGTATCCTCGGTCGTTTAACTGCAGCAAGATTTTCGTCCACTCTTCTAGGGTAGAGTATTAGATCAAATAAAGTTCCATCAACAAAGCTGTCTTCCATCTCTCATGTCCTTTCTGTCACTCAAATTTAAGAGACAACAGTTAACACCAGCGGTGCATCGCGACGGCCCCATGGACTGGCCAAGAATGGTGTTACCATTATCCAATGTAGGTCACCCTGTCCTACAAGTCAGGCCAGCGTTGACTTCTCTCTTCCTTTCTAGTCTCAGAATGTCCGAGCTTCCTGCGACGTTGTTTCTGCCATCTCGAGACACCCAACACCAGAGACAGAGGCGTTCCGACTATTGGATACCTGGTTCTGCCCAGCCACCGAGGACGCCAAGTTCTGGTGGCATATGATAGGTCGCCCTCTAGCTCTGTTACTCCACGAGGCTGGTTACGATATCCATAATCAATATGGAAGTCTTCTGTTTTTCCGCCATTGTATCGCCGGCCGCTTAGGAGCTCGCCCTACATCCACGGGATCTCCGCAGGTCTGGAGAAGTTTCATGACAGACGACTTCAGTCCCGTTGAGTACAGTTGGTGCTGGGACACGCCAAAGGGACCACCCAGAATTCGATTCAGTGTTGATGCAATCGGTCCCGACGCGGGAACACAGTCGGACCCTTTCAACCAGGAGATGACGACCGACCTTGTCCGACACGTTGAGTCTGTTGCATCAAACGTTGACTGGAAGTTGTTCAATCACTTTCGCAACGCATTCTGCGAGCAAGGATTGGAGAAGCGTGTCAGCGAGGGATGTGACGATCTTGAGAAGAGTCACACGTCTTCGATCTTCATGGCGTTCGAACTGCACAAAAGCGAAGTCGCTGTGAAAGCATACTTTGTTCCGGTCAAGGCTGAACAGACGGGCCGCTCAAGGCTCTCCGTACTCTCGGACAGCATCGTAAGCTTGGAAAAGTCGGACCTTCGAGTGGGAGCCTATGACCAGATGCTTGCCTTCATGACCAGTGACGCGGAAGGGTCACATCTCGAAATCGTGGGGATTGCAGTCGATTGTGTACTTCCAAAAGATTCGCGCTTGAAACTGTACGTCAGATCGCCTTCAACCTCATTCGACAGCGTCTGCGCGATCATGACCCTGGGCGGCAAATTAAACACTTTTCCTCAAGCTACGTGGAAGGATTTCCGCAAACTCTGGCAACTCACCTTGGGTCTCGGCGAAGACTTTGCTCCTGGTGCAAATTTACAAGCCAAATCCCATGAGACGGCAGGCGTATTGTACAACTTCGATATCAAAGCAGGAAACCTTTTGCCAGAGCCCAAAGTGTACATCCCTGTGAAACACTACGCCCGCAACGACCTGGCCGCTGCCAAAGGCTTGGCGTCTTATTTGAAATCGAAGGGTCAGGATCGTTTCGTGGAGAGCTACATGCGAGCGCTGGAGGGTATGTGCACACATAGGTTTCTGGGAAGCCAATGTGGACTGCAGACTTACATCTCATGCGCGGTGCAAAACGCGCAGCTGGTATTGACATCTTACCTTTCGCCAGAAATCTATCATGTTGCTAGATGGAAAGCATAGATAGCGGATTATACTGCATCCCCTCCCCCAAGTTCGAGTAGATTTTGACTCAAACATTTGATATAGCCCTTCGGTACCTTCCTTGTGAAGTTTGACTCGGTGCGTTTGGTTCTGATACCACCATGGTTCTTCTTCGAAGTTTTCCTTCTTAATAAAAGCATTGCAGATAGCTCCAATTCTTTCACAATCATCTAACAGGACTCCATACCATCCTCATACTGCTGCGACGGCGAAGGCAGGACTCACAACAGGCAGAGAGCCTGCTGTATTGTTGCGGGGCTCGTCTGAGCGCTCGTTCGCTAACTGGCCTCCATATCAGTTGCGCCCCGCTTGGCATTCGAGTGTCAGCGGCGTAGCCTCTGCAGATCACGTTGGGTGGTCGCGGCCCACTACGATTACCGGGACCTCTGCTGCCCCCTGAGCCACTCAAGAATTGCCCACAGTCGGTGCTGCCTTTTGTACCCTAATGCGAGCCATTTTTGCTTATACCGCATCTATTCGGTTGCTTGGCTGGTACGACTGTTGGAGGGGCAGTTGATGCGCTTTATTGGGTGATGATGGTGGTGACGATGATGTATGAATGCGTAGGACGTGCTTGCCACTGATTGTTCTGAGATGACCAAACAATTCCCCAACCAGGGGCCGCAATAGCCACTGCTTGACCGCTAGCAGAATGCGATGCGCATAGCACTGGAGGTAGAGCGGTTCAATGATGGCAATCCAGCAATATTTCTGACTCGCAAACGAGCCCTTTCACCATTAAAACGAGGAAGCTTTTGTAGCGGCTGGATGTTAACATGGATACGTTGGAATTGGTACGGCTCGAAAAGGCGCTCATGCTGTCAATAAAGAGACGACATAGTCAGGAAAAGGTGCTTTGTTGCTAAACTTTGAGCACTGAGACTCAAGCTCTCCACGATTTCATGAAAGACTCTCTTGCTGTAAGTTCTTTCATGACCTCTTGCTGTTCCACTATTTGCACATCTAGGTTACTGTCATCCCAGTAAACGAAGTCGAATCGGTGGGAAGGGTGCGTTATTTCGGCAGATGATACACACTTGAAGCAATAGTCAAAATTCGGGCATTCTGAGCATTTGAACCGAGAGCCAACGATAATCTTTGGAGGGTCAGCAGTCTCGTCCAACGGAAAATCATCGAGACTGCTACGACTCACTAGTTCACAGCCGTCGCAAAAAAATCGAGGGTGCCGCAAGGACATGCTTGAATGTTGGGTCTGGAACATTCCTGGAAGTGGCCTGTTGTAGGGTCTCAAAATCGCCGCCGCGCGAACATTGCCATGGTATGTAGCAATTGCAAAAGGGATCCACTCTTCGTCGCCTTGGTAGAAGCTGTCAGCGCCTGCATGTAGTAGCATTTTTATATTGGTGATGTTTCCTGCTTTTGCAGCCCAGAGCAATGGCGTCCATCCATCGACGTCGCTCTGGCTTGGATCGAATCCTTGTTCGAGCAAGTACTCAAGGACTGCGCGACACCCTGCAACTAGACCTGCAGCTGCATTGTGAAGACATGTGCGCTGCTGCTTGTCCAGCGCCTCGAGATCAAAGCCACGGTTCTTGAGATACTGAAGACATCTCAACCTCCCTCCATTTGCAGAGATATGTAGAAGGCTCCTTCCTTCCGGGTCAAGGGGGGCTGCTCTGAAGACTTCGCAAGCAATATTTCGAGCATAGGAAGATGACCCTTGAATGCAGCTATCCTCATTGCATCATCGAGAATACCACATTGGGCCTGTCTTTGCAAGTCATGCTTCAACAAGATTCTCGCTGTCTCTCCATCGCCAGATTCCGATGCAAGAGTAAGCGGGGCAGCTCGATATCTATTTCTCAGAATGACGTCCGCACCTCCTGTCAAAAGTAGATGCGTTAGCGATTTTTGTCTTTTCGTGATAGAAAGATGTAATGCTGTTTCTCCTCGGAGATTGACAGCATTCACATCAGCACCGTGCTCTAAGAGCAGTTGGGCCCCTTTCAGTAGCGTATCTGACGCTCTGACGTTTCGCTCTATCCAGCCCCAAGGCTCAGACACCATTGAAGTGAACATCATAGATGCCATATGCAGGGACGTATTTCCATCGCGGTCTGTTGCAGTCATGTCTGCACCGTTGCTCAACAGCAATTCCAAGATTCCTACGTGTCCACAACCGGCGGCTTGATGCAAAGCAGTATCCCCCCAGGTCGTCTTCCAAGCTACGATTTGTCTTTGGCTGGCCAGCAGGTGAGACACTGTATGTTCCAGTCCGTACACAGAAGCAAGCCACAACGCTGAGACTTCAGAGGGAAAGCGACGCATTTGAAAGCTGCCCATTGATTCTCTGAAAAACAGTACTTGAACGGAGGTAGATGTTTTGGCGCTATTTGAAAGGAATGAAAGTATCAAGTCTTTGCAGATTTCTTCTGCTCCTTGACGTGCATGCCGGCCCCAGTTGAGAACTGCGTAGCGTAGCAGAGGGTACCGTTGTAACCGAAGCTCAAAGTCTTTGTCCTCATGGCATGGTCCTTGCTCGAATTCGTCAAAGGAGAGGTATGTAAGACATGTCCGTACTATGTCGACCTGAGCTTCTGGAAAAAGGCAGTCCCCTTTCTGCTCCAGATATTGTTGAAAAGTGTAATGGACCAGGGCCAAGAAGCCCCCCCTCCTTCTCATTTGTGACAAGACCATTGCACACCGACAAAAGCAGGTCTTCCTCCGGAATGTTGTCTTCGTCTAGAGCTGAGTCACCAGTCTCCACTGCTAGTGCGTGCCGTATTTCTAACATCGTAAGGGGCCGGGAAGCATAAAATACCCAACACAGAACTTTTTTGGCCAACGTAGCTTGATCAGGATGCTGAGATTCGATTCGTTCCATAGCTTCGTCATAGGTATTGTTTAAGCCTTCGGGCAAAGCCGTCAAAGCATTCCTCGCTTTGCGAAGAGTTGTCTTTGTTGTCAAGAAATCCAGGTGGAGACGGGCTTGTAGAAACCTTTGCAATTATTAACGCAAGAAGAATGGAACGGCTGAACATTGAGAGATTAGTAGTCTTACATTCCTTCAGCTCTCGCAGCAATGGTCGTTGAGATAAGATCGCATAAGGTTGGATCTTTATCAGCATGAAACTTGAGCCTCTCCGAGCTCGATATCCGCTCTCGAAGATACTCTAAAATATCGTCAGCTCTAGCTCGTATATCTAGTCGAACCGCTTCTGAAAGTTGGCGTTCAATGGTTGGTATGTCCCTTGAGGTGATCAGCATATTGACATGTAGGTGCTGCAACTCTGTCACTAAAGAACCTCTACGCTCTTCAGGGTATTCGTCAAAAGCATCGATGACGAGGAATATTGTAGCACAACGGCTGACAACAGATCTCAGTAACTGCGTGCACTCCGCATGTGATGGACGTGTTGCTCCAGATCCGTGGGCTTCGTAAGCTTCGGTCAGATCAACCAGCAAGACTGGCTCCAAGAACGCTAATTGGCAGACCAAACTCCCCAGTAGGTTGGTAACAGTCTGTTTCTCTGTATCTTTGTAGCTAAGGTAGATGTAGGCAAGGCGGGTATCATTGCGATCCACGATTCCTTGCAAGTGGTTGATTGCATAGGAGCTGTCGAAGGTGTTAGCAGAGCGAATAAGAGCAGGACGCTGCAAGGAGCTCACGCAAAGATCGTCTTTCCGGTACCCTCTGTCGATGTCAGCACATTGCTGTGATGAAAGCCTGCGGGGATTATCAGGTAAATAATAATGTTGACTTACGTATGCCTGGACACCAAAGCGTTTCCCCAGGTCTGCTGAGCCAATGTCTAAATTCCGCGGTCTCCAGTAGCGATCGAGCGGCAGCATCCTGCCGCCCTGGTGTATTGAAAGTGTCTAAATGCTTTTTTTGGAATTCCGCGGTCAGAGGCGAAAGCCAATTATACACATTGCGACAGTACTCATTGCTCTGAGTCGCTACCAAACCATCGATAGATTTGGAGGTCTTTCGAGAGGAAGCTTCTATACTCTGGACGTTACCGAAAATCGCGGCAGATCGTTCTTGCAATATGTCAACATTAACGGAGACATTTGTTAGTCCGTGAGCAAGCAGGTCCAACTTCTGCAAAGACGCCGCAGAGCACTCAATCTGTAGAACTTCCAGGGCTAGCGTGAGGTCGTGTCGTAGCTCGATACCAAGCTCCTTGAGCTTTGCCAAGGTACTCTCCTTGAAAGGGAATAGTGTCCTTCGAAATTGCGCCATACCCTTGGCTTTCCATCCTGATTGTAGGGGAACGACGCGAATCTTGTCCAGCTTCTTTCGAAGGCTCTCAAGGCCCCTCTCCACAGACCTGATACTTTCTTCAATTCTTTGCACACTATCACGGCTGAACACCGTAGATCCAATGGCCGATTTGAGGAGTTTGAAGGTCTCGGTCAACGCCTCAATCGATGAGTACATGTGTGCCACTTGGTCCTCTGCATCCTTCCAAGAATGATAGTAGTCTAGCAAGCCTTGGCAGATAGTTATGCCAAGGGAGATGAGGCCCGCAGCCCCGGAAGAGAGGCCTAGAGGTTCCATCTGTCGACACAGATCTCAAAGTACCATTGAGGAGCTCAAGATGAATGCGGATGAAATGTGCAATAGAATCCTTCAAATAGAATCCTTCAGCCTTGTGTTTCGAAGCTGCCACGGCGCGAGGCGGTGCCATGACGCAGCCGTGCAGCGACGCTATCGCACGAACATGCGTAGCACCGTGCCGCCAGCAACGATGACGGCTCCATTTTCTCTACGATATTTTTCCACCAATGCAACTGCTTCAATATCAGCATGGGCAGATGCATCACTAAGACATGGACCATCGGACGGAGACGAATAGAATAATAGGTTGAATTCCATGATTTCATCCAATCAGGCGCTTCCGCGCGCCAAAAGTCTTGGCGAAGCAAGCGCACTTCCCACGTCTTCTCCGTTCTGAGGAATCTTTGCTCGCCCACGAGTGTGGACTACCCTTACTGGGATTTGAGACTCCAATCATCCGATTACTTTGGCGTAACTGCTCCTAAGCGTCTGACTTCAGCCCTTTCCAGTGTGCACTGCTGCTGAGGTGCAATGCGCCGTTCAATGGCTATCCTTTCGGTCTGCTGCCTTGGTCCCGAGTTCTCGTAGTGCGCCTGGGCAGCCCAAGCGTAAATGGAAAGCTGGGGAACAAGTCTGGGTCTGATCCCAAGGATTGGTGGGTTTCCCATCAATTGAAGCTTGATCCTTTCCCTATTGTGCACGGCGTACACTGCACTTCTTGCCTAACAGGAAATGCTCTTTCGAGTGATCCGATTCCCTCTGTGAATGTCTGACCATGAGACGGTGTACCAAGATCGGGTACGGAAGATCTGTGGTACGGAGGTTCGTGGTCGAAGGCTTCATCGATCACCCTGTTGGCCTTTCCGGAGAGGCGCCCATACGACCTGCGAGAAAGTGTTGTAATTGATGATTATCCGTTCTGAGATAGAGTTAGCACAGGCAAAGCGCAAGACGTCGGTCACTCACGGCTGACATGGCCGACGAACACTGGGTACCACGGCTCTTGGTTGAGAACTCCATTGGTTGTCCTCGTTGCTTTCTGGATAAGGCGCCCACGCTGCATCCATGATGCTGTTTTAGTCTAATGCCGGCTCTTCCGTCCAAATGTGAGCATGTGGAAGCGACCCTAAGGCCTCACGAGCGTCGTGCTTGTCCGAAAAATGCAGAAGAGGGTGATGATCCTCAACGCCGCGCTAGCCCCCTTAGCGCGCGCTCGTTCATCAACACAAGTGCAGCTGACCACCAAGTCCGACTCCTGGGGCAGCCCAGCCAGACAGACGGAGCCTTAGGAACAACAGCAAAAAAGGAAAGACACAAAAAAGGAAGATATAGACAGCCTCAGATAAAAAAAGAGAGGAAAAAAAAAAAGAAGCTCAGTCGAGAATCAAACTCGAATTGTCCAGGAGCATTTCCTCCGCCGACCCACCGACATGCCTCCATAAGGTGCAATGAGACACACCTAGAAAGTCCTGCAACGCTTTCCACTGCGCCATCCGAGCTGGGACCATCTAAACTTCTATTTCCGTCCATATTGCACACACGCAAGCATTTGCCTTGTTTACTGTAATTCCTTCATCGTCACTAATAGAGATACTAAATTGCGCAGATTTTCGACGGTAGATGTTGAGGATACAGGGGCATATGGATGCTCTTATGGCGCATGTGCTGTCTTTGACGCTTTGGATGTTGTTACGGCCAGCGCCCTACGAATTGCTTATACCTCTTCCTGATAGCAGAATATGAGATGCGGATATCCTAAAGTAGCAACGATGAGAATTTGTCCCCATTCCGTAGGCAGGCGTATGGCAACTACTGTGATAAGCATGGCCGAATGAGTATGCGAGCCCCTACGCGTAGCATTGTACACTACCCAATACATTCCGAGCTACCTCAAGCGACAGTCACAAGTGAGCTGAGAAAGCACAGAATGATGGGCAACGACAAGGACTGCCAGTACTACTGTGTAATCTAAATCATTGAATGCCGTCTTTCAAATCTAGCCTGTGGCAATCTAATACGCAGTCCCAATGGTCATCGACAGCATTCCATCCGCCACTTTCCATCGTCCTCGATAATAATGCAAGCTCTGTTGTTGAAACCAGAGCCTATCCTTCCATTCCCCCACGAAAATAACACATGATCTGTTGTTGAAACTAGATCCTATCCTTCCATTCCCCTACGCTGTCCTTCCACCTTTGCTGACCAGCGTGTCCAAGACTTGGGGCAAATCTTAGTCAAGCGGCTCCCGCTGAGGCGTGGCGACGTCTGACATGCTCGCCAAGCTTGTCTTTCCTAGAGCTGCTGTAACTGCAATCCTGGACATGACACTGGAAGACTTTGGAACCAGCTTGGTGGATCTTGGCGTGGCGCTCTAGGTCGGACTGACGACCGAAGGTCTGATGGCATTCTCTGCACATTGGACGCGGCGGAATTGGCGGTCCAATGTCGAAAGGAACGAGATTGATATTGGACGCGGGAATGGGGAACGGGTTTCCTGCTCCGATCTGTCCGTTATTGTAAAAGGTGGGTCCCGTGAGAACGGTGTTGTTGCCAATGGATGCGGCGTTGGAAGCAAAAGGTTGCTCGAGATAGCGAGACCGGTCCGGATTATGCCAATGAGCAGCAGGAATGTCGTTATTCCAGGAGTCTGCAAGCGCTGGGCTTAGAAGGTCGACCGGACCCGTACCGAAGACGTGAGGCTGGTCGGAGAAGGGATTCTCAACAACGCGCAAGTGATCAGACCACTCGAAAGGAGCAGCGATGTGCTTGTTTGGCAGGCCTGCAGCTGGTGGTCCCTGTGCGCGAGTGTTGGTTACAGCGCAAGGTGCATAGCCGTTGTTGTTGTTGTAGTCGTTGACAACAGAATGGTCTCCCACCGAGTACGGCAGCCCCGAGTAATCGAACGAAGCGCCGAAATGGCCTTCTGAAGAGCCTGCAACTGAATGAAACTGTGGGGTATATGTGCCAGATTTACTCGCAACAGCAGTATCATCGTTGCAGGCGATGTCGACAGCAAAAGTGTTTTGGGGCAAACGTGAGGTGCCCGAAAATGTATGGACGCCATTATGTTGTTCCAGGAGCTCCGAGGTCGAAAAAGAAGCTTCGCATCCTGCATACAGGCACACGTATTGATTCGCCCAGACCTCACGGGCTAATCGAAGGCTTGGGCCTGAAGGTCAAATTAAGTCAAAAAAAAAAAAAAAAAAAAAAAACCTACCCGGGCTGAGCTGCGGCTAAGTCATGCATATATGCATCTTGCTGCAGTCTCGGCACGAGATTGGTCCGTCCTTCTTCCATGGCGCTATCGGGCGTCGAGAGCGGCTGAAGCAGGGCGTTGTCGGCGCAGGAACGGGGCGCTCTTCGTGCAGGAACGGGGCGACCAATGAAAAAGATGGTCGATTCGGTCGTCAAATCAGAGGGTGCAAAGGTAGCAGTGGTGTCGAGCAAACCCTTTGAAAGTCGTCGGGGGAACCCTGAGCTCTTGTAGAAGTTGTCCTCACCTTCGCTGGGGGCGAAGTAGCCCCTGAAAGTTTTACCAGCAACAGATGCAGGTCCATACCGGCCTCGTCCAATCAGGACTCGACACTCAAAATAGGGCAAAGAACCTACCGCCCCTTCTCAGAAAGAAAAGGGGCCTGCCTCGCGAGGAAGGACCATCAAAGAATGCTAACATCGGCTGCTGCAGGCTAGCAGCATCAGCTTTTCTCTCCTTGCGAGCCCTTTGGCTCGCCGCTTTCAATTGCTTCAGCGGCCATCTCATCCGTCATCTTCTCCTCACCGCTCTCCTCGTTATTTGTAGAGTTACCTGCAATTTCCGCATCTTGCTCCTGCTGTTGCCCTTTCTCTTCTGGCCCCAAATCCCTCCTTCTAATTCCCCAACCGCCTCTCCACCCCACCCAACCCTTCTCCCAGGGCCCCCTCGCAAAACAGAAGCACAAAGCCGCTCCAATGAAGCCCACGCTAGCACTTCCACTTTTGTGCCATCCCCCTTGCGCATACAGCGTATTCCCCACGGATGTTCCCACAATCTGGCCAATGAACACGCTGACCATGAAAGCTGTGTTGACTCTGTTCCTCGCCTTGGGTTCAATCGCATAGATCGCTGTTCGATTGGCTATCTGACTGGTTTGTAGCCCAAGGTCGATCATGAAAGCTTGGATAATTGGGCCTGCGATGGTAAAAGTGCCTGTGTATGTACCGATTGAGATGCCGGCAATGCAGATGAATTCGCCGATGATAGTGGAGAACAGTGGCACGAATCTGTCGATGACGAGGCGTGAATACGGAGGACCGAAACACATTGCGAAGATGCCAATCAGAGCAAACAAGCCTATATACAACGGACTAAAATTGTAAGGCTCTCCAGCAAGAAGGAAAGTCAAGGTCGTCCAGTAAGAAGTAAAAGTCGTAGACGTACAAAACCCCACCAGACAGGCCTGCATGAGGACAGGATGCTTGAAGAGCATTGTGACGATACTCCATAGCATCTTGAAATAGTTGAGGCCGTTGGGGTTGGTACTGGGGTAATCGGGCAGAAAGAACCAAAGGAGGATAAAGATAAGATACTGAAGAGCAAAGGCCAGCCAGTAGACGTTGCGCCAGGAGGTATATTCGGTGACGACGCCGGAGAGAACACGAGCTATGAGGATCCCGAGGAGGAGGCCGGAGACTACGATCGAAAGAGCTGTTGCGCGCCGATGCGCAGGGGCGAGGTCGCCGACGAGGGGAAGCACTGCACAGTCGTCAATATGGGATCACTCGGGAAGTTGGAATTTGTGTACGTACTCAATTGCGGTGTCACAGTCGTCAAGGCCGTAAGGAACGAGAGAAAGCAGAATACTGGAAAGGAATTCGTAATGCATAGTCCTATCCTTGAAGCCAACAGTACCATCAGCATAGATGTTACGAAGATTCAAACGCCAACACATGGATCTACTCACCAAGAAGTAGCCGTAAACCACACCAAAAGTAGAACGAAAGGCCTTCTTTGAAAAAGATCCCCTAGTGGACACAAGAACAATAGCCCTGCCCCATATCCTGCTTGGGCCAGCGTAGGAATCAAGCTGACCCGTTCTTGGTTGACATGGAAATCATCCGCCAGCTTGTTCAGTATCGGATGGGAATAGTATAAATTGGCCACAGTAAAAGCCCCCGCAAAGCCGAAAAGAAGGTTCAATGGCATTGAAAATTCGAAAGGTTTGTCTGGATTGTAGCGACATCTTTTGGGCGTGTAGGCGATTATGCTGTAGATCCTTTGCCAGATTGTGGTGTTCCCTTGCAAGGACTGCACAGAAGGAGAAGAGACTGTGTCGCTGCCTTCGGGTCTTTTCACCTCGTTCTCAACAGATGATGCCATATCGGTATACCTGGATAAGAAAGACCACTAGGGACGAAGGAAGGGCATTACAAGGATTCGATATCACTAACCCTTCACCAACACACGGCTATAGGCTGCAGAAGTATATAGACACGGAGATGATGGAGCACAAGATAATACATAAATCTGCAAAATCTTGATGACGAATCTGTGCATGACCGAGCGCGCTTATTTCCGAAGTAAAACCCGGCCGACGCTAAACCGTGAAGGGAAGGAGCTTGCTAAGAAACTCCGCTAATACGTCTTAGCGTTACTCCCTAATCTGCTGGCCATGTCATCTATTCCACCGAGCAGTGTTGCTACGTTTAAGTAATCACAGCATAAGAGGCGGACCACGGCTTTCGCAGAAAGGGACACAAACCCACTCACTTGGTACGTCGGCAGTAAGTACAGTATGTCCTGTGACTCGTGAGCATTCTCATAGTAATTATACAACACGGGGTGACTGCCATTGCGGGAAGACGGACGAGCATTGCTTCATAACGAGGCACTTGTGGAGGAGAGACTCAGATGATCTCCTTCCATGGAGTAGAGATTGTACACGCCATGATAAAGCATTCCGGATGACATCGGACATTGTTTTGAGACTATAGGATTGGGACTTCGTGGACAGAAGGAATTAGGATCAATGACTCGCATATTTTGGAGGAGTCGGCTCAGCAGTATTGCCAGGAGAAGCGACTATCAGTGCGCGCGGGGCGACGTTATCGAACCAGACTGTGTCCTCGATCACATTCCGAATTAAGGTGTTGATTCATGGATGTAGGGTTCACGAGGGTCGGCACCTTGATGTGGACTCTGGGCGACGCAGCTTTTAGCCAGTAGGCAGAAGTCTGCCCTCGTTGTGCATGTGCTTCGAATCCTGGCATGGAGTCTGTTAATGTCAACGAATACGGAGCTTGTGATGGATCCGCGACACATGTCCAGATCACCACACTGCCTGGAAATTGGAGGAATCGTTATTGTGACTGATCAGTCCAAAGACAAAATCCCAAACAAATCCAATAATTGTACACTCAATAAGCCATTTGATCAAAGGTCCATCTTTTTGAGAACCTGCTCCCTTCTCGGCAACTTATGCACGGCTTTTTCTGATTTTTCTTCCATAAGTATTTCTGTACAAGTCGAAACCATCCCCACGAGGCAAAATTACGGCTAGTAATCAAAACAGTGGCAGCCGATCCGCTTAAAGCGGCAACCGGGGCTCATGCCAAGACGTTGAGGGGCAGGGTGTAGGATGAGGCTGTGAGGATTATTGATCTGGTTGTTGCCTGGGCTCCGAAGCCTGGGCATCACACCTTCCATCTGCGGAGATTATGAGGGAAGCTTGGTATGATCCCCAAGTCAGATCAGTACTAGCGGTAGAGAGTAAAGACAGGTAACCAGGCACCCTTGTACGCCAATAGAGTGGGTGACAGGCACTAACATCGAAACAGCGTCCTAGATCCCATTCAACGCAGGCCGTCCCAAACCCTATCCCTAGGCCATGCGCCTCCTAGACACCTCCACCATCAAGCTCTCCGAGTTCTACGGAGACGACATCCCAGAGTATGCCATCCTCTCTCACACCTGGGGCAAGGCAGAAGTGTCGTTCCATGACCTGCAGAACGTGGAAGCAGGGCAACTGGATGGATTGGAAGGATACGTGAAAATAAGAGCTTGCTGTGAATTAGCAGCTCATTACGGATATCAATATGTCTGGATAGACACATGCTGCATCGACAAGACCAGCAGTGCAGATTTGTCGGAAGCGATCAACTCCATGTTCCGATGGTACCAGAATGCCCGGATTTGCTATGCCTACCTAGCCGATTTCTGTATGCGTGACGAACTCTTAATGGGAAGTCCTATAGATGAGCAGACATTTCGTAAGAGCAGATGGTTCACCAGAGGATGGACGTTGCAAGAGCTCTTGGCGCCTGGGAACGTGGAGTTCTACGACAAGAACTGGCATTATTATGGATCAAAGTCGAGTCTCAAAGACCAGATATCGCTCATCACTGGTGTTCAACAGGGTCATATGTTTGACATCAGCGGTGCAAGCGCGGCGCAGAAGATGTCCTGGGCTTCTGGAAGGAAGACAACTAGACTGGAAGACATAGCTTACAGTTTAATGGGTATCTTCGACGTAAGCATGCCATTGCTCTATGGTGAAGGAAGAAAGGCTTTCATAAGGCTTCAGCACGAAATCGTGAAGATATCGGATGACGAATCCATATTCGCCTGGATGGACGGCGAACTTCTCGAGAGCGGTGTATTCGCACAAACACCACATGCCTTTGCTGAATCCGGGGATGTGGTTCAAATCATCGATGGTCACCGGTTGTACGTACGTAGAGCCCCGTACGCGGTGACCAATAGAGGTCTAGCCATCGAGATCTTTGCCAGCGAGAAGCATGAAGCAGCAATTATCTCAGATCAGGGCTTCTCATTCCTACCGCTCAATTGCGGACGGCAGCCAGAGTCAGGTGCCGGTTCGGTCCAATGGCTCGTTGACATTGAGCTGAAGAGAATATCTCGAGATGACTTTGTCAGGTGGTCACCTGGGAAATTGAACCCAGCAGTGTGGCCGATCAATGTGAATTGCACTCGGTTGGTGTACGTCCGGCCTGCACATGTCCTCTACGAGCCTCATGAGCAACGACGGTCATTGTTCATCAACGCATCGTCCCTGTGGAAGCGTGGACTTACGATCTCGCCAGCCTATGGTTGTCGGCCAAAGCTGTACCTTGGGGATGGGGCACAGGACGAGAGCGTCTGGAGAATTAAGCTGGGGACGGGCCAGAGCTCTGTAGCACTACTTTTCAAGAGTACTCGAGGTGACAGTCAGCAACTATTCGGAGTGATCCTGCGTGCACTCAACGGTGTCCCGTGCATAGATCTCATCATTCCCTCAGCCGATCCGACCTTCCAAAAATCAATGGACGAGTACGGTCAAATGTCCAAGTACAAGTACGTGGACGGTTCGATAATCCATGCCCCTCGCGGAACAGAAAACCGAGTCTCCAAGATACTACAAGACAATTGTTGGGTGTCTGCGATCTTGACATGGAGAACAGTTGCGCCTGGCGAAAGGCGTTTCTTTGTGGACTTCGCATTCCGAGAAGCCCAAGCGCAAATATCGGAAGTTGCAATTGGGAACGAAGCATCTCCTAATACATCAATACCACACGAAGTCAACTTATACACGGAGCGAAGAAAAGCCGCCGACGACAAACTACATGGGTGAATTTACAATTTTGACTTGCGGTATAGGCACGGATCATGGGGGCACAACTGATGGGCAATAGCGAGGACCTCGATTGCATGCACGAAACATGTAACGTAATTAACGGTTCAACGAGAATGACTCGGCTTCGAGAATCCTGAGTAAGGTAAGCACGCCATTAGCGCACGGACGGAGATGGCTACCACTGGAATTCCCCAGAGCGACGTCGTCGCCGCCGGCCTCTCCCTATGTAAGTAGACTTGCAACACCGGATGGTTTCAACTCGTCTAAGGATGAGGTCTTCCGTATCTGTGACGTGTGATCAAGAGGAGCGAGTACGTTGTGGGCCAATTCAAGAGGAGGAAGTAGGTAGGTGATGTGTCGAATGACAAAGCTCGATGTTCCCAGAAATAGATGCTTGCTTACAACTCTTTCAAATGAAGCTGACTTACAAAATTGTGCCAATAGGAAGGTTGGTTCGCATGCGATTGTAAAGAGTTCTCGAAGCCCAGACATAGTTCTTGTTGACAATGACCCGTCGATTACGGTAGGTGATGTAGCTTGCCTAATTACTACCTTGATTTATTGATGATTTGACATCTATACACGCGTCTATCCAACCTACGGAGGATAAACACGCGGCGCATTCTACGTTCTCGGTTATATATATCTGGGAAAACCCCTACCGCGACGCCGTATCAGGACAAGACCCCTTCCTCATTCTTCCAGTCATTCGCATCTTCGGATCCACATCCGATGTCTTCCGACCCAACAACAATAGACCACGAGATTCCTGAATTGCTAATTCTTCCGGCATCAACGGTTCGAGAGTCTGTGCACCCAGCTACTTACGCCGCGGTCCGTATAACTGCTCCGCTGCTAGCCAGCGTGTATCGCCCAAGCAGACCACGGTGTCCGAATCAGCCACCTATCTGGCCGCTGCCTTGGCCCGCCTTAGGGGTTGTCAGCATTTTATGCAAGATCGCTGGTGCCCGCTGCCTTTTATCAGTGGTCACCTTCCGTCCGCGAATCTCGGGCAGAATACGAAGATATGCTTAACCTTCTGCTTGCGCTAATCACTACCTTCCAATTCCACACCTACCTTACTTCCGCAACAAAAATCCTTCCATCCAATCCCTACCAAACGACTACTCTAACCCTACCTCCAAAGAACAATCAGCGCGCCTTCCACCCCGACCTCACCTCACCGTGTCAAACGTCTTGGCACCCATCACCTACCTACCCGGGGCACGATCCCCCCCGATTCTAACACCCAGCCAGCCGCTCCCCCAGCCATCGGAAATACCAACCGTTACATCCAAACATCATCAGGCACACCCTTTTCTCAGGAGCAGAGTAAACGTACATACGATCCTCCGCGGACGGGTCTAGCACCGCCGGTATCGTCGATGCTGGAACTTACCCCTCCACTCCCCTCCGCATCCCACGCTCCCTCCGCCCCGCCCCGCCTCACCCAAACACCCCCTCCACCATCCCCATCCCATCGTCCGGCAAGCTTCGTGTCAACCATCTTGCCGGAACAGCGACGATCGTGATTTCATCTCCGCACCACACTCAGTCCCCAAAGGACTAGATTTTACAGAATCAGTGTTGATTTTGGATCCGCTTGTCGTGTAACATTTATGACACTCAAAGGGTTTTTTATCGTAGACGTGATCGTTGTTGTTGGAGTGATACACCGAACCGCCACGAGGGTGTTTTTGGCCGACACCCGGAATTTTTCCACGGAGCCGGTGCATGCGCGGATGCCTAAAAGATCGCTACGCCAAGCCCATATTAGGTAGGCATTCCGTGACCAGCGCGGATAGGTACAAAGTTCGACAGCAGTTATGGCTCCGTCCACACCACACCCCAGACCCCGGTCTTTGCGAGAATTTGTCCCGCCGGCAAGGGAGCAGCGTCTCAGAAGCGAGTGTTCGAAATAAAGGTCCCCAGCCTCACACCTGTCGGGAACAAGGGATGCTGATCGCTACAAGCAACGCTGTAAGCGGGATCAAAGCAACCCTGATTCACGAGGCCGGTACGTCGACGAGAAGGATACTGGCCCGGGGAGAGTTTGGAGATGGAATGGAATGGAATGGTTACGTTGCAATCTACACGTCAGTCACTCACTCACGGTACTGGAGCTGGAGCTGGTATTTTGACAGCGAGGTGGATTTATTATAGCTAGAGCATTAGGTATATCGGATGCGTGAAAGTAGAGATGTATTGAAAGTAGAGATGTATGGAAAGGAAAGGAAAGGAAGGGAAGGAAAGGAAAGGAGTCGAGTCGAGTTGAGTCGCTGGGAAAAATTGAGTTGGGTATCACGGATCCATCGCTTTTGTTATAACCGCCCCAACTCCCGACGAAGCATCCCCATGACCGTACTTTCGTTAAAGGATCTTCGTCGTGATCACCATGTCATTACCATCGTTATCATCGTCGTTATCACTATGTCATCGTCATCGTCATCGTCATCATCATCATCATAATCATGATACCCGTCACGAAAACCGCCGCCGTCATCAATGACCCCGGCGATCCAACAGGCTCTTGGCAAGCTTCTTGACGGCTTTGACAAAGTCCTTGGCATCTGCGCACGTCAGCATGCCACCAGCGTACAAATTCGCAGAGCGGCACGGTACCTGTCGGCAAGATAAAAGTCAACTCGTGCGCGCCGGTCGGCGTCCTCTGCGGGGTGTATTCCTCGGTGAAGACGTATCGCTGCAGATCGGCCAGGTGCACCACTCCGGGGGTGTCCCGGGACATCCACGTGGGCGAGATGATCTGGTGGGTGACGAAGGCGGTCCAGATGGGCTTCCTTTGACGGCGTCAGCGCGGCCCGCGATCGGTGTTGCGGTTGCCTTTCCCACTGCTTACCGTTTGAGCGTGCCGGTTTGCGCGGAGGCCTGGAGTCGGACGACGCCGGTGTCCTTTTCCTGGAACAGTCGGAGGGCGTGCTCGTAGCGGTCGTCGACGATACGTCTGCGTGGCGTCAGTCTTCGATCGGACGAGCACCGGCCGGTACTGACCCTGCGAATAACTCCTTTTCCTTGTGGACGTCGTAGTCTTTGATGGTCTTCCAGGGCATCTTTAGGTCTTCGGACCTTAAAGCCAGGAAAGTGCAGAAGAACAGCACCATTACTTGGTCCGTTCGTTAGGTGGGTGGACCGTCTGATTTCGGGGGGATGTGGGACCTACGTTCGTAGCTGGAGAATTTGAGACACGCCCAGAGTTTGGGGTTTCCTTCACCGACATCCTTGAATTCTAGAAAGGGGCCACTCCTTGACACGATCAGTGATACCAAAGGCAAGACGACATCCTTCCGTGAGCGAGCGGGACGTATGGTGCGGCATAGGAATCTAGATCTGCAATCGTGTGATCGCCAATACAGTCGTACGAGGAGATCACCGTTTTCAAATGGTCTGGGAGATCAGCATGGTGACGGGACTCATCGTAGTCTGTTCCACTTACAGCTCGACCACGTTGACATAACCATTTTCCTCGAGCCTGGTGCTGGAGCCCGGCATGGCGTGGGCCAGAGAAGCGGATCTAAGGGGCGGTCAGAGGGTGTGCGAGTAACGACTGATGCTAGCATGACATACGTCTGACCAGTGTCCCCCAACAGTGTTGCAGGTCGGCTTTGACGGAACACCTCTGGCAACCAATGGCTACTGAGAACGGAATTGATGCTCGAGGAGTGAGTGGAGAAGGTATTGGATGTGGTTGGCGAGCGAGGAATATCAGGGGCGGGCGGAGGTCGATGGGCGCCTCTACCAAAGTCGTGTTCCATATCTGGGTGACGATGATCGCCTCTTCCTCCCCCGCGCGGGTCCGGTTGAGGCTCTCGTCGTGGCTGCGGTACGTTCTGGCCTTGGGGCCTTCTCCTTTCGAATGAATTTGGTCTATTGACAACTACGACGGTTAGTGTGTGAAATCTCTCCCAATAGGGCTACTGACCTGGATCTCCGAGGCCAATTCCGTCAAAAGCTCTCGCGAAGCTATCGTCCTGTGCATCCAGCAGTTTCTCAACCTTGATAACCAATTCATCAAACAAGTCAGGGTCGCGTGGCAAGCTAGGATATTATTAGCGTACAGCGAGATAAATGTTTCCGAACTCGTTTCACCCTTCGATCAGTGTGTCTGATAATTCCTCTAAAATAGTGCAGTAGATTTCCAATCGCCGCCGTAAAGTATTACCGCTCTCGGCGCGGAAGAAGTCACACAGATCGTCCCACACGTAGCCGTACTCGGCGCGCGGTACCACCGCGACCCTGCCCACGCCTCCAAACAGCCTCTCGACGTCTCTGATTGTGTAAGTCAAGCTGCTCTTCACAGTCGTCAGATGAGCCGAAATGTCGGGATAACGTCGATGATACGGGAAGTCGCCGATTTTCCGATCGAGTTCCCGCAAGGCTGAGCTGGTCGAGAGGCACTCGGCCATTAGCGCGGTGATTTCGGCTGACTGATCATGCACGGGGTCCAAAAATTTCTCCAGGGCCGCGGCGACGTCTTGGGCCTTTTCGGCGACGGCTAGGAGGGTCGACGCCATCTCTTCTTCAGAGTCGCAGGTGGGTCTCCGCGCCGGTCGAGCGAGATCGGGTCCGATTCCGTGGCGTTATTCATCATCTGTTTCGAAGGCGCAATCATCACTCACGTTGGGAGAAAAGCAAGGCGAGAGGTTGTGAGGGATCGGAGACTGGGAATAGGTATAATAAGAAGTTACGGTTACTTGTGAGAGATTACTGTTGCGCCAAACGCGGATTGACGTGTTCAAATATAAAGTCAACTTTGTTATCCGAAAAGCCCGGCAGGCGAAGGAAAAGCCAATTGGAAATGGGACCGTCTTTCTCACTCTCCACATACCCGGTATGCTATTGCTTGCTAAGGAAAGGATCTCGGCCCTTGCGAGAGAGAAAAAGGCAGATCTTAGGCTGTTCCTTTTTAGTGCCGCCTTGAAAGGTCCTTTGTGTTCTGACGGTGCCCGTTCGTGCATGAGATCATTTCAAACATCAGTGGTAGAAAAAGTCAATCGCGCGCCCTACTAGCGGTGTGGAAAAAGGACGCATGTGCACTGGTGCAGGGTCTTTGCTGCGGGTCGACGGCACCATTGGTTGAGGATGGCAGAGCTTGCAGCGGTCGAGCGTCTGGAAATTGCAACATGCATACAGAATCTGTACACGGATAGCATTATTAATGAATGAGAGCATGGTGAGAAGACGCATCAGCAGCGATCGCCCGGCGTCTGCCCATTTGGTAGGCTCGCGGGTATTAAAAAAAAAAAGCCTGCACACGCCAAGCAATCCTTCTGCCTTTACGGACTGAAATGATACCTTCAATACCCTCTTCACAAGCTAATACTTGCCATGAGAGTTGTTCTTTATGCCAACATCTGTCTATTCCAGAGCAAAATCTTCTCGATAAGACCTTTCGTTGGCAAATTGTGTTGGATTTGCAGATTTTGAGGGTGTGCAGGCTTTTTTTTTCACCCACGTGGTAGGGACAAGGTGGGTAGCAGAACCGACGCACGAAAAGGGATTTAGCTTGACACTAGAGCATGACATCTGAAAACGCACGGGAACAGGAAAGTCCCCGCGGCCAAGGGTGTGGTCGAGAGTAAAAGGCCCTTTCAAAGAAGTCAAGATGATATACCGGCGGAGTTGGGCGTAGCGCGGTCAGTATATGCAAGGTAAAAGGAAGTTTGATAAAGGCAGGAACGGAACGGACAGGAGCTACAGTCGGGAACAGGAAAGTCCCACACAAGGGTGAGATCGAGAGTGAAAGGCCCTTTCAAAGATGTCAAGATGATACGCCGGCGGAGTTGGGCGTAGCGTAGTCAGTATGCAAGGCAAAAGGAAGTTTGATAAAGGCAGGAACGGAACGGAACGGACAGGAGCTATAGGCCAAGGGTACGGGAAAGTCTCCAAAGGCCAAGGGTGTGGTCGAGAGTGAAAAGGCCCTTTCAAAGAAGTCAAGATAATACGTCGGCAGGAGTTGGGCGTAGCGCAGTCAGTATACAAGATAAAAGGAAGTTTGACAAAGGTAGGAATGGAATGGATAGGAGCTACAGTCGGGAACAGGAAAGTCCCCACAGCCAAGGGTGTGGGATCGAGATCGAAAAGGCCCCTTTCAAAGATGTCAAGATGATACGTCGGCGGAGTTGGGCGTAGCGCAGTCAGTATGTAAGGCAAAAGGAAGTTTGACAAAGGCAGGAATGGAACGGACAGGAGCTATAGTCGGGAATAGGAAAGTCCCCACAGCCAAGGGTGCGGTCGAGAGTGAAAAGGCCCTTTCAAAGAAGTCAAGATGATGCGCCGGCGGAGTTGGGCGTACTATGCGAGGCAAAAGGAAGTTTGACAGAGGCAGGAACGGACAGGAGCTACAGTGGGCTGACTCGTCTCAATGTCGATGATTCGTCACTGTGTCCTGGCGAGACGTCACACACAGAAGCCGTTGCGATGGTGGTCGAGAGTGGAAGCGTGGTTGGGAAAGAGCGCATGAGATTGGCAGCTTTATTGTACAAATGCTCCGGCTACATCCACGCCCCCTCAGCAAGCCTGCCGTGCATCACCATCATCTAGAGCCAGTGATGTATGATAGCGACTCCCAGCCAGGGTATCTAGGATAGAAATGCATGAATTATCCGCCTCAAAGCAAGGCTCCATCCGCCTCTTGCGAGCTGCTTCCAAGCCGCACAAGCAGAGCCACATATCCGATGTTGTAAAGAAATGTAGAAAACACGTCAGGTGATGCGAGGACGACCACGTCATGGCGAGGATTGGCTGCTCCTGTCGAAGGTGGTCAAGGAGTCGCTGGGTCGTCGGGAGGTCGTGAAAGGTGTCTACTCCTCGTCCTCCTCCTCGTCGTTGGCCTGTACGGAACCTTGTTAGGGGCAGCTCAACGGCAACAACGGCAGGTGGCAGGGTCACGTACGTTGTAGCTTGCCTTCTCATCTTCATAGCGTTGCTTGTCCGTCTTGGCCTTGGCCTCATACGGCTCGCGCTGCTTCGGATTGAGTGCCTTCCATCTCTCACCGAGGACCTTGCCGACTTGACCTGAATCGCGGGAGATGGTTAGCAAGGATTTCATAGCAGGGGATTTGGAGGTGATCGTACCGAAGCTGATGCCGGGATTCTCCTCCCTCACGTTGTCACGTTGCTCGTTGGCGAAGAACATGTAGGCAGACAGACCACGCTTGGGGGCATTGGGGTCTAGGAGATGGTCTCGTCAGCTCAGATTCAATGGAGGTAATCGAGGCAGCGAAAGAGCTCACCTTTCTTCTTCTTGCCTCCATCAGAGACGGCCTTAGCCTTGGTCTTGCGGGTTGCCTTCTCCTTAGGCATGATGATGGATCTGCCAGATATGCGCGTCAGTCCACGCGTAGATTACATAGATCGCTGGAAGCAGAGCCAATTGGCTGGAAGGACCAGGGTGTGGTTGCAGTAAGCAGTGATTGTATTGTTGCGCTCCAAACAAAACAGCCGACGAGAGGAGATAACCGTGAGGCAGCTAAGATGATACACACGTGGGAAGCTCACCTGATTTGAGTGTTGTAGTGGGTGTGATATGTGGTAGTTCTGGTGTTGTAGAGTCAGCTTCGTCGATGAAGGTGAAGAAGAACGACGACCATGGCAAAGCGTTCAGAGTGAGCGCCAGCGAAGGTCGCGACAGGATCAAAACAAGACCAAATCGCGCGATTTTGGTGTGGGAAAATTGTGGGGGAGAGAACGTGCAGTGATAAATAATGTATTAGTGATGGTACTTACTGAGATGCGCAGTACTCTTGAGTACTATGTATGAGGTACACGCAGAATTTGGGTGGGAGTTGTTTTTTGGTGAGAGAGTTGGGTGAGAGATTTTTGGTGAGGAATTTGTATGAGAGAATTCTTGGGGGGGGAAGGGAGCGGAAGTGGGCACTCAAATAGTAGGGCGCAATTTTGGCTGAGGGGAAAATCACCACTAAGGTAAGTAACTGCCGCTACCGCAGTCTTGCCGGCAAAAGCAGGCGCAATGCAACAACACAACAACGCATTCCTGCCTCTACCTACCTACTCCTTCACTTGAAGCACAAAGCACAAAGCACAAAGAAAAAGCTCCACTGTAAAACGAGACTACATGATTCTCTACAGCATAATAATCGTCACTCTCACCCTCTGCGCTTCCCTTTGTGCAGTGTTTGGGCCGTGCAAGACGCTGGTGGTGCTGGTAGCAAGCAAGCTACGCTACAAGCCTTAGGTGCTACTTGCTTTGTTAGGCCGTCCAACTTCCACGCCTAGCCACAGACATATGTAGCGCCCAGGATTTGGCAAATTGGCTGAAATGTCCGCCTGCTTTGTCTCCAATAGATTGCTTGCTATCTGTACCCGTACCATTATTCCGGGTAACGCTGAGGGAAGCTGAAATCTAGGGGTCAGCCCTGGATCCTATCGGACTGGCGCTTTCTGTGCCTCTGTGCCTTGTGCCTATGTGCCACTGTCTCCTTGTGCCTTCTAAAGAAAGCGCTTTCGCACCCACGTCCTCCTGATTTACAACGTTAAAGAGCGAACTTTGATAGGTAGTCGATTCTCTTGTGCTTGAAAATTACGCTGTGATCTTTGTGAGAGCCAGAGCGTTGGATGGCTTTCGTGCCATAAGACCATCGATGACGAAGAAACATCGACCAATAAAGCTCCGCGAAGCCTTGACCGGCATCCTCAGTCTGCTTCGTTCTCGTCGTCCAATACCAGATCTCGTAGAGTATCATCTCGCGCCCAATCCACCCCGCTCCCGGCTATGACTGCTGCAACGACACTCTTCATGATCCTCCATCTTTGCCTCGCTGTTGCAGCATCTATCCGCAATCCATCAAGCTGTGCGCTGAACCTTGGATCCATTATAATTTCATCTCGTTGGGCTTGGACCTTTTCGGCAAGAACAAGGAGTGTCGCGGTCAAAGCTCGATTCTTCTCCATTGCGCGGATGCTGTCTGCTGACAGCATGGCAGCTTCCTTCAATAGCGTTTGGAGAGTGGAGGACAGATTGGTGTGTGCTATCTCAAGCGTGTCTCGTCGGTCGATCAAAGGATGTAGAGCTCTAGAAACCATAAGCTTATGCGTAGCCTCATCGAGACCTCCAGTGAGATAGAGTACCTCTCCGTAGGCGTTGCATTGAGACCAGAGTGTACAGCTTTGAGTACTGGATCAACGATGAGGACATCTTCCACCACACTCTGCTTGAGTAAATATGTAGCTCTAGCCTCCAGACACTCTTTCTCGGCAATCGTCACCTGCGAATCCATTTCCTCATCCGTCAAAGGTTGCTGCACTGATAGAAGCGAATCAGCCGGTGCTCTTGGAACCTAGACAGATCTATTCACTTAGAGGCACAGTAGTTTCAGCTTCGAGGAGGGCCTGTTCAAGTCTCAATTCGTTCAGCTGGTCCCATAACTCCAGAATCTGGCCTTCGGTTTCGTAGAAGGGAATTGCATCGCCTGACCTGTGCGAGGCAAGGTCTGCGAACGCAATATCTGTAGAGGATGACATTGGCGCATCCTAATCCAGGCTGAAGTCCCAAGACCATCAGCTATCACTCCCATGTGACATTTCTAGAAGTATTTAAGAGCTGCGTGACAAGTGAATTTGAAAGCGGAACATGCCGGGGCGCCAAGGCTCAAGCTCGAAGGAGCTGAAAGGATTCCTCTACCAAGCATAACCACACGGCTTGCAAAACCAGTATAGAAGGATAGGAGGGGAGGGGATGTCGCTGAATATCTACTTTGCTCATAGCGGAGCAGTATACCCGGCCGACCCACGGTCCTTTACATCGTGAGCTTCTTACACCCAGACAGCTGTGGATCTCCCAAACATTGACTCCTGCATAGATTCGACAGTCTCCGGTCATGGATTGCTCAACAGACCGCTGTAGAACCTTCCCACCAGATACTGATGACAGCAAGAGGCAAGCAGGTCAAAATAGAGACCCTCAGTGTTGAGGTACGTCCCAAATGCGTCACGGTGAAGAAGCGACAAGCTAATATATCTATCAGCATGAGATATTCCTCTACGATCGAAGGATCTTAGCATCTCATTCCACGGTCAGAACAAGCACACTCCTTCCCAACGTCCGTCCCCCAGAAACCTATACCCCTGACGAGGCCCCCATCAGCCTACAACAGGATGCGACCCTGGATGGATGGCGCAAGATATCCAAGCTTCGAAGAGCATGGGCAATAAGTTTGATGGAAGGTTCTCGTAATGTCGTGGAAGGTATACGAAGCCTGAACAGTGAGATGGCTATCGTCCGACGTGGGACTGCAATAGCCGTGGAGAATGTTAAGCAACATGTGGGACTCCTGCAGCCGAAGTATCAAGAGTCGAAGACATGGGCAGATCAGACATATGAAAAGCAGACTTCTCTGCTCAACGATCTCGATCAGGGGCTGATGGTACTTGGATCCCTACCAGCATACGAAGAGCTGGGACACTGTCTGCACGGGGTGCAGGGCTCCATAGGAAACAAGCCTTCAGAAACAGTAAAATTTACCCAGGTTCCCTTACAAGACTTCGTGAAAATTTCTGAGGTCGAAGCGGCTGCGACTACCGGGAAAGACTTTGCTCGAGGGTTTGCGAACCGCGTCGCTGATATGAGCGCTGCATTTGAAGGTGTTGTGAGAAGCTCCAGCAGCATGATTGAGGCTTTTCAGCAGAACACGGCCTTGTCACATAGCGATGGGGGTGGTCAGGCGAACAAATTGACGGACGAAGTCGAGGTTATCGCGAGGAAGATTAACAGCGACTACGAGCGTGTCCTAGGTTTACCGAACGCACCAAATTCAATAGTCAAAGCATCGAAAATTGGGCATTCGCACAAGACTAGCTTACTGCCGTCATTATTACAGGCAAATGAAGAAATCAATCGAATTTTGGTGCAAACCATCGAACGAAAAGAGCAAGTCTCGAAAGCGTCAGTGCAAACCCTGCAGGATATTGCAAAAGTCCAGTCATCGGTTGGGTCAGTACACCACAAATTGGCAAATCTGGATGTGGAGGCTGGAAGCGAACAAACCTTCGACTTGTTGAACTTTGTCACCAGGTTGCCTTCGCTGTATGGCTCGTTGCTGATCGAATGTGTCAGACGGCGGGAATGGAGCGAGAAGATGATCTCTGATTCGTCATCTCTGGTAGAAGAAATGGCTACCTACAAGGAGGAAGAGGCTAGACGTCGAAAGAAGTGGATCAAAGACATGAACGGTGCTGTGGACCTCGGGTCTCTTGACGACATGGCATTAGGTATTGAAGTCAATGTTCAAGCGCAGAAGCAAAAATGGCCGAACGTCAGTAGAAGTGACATTACAGCTTACGTACAACGTCTGAGAGAGCTGGGTGACATGCATGGACACGTTAAGGAAGTGGAGGACGCTTTCAAGACCCTAGACACACCTTCAAAACAGCAAGCTCGCAGAGCAAAGGCGTTCAAGAATGGCAGCGTTCACGAGGCGGCCTATGGCAGAACGTCTCTATTACTGCGTGGAGATGATGAGGTCATACAGGCCATGAGGAACGACAAATTAAAGGTCGAGGACAAGCTCAAGAGTGCAGATAGTAGGATTCGCAAACTTGAAGATCTTCTGCACCGGCAGAGTCCAAGACCTTCAAGTGCCTCTGGGTTCCCTCCTAGTAGTGGACCTACCTTCGAAAGATATACTACGTCACCTGTGATCAACCTTTCCTCGGCTTTGTCCAAAGCTCGAGAACCGGGGTCACGCCGATCATCTGTTTCTTCGCGAATATACCCCCTCAACAATGATCCAGAGGAGAAAAGCCTGGCCCAAAGAATAGTGACCCTTGAAGCGGAACTGGCAACCGAGAAGGCTCAATCTGCGGATCTGGAGATGAAGGCGGCAGCAAGATCGAACGCCGAGGATATGCTCAAGAGTCAGGTACGGGAAGCGATTTCCACAAAAGAAGACCTACTAGGTAATTTGGAAGCTCAGGAGAGAGAATTCTCGCACGAACGCCACCTCTTGGAAGATGAGAACAACAAGCTCAAAGTCAAACTCGAGGAAGTCGAGGACGAATTCGATCGTGTCCTCGATAGCCGCGAGCATGATGATAGGATACATACCCTGGAGGAGGAGCTCGAAAGGCTCAAAAACGAGACCGCCGGTGAAGTACAGAGGGCACTGGAGCAAACAGAAACTTTGCGAAATGCTCACGACATACGACGCGAGAGAGCCAGTAACTTGGAGCGTGAAGTGCAACAGCATAAGGAAGAGAATGCCGAGCTCGGAGCAAAGACCCAGCAAATGTCGCGGCGTCTCCAAAACCACGACCATGCTCAAGCAGATCACCGTAGAGCTCTTCGATCGGCACTCGTACATTCGTCACATGATGAGGAAGTTCCTGAAGATTTCACGGCGCTGGTCGAAATTGTTGAGACTGTCGCAGAGAAATCCGGGGCTCATCTCAGGGACATCAAGGACGCTCTTGAAGCACTGCGCGCGGACAATGCCTCTTTGGAGAGCCGTGCTAAGTCTCAAGGAGATGAGATATATGATCTCAGGGAGCGCTTGGGCAGCGAAGAGAGGGCCGTCTTCTCTTTACGTGAAGAGCTCAATACGCAGCAGACACAGAGCGTGACTTTGCAGTCTCAGCTTGACTTCGAGAGACACGAACATGAGGATCTGAAATCAAGATTTGCACTGGGAGAGACAGACTCGAATTCGCTTCGAGCCAAGCTGACAGATGGCGGACGTACTATTGAAGGCCTGTTTGGAAAAATAAAAGATCATGAGGGCAAGCATCAGACTCTTGAGGGTAAGCTCAAAGAGAAGGAAGCCAGCCTTGAAGCTGTACAAACGCGCCACGACAGCCTGTTTGAACTTTGGAGCGCCCAAGCCTCACGAGCCGTTGATGTCTCTACTAAGCTACATAGGCAGAAGGATCTCCTGGAGAAGCTGCTTGAACAAGTGGGTCTTGCGGTCACAAGGGAAAGCGGGAACATGGTCATACAGAAGGCGCCACGAGCTGTTTCTGCAAGCACTATGCTGCACGATCCCTCAGTATCCATGAAACGCAGCTTGTCAGCCCCAATGCCTATAAAGAACGAGACAGAGCCTCTCATCAATCTCGAAATTCTTCAATGGGCCACAGCAGACGATTTAGAGACAACTGAACGTCTCTTTGGAGAATTTATAAAGGAGATCACAAGCTTCGATTTAGATCTCTTCAGTGGAGCCATCTATAAGCGAATTAAGGAAATCGAACACATCGCTCGAAAATGGCAGAAAGAAGCTCGTGCATACCGGGATAAGGCCCACCGCTCACAAGGCGAAGCTCATGACCGGATCGCATTTCGAAACTTCAAAGAAGGTGACTTGGCTCTGTTCCTGCCAACCAGAGATCAGGCTACCAAGCCTTGGGCCGCCTTCAATGTGGGGGCTCCTCACTATTTCTTACGCGAACAAGACACCCACAACCTTGGCAAACGAGACTGGCTCATTGCCAGGATCTCCAAGGTGGAAGAGCGTGTTGTGGACTTGTCGAAGTCTATCAAAGGCCTGAAACCCGCCAACGACCAGGCATCTGTCCAGAGTGACGGCGGTCTTTCACACAACGACGAGAACCCATACGAACTTTCTGACGGTCTGAGATGGTACTTGATCGATGCGGCAGAGGAAAAGCCTGGTGCTCCGATCAATGTCGGACTCGGCAAAGCGACAGTAGCTTCAGCGAACGTGGATGCTAAAGGAAACATCCGGATGAAGAAGTCCTCAGATGACAATGGCGTGACAAAAACCTTGAATCGCAGTCTCGACAGTCGCCGCAGCAGTACGAATTCGAAGAAAGGACTGGTGACTATCACTGGCAATACTACCACAGGGCTTACAGGCCTAGATGGTGTTCTGGAACGCAGCGTCGACCCCGCTGCCGCCGCCTCGCCCAACCTACTCCCGCCACAGGATCCCCATCGCGCCCGTTCGCCAGAAAGACCGCAGAGCAGCCAGACACCAGATTCTCCTGCTCCCGGCGGTCCCAGCACCGATCATGTAGGCACCACCAACGCTTCCGGCTGGGGTGACCGGTCCCTCCAGCTCTTCTCCGCGGGCTAACGGAAAGCGCAGGCGAGAGGCGTGGCGACTTCACCATCAAAGTCTCTGCGACAGACCAAATCTTCCCCTCGGAAGACCTCGCCCGAGAAGCCGAGGTCCAAGGCTTGGGACTCGTTGTGGTCGCTGGATTTGAACCTGGAGGGTGGAAAGGGGAAGAGGTAGCCGGTGCGGGCTCCATGGGCCGCGCTGTACGGGGTTTGGGTGTACAATCGTCGGCGAGATATCTTTGCAGTGAGGTAGATGTGACTTTAGATACCCGGGGCTGCGTCACTATTCGGACGATGATGGTGCTTCACAAGCTGATCTTCTACGGATCATGAGCCAAGTACTATACCTCTCCATTCTTGACGCAAGTACCTCTCCATTCTTGACGCAAGTACCTCTCCATCTTCGACGCATCGGTCTTGCCGAAAACCCGCGCGAAAAGGCATCGGCAAGCTCGCGGTGTTGGAATCTTGAAAGCTTCCTACCTCACAACCCCTCTTCCGCTTTGATCCTTGGTATCATCTCCCCATCCCATCTCTACGTATCATTTCCCTTCGCTTCCTCCCTCCTCTCCCCTCCCTCCCTCCCTCCCTCCCTCCTCCACATCCACCCCCACCCCCAAAATTTCCCCCACCCGTCTCCCCACTCCACCCACACCCACACTCACACTCACACCCACACCCACACCCACACCCACACCCACACCCACACCACACCACCCACACTCACACCCACACTCACACACCCACACCCACACCCACACCCACACCCACACCCCACACCCACACCCACACCCACACTCAACAACGTCCTTTCGACGCCAAAGCCCAAGCCCAAGCCCAAGCCCCCAACCAACCCAACCCAACCTCCCCCCATCTCCCAGCCCTACAGCAACACACGATGCAGAACGCACGGTTTCGCTCATCGGCAGCAAAGACGAAGCGCTCCGGATATCGTGGGTAGATAGGGAGAGGACGCTGGAGATGGAGATGGAGATGGAGATGGAGAATGGAGAATGGGGCCGAGGCGATGGGGATGGGGATGGGGGTGGGGGGGTGGTGGCCCCCCCCCCCCCCCTTTTTCTTTCTGGGGAAGCGGATGGAGTGTCGAATGGAGTCGCCTCCGGATAGTGCAGCTTTGGGATTGAGCACGGTTTCACGTCCGTCGTTGTGTTTGTACGAGGTGAGGAAAGGGATGATGGGTTGGTCTTATGTTGAGTAGTGGGTTTAGAACATATCTTGATCTGCCTGCAGTTGGAGATGGGAAGGGGAAGGGGAATGGCGTCGCTGTAGTGGGTGGGTGGGGAAGCTGGGATGAAGAGATGTCTGCACTTTGGTGTTGGGACGGTGCATGTTTTAGATCGATTGACGTTGATATGAGAGACTGTCCTGGTTTTACTAGCCCGAGGCATATATGCTTGAGGTCTTCTGTGAGCGTGGAGATTATGGCGGCGTAGACATGGAGATTTGGTCGTCGGGTGACGGCGTTGCTGTTGTTCGGATTCCGTTGTTGGGGAAGGGTCGGCTGGGTGTTGTGATGGAGAGGATGGTTGGTCCACGGGTCCTGTACCGGGTCGTTGCCGTCCGAGGACGATTGATATGGGGGGGGGAGCATGGCGACAGCGGGTCTTTAGCTGGGAAGGCTGTAGTGAGAGCATCAGATGGCAGGTTTGCAAGACCCTACTATTCCGTTTGAAGGCTGTATCTCCCAAACCTTGAACGCTCATGTACGTAAATGAAAAGACGAATCATCGTGTTCTATTCCCTGCTGCAGAGGAGTCCTGTGACCCTTCCCCGAGAGTTCAGTCCTGCTTTCAGTCGTCGACCGGTTCAGCAGGCAGCCAACTTCTTGGGCAGCTATTGCAACGATCCGGGCAAATTACAAATTCATACCCCAAAACCTTGGATCCTTACAAATTCATACCCCTAATTACATTTTCATACCCCAATGGGGTATGAATCGGTAATTCGCCATTCCTTGGGGTATGAAAATGTAATTTACCATAGTGCGCTGAGGTTAGGTCTTCGGGGGCTGCGGAATTAGCCCGGACCGGCCCCGGGAGCCCCGGAACTGAAGACCTCTAGGGTTCGCCGTCAGTGTAACTTGTCGAAACCTCGCTCCGAGGCTAAGGCGAGCTCTTACTAGGGGGTTTCAGACCACTTTTTTTGGTGTGGATTTTTCAGATCGTGGAAATTTCAGCGATTTGCCACCAACTGTTGGTGGCAAATCGCTCATTTTCCCACGATCAAAAAAAAAAAAATCCACGCCATCCACCAATGCTACCCTGGGGTAGCATTGGTGAAGAAAATCGGCCCATTTGGTGGATTTCTCATGTCGATATTCTACATCTCGTAGCAAATCTATTCAATTAGAAGGCCTTCCTTCTTACCACTACTACTATTTTACCTCCCATTGCTACTATTACCTCCCATTACTATCACCTCCCACACGTCTACGTCTTTCCTACCGTCGCTCCTACCGTCGTTTCTACCACGCCGTCGCGGACCCCCCTCAATGGCGCGAAAGAAAGCCCTTACGGATAAGTTAGGGTTAGGGTTAACCTCTGAGAATTAGATACGGGGAAGATTACACGGTTTTCTCGGGCAATGACTAAGCGGATTTATCAAAAATCCACCAAAGAAGCCTATTTGGTAGTGGGGGTGTTCAGACCAATTCAGACCAATCCATTTTGTCACAGCTGAAAGTCTGAAAATTCCACGATTCCACAGCAAAAAAAAAGTGGTCTGAAACCCCCTACTATTGTAAATCTCTAACTCACCCCAATCCGCGATAAATTTAGGTTTCAATTTTCTAGGGGGTTTTTAAGGCTCCCGGGGCTTCTTTAGGGGCGTTAAACGCCGGGCACTCAAAGACCTAGTTTGATAAATTACAAATTCATACCCCAAAGAATAAGGTAAATTAACATTTTCATACCCCAAGATTTGGTGGAGGGGTATGAAAATGTAATTGGGGTATTAATTTGTAAGGATCCAAGGGTTTTGGGGTATGAATTTGTAATTTACCCGCAACGATCCTGTTACTGTGCCGTCGGTGGAGAGGTCAACCCTCATCAGGTCCGCAGATTGATTACGATTGAGCCGGTTACGATGTCTTGTTACCTGCCTGATGGGCTCTCGGCGAAGGAAGATCCCAAATGCCCACCACGGCGTCTTTTAACACACGAATTTTCGATTTCAGGCTGTCTCTTTGGCGTTTCTGAGAGAGACGATGCCCATACTAAAGCACGTAGTAAAGTATTATTAATCCAATGGGACTAAAGTCCTTTAGTGACTATCAAGGCAGCATTTTGTGACGTCTTCAGCTTCTCACGTGATGCGGAGCTAGGAGTTCGGAACTTTTGTCAAACTCCGAAGGGGATATATGAATCCCATCTCTACCTTATGATTTGATACCAGCTCATGCACTGATAGTAACTCTACAATTCCAAGTCTGTCTGTACTGCACTCGCTCCCACTCACCCCTGCTTTCTACATTTCATCTTCCCAAGTCAGCTCTCCGATCGGAAAGACGAAACCCCAAGCAACCCCCCCCTTCACTCATCATGTCCTCCACCACCTCAACCCACCACCTCGCCGCCATCCTCCCCACGAAAGCCGCCGGAGCCTTCCAAGTCAAAGACCGCCCCACCCCGACCCCAGGTCCCCACGACCTCCTCATCGAAGTCAAATCCATCGCGCTCAACCCAATCGACTACTACCAACGCGACAAAGGCTTCCCACCCCTGGACCACTACCCCACGGTCCTGGGCTCCGACATCGCGGGCACCGTCGTCTCCGCCGGCGCCTCCGTGCCGTCCGACGCGCCCGAACCGGGCGCCCGCGTCGCCGCCTTCGCCCCGTGTTTCTTCACCAAGGGCCTCCCGGACTACGGCGCCTTTCAGACGCGCGTGCTGGTCCCGGCGGCGAACGTGGTTCCGCTGCCGGCGAAGATCGGCTTCAACGAGGCGAGTTTGCTCCCCATGGGCGTCGTGACGGCGTGGTCGGGCTGGTATTCTATTGGGGTGCCGCGTGATACGGCGTACTCGGCCGAGGATGGGAAGGGGATGCTGATTTGGGGTGGCGCGAGCAGTATTGGCAGTGCGGCGGTACAGGTTGCGAAGTCTATGGGGTTCAGTGTTTATGTCACCGCGAGCGAGAAGCATCATGAGTATCTGAAAGGTTTGGGAGCGAGCAAGGTTTTTGATTATAGGAGCGAAGATGTAGTGGAGAATATCGTCAAGGCGGCCAAGGCGGACGGGGTCACGGTTCAGTCGGGATTTGATGCGGCCGGTCAGGTGAAGTCGTGTTTGGAGATCTTGAAGGAGTTGAAGGGGGAGGGGTCGGCGAAGCTGGCGACGGCGGTCCCTCCGTCGGAGGACACGCCCAAGGTAGAGGGTGTGGAGGTGAAATTCGTCGCGGCTCCGGGGGATGAGAAGGAGAGGACGGAGCACTTCCACTTTGTCCTTGGGGTCTGGTTGAAGGAGAAGTTGGAGAAGGGGGAGTTTGTGCCGAGTCCGAAGGTTCAGGTGGTTGGGGGAGGCTTGGAGGGGATCGACAAGGGGTTGGATGAACTGAAGAAGGGAGTCAGTGGTGTGAAGCTTGTGCTTGAGGTTTGAATGGGCCACGCCTGTGGATACGTTGGGGGCTATGGTTAGGTAGTTTAGCATCAATGACTCTGTCTTCAAATGCAGCCACCTCAGAAGGACAGAATAACAAAAGATGACGCAAACAAGTTGAACGCTCATCACGTCAATTCAACCGCTTCTGTCTGAAAGATGCTAGCGACATCACAACTAGCGGACTGCACACCACGTATCGGTAGAGTCGATCACGCCATCTGCATCATCGGTAACGGTAAGACGATGATCTCGTCGAGAATAGCTTTTTCCTAGTATCGATTAACGCAGGATGTGCCTCCCTGCTCCTTTACTTGCCAGTCTACACCATCGCCTCCTCCATCTTCTTCCTCATCCTGGCGCGGGCACCGAATTTTGGCGGTCCTCACGCATACATATCGGACACCACCCGCGGAGCCTGATGTCAGCCACGCGCCGCTGCTTGCTTGCACTTGTCGTACTGGCTCCTATCGTGAACCAGGCTTTGAGATATGACCCATTCAGCTGGTCTTTCCGCCGGTCTGTGGTCGCGGCTACAATGTGCGGTCAGCACATTCCTAATGCTACCGATGTCATACTCTGTCCAAGGGGGTTGCATCGTTCGCAATATTATTGGGGTTCAGATGCAGAAGAGTTCAACCCTGATCGCTGGCCTCGGGACTCGAGCGGAAGAGAAGGCGCCCGAGATACGTACCGCCTTGCGACGTTTAGAGCGGGACTACGAAGCGGAACGATTCGCAAAGAATGAGATCTCCACTCTGATGGGTAGAAATTTTCGGCGGAAACCTGCGGAGGGGCTAGGTATTCCACCACTAGCTCACCCATTGACCCTGACGCATGTTGGGGGATTTCGGGTCCGTATGACTCAGATGGAAGGGTGGTAGGCGCGGTTTTGGGTGGGATGACTGGTTTTGATGGATTGTGAGAGTTGAGGAGAAAGCGTATGGAGAATAGATGTTAGGGAGATGGTGTTTGGGGCAGGACGCTCCAGAAGAGTGAAGGAACAAACGCGGCGAATGTTGCGGCTGCAGTCTTCAATAGCGGAACAAGAGGCGTACGGTGGTAGTTGAATATACTTATGGATAGACTGTTGTACAGATTTGAATACGAAGGGATAGTTGTATAGACTGAAGTCGAATAAGCTTGCAACACATATGGAACTTGTACGCTTGAGAATACCGAGAGAAAAACTTGCAAGGGGAAAAAGTGGCAATGCTGACAGGGAGGGAAGCTGAGTGCCAAGCCCCAGGGGAAGAACCAACCCCAGATCTTGCAAAGGCCAATAAACCTCGCCAAAATTCACTCTGGTGGACGAGCTTGAGCATGCGAGTATTTAGGAGGCATAGCTCCAGAATTCTACAACACGTGGTTTGCGTAAGAGCCTGCCTCCTTAACGTGGTCGAGACTTGAAGGCCTCGGAGGAAAGTGTAGAGAAGGTGAGATCGGATCAGAAACGGTCTTCCCATGCAGCCCCTTCGCCATCCAATTGTCTCTGTGCACCGACTGATAGGCCGCGGGACGTCGGCTTGAAGGATATGGGGCCGAAAACCCTCTGCAGGACGAAAAGAAAAGGCTTGGCAAGCACCCAAGGCTGCCGAATCTCACTTCGATCATTCTCTCTCACCGCAATTTTCTTTCTGTCGGCCGTGTGTAAGGGTTTTGACGATGGCTGTCCAAACCTTCCTACCCAGATTCCTTCAGCAAAATTTGTTGGTGTGGGTCGTGGAGAGGATCCGAGGTGAATGTCGGACGGCCGCCTGGCTATGTCGACTTTGTAGTCGTCTTCACTCATTGGAGGAAATGAAGCACGTGACTGAGTGGCTTGGGATTGGTTTGTAGTCAATTAGGATTTTGCACTCGCTGAAGGAGAAAGAGGAGAGTAGATAGGTAATGCGAATAGGGTCGCGCAACCATCTCGGTGGATCAGCCCTACTCGAAGAGGTATACTTGTAAGAATATATTCTTAGGGCTCGTGAGATTTCAGGAATCATGAAAAATTGTATAAACAGAATCCTACAGCTTTAAGCAAGGATGGCTTTGTCTACAACACTACTGAGAGTGTCTGTGTTGCCATCTAGCGGCGGAGAAACGAAGTAGTATTAGGGCTTACCGTAATCTATGGTATCTTACCATTGTCTGACGCTTGGCGTGATGTGATTGGCTGACTAATGCGACGAACGTTACTCTATCCTCTGATTGGTGTACTTTGACCACTCTCTGACTTTTTGAAACATTCAAACAAACAATTCACAGCATCCTTACTTCAATGCCCAAAGATCTTTCGTGTCGCCGCCGAACATTGATTCATAGTGCAAAGTGCTTGCCAATTGACTATCGACGATTTCAATCAAACTCCAAGAAATCAACGACTTCCACCGCTTGTTGGAAACCTACTTCTCAGCGGACCTGCCAAACACTTGACGAAAGCCATGCTATAGACTCCGCCAAAAGCTCTGCTGCACCGATCAGATTCAAACACCTCGTCTGCTCGGCTCTCTATGTCGTGGTTTTCCATCCTCCCCGCCAATCTGACCGTCATCGAAACATGGATCATCCGCTTCTTCGTAAGCACACCCAACTGCCCCCGTCCGGCCATGACATCCTCGCTAACAACCACCCTCACACACAGCTCCTCCTCGGCATCATGACCATCGGCCCCTGGGCCCTCTTCCTCATCTACGACGTGCTCCTCTACATCATCCGCGCCGTCGCCTATGAAATCCCCTACTTCGGCGGCCGAGCTCGCGGCAGGGGACGGCCTCGCGCGCCGAGCTTGAAGGAAAGACCGAACGGTAGGAGGAGGACGTTTAGCATCAGTGGGCCTTCGAGCGGGTTCGTTGTGGGGGATGAGAATGACAAGGCGGGGTTGAAGAGGAGGGGGTTGGATGGTGGTGTGCGTGATGAGGCGGGCGCTAATTCGGAGGATGATGAGGCGGTGGATATTACTGCCGAAGGTGCATATGAAATTGAATGGGGTTGTTGAGATATGTGGCTGACTGATACAGAGAGTCACATGATCCGCTCGGCGGATCTCTGGGATGCTAGGACGGACAGCCGGTTCGTGGCGTGGAATGACACGTCGAAGAAAAAGCCCTGAATGGTGTGTCCGTCCGGCATGTTGCTTTTCCCCCCTCAGCTGATCCAGTACTGTCTTCCAGCTGTCGCAGGTGTTGTTTGACAGGTGTCCGCAAAATCACGACTGAATAGAGCAGGGGTAGGATATTCGAGGCCTTGACCGACCGCAAGCGTTCAATCGAGCTGCCATTCCCCACTAAATCATTACGCCTACGTGGCAGCCAGCCCAGCGTTAACAACGTCTCTTGCGATTAGGTGCTTCCCTCGGCCGAAGATGGGGTACCGAAAAGCACAGGCGAGATATCACCAGACCGTTGAGAGACATGGAGAAAGCTCTCCAAGCGTTGAGAACACTGGATACTATTTAACCTTTGGTCAAGGCGCTGCTTAGAGCAATCTCGAGCAATCAAAAGCATAAAAAATAATGATATCTTGAGATCACTCTCCGCTCTTACTCGCCAGCATTGAAGGACCAAAGCCACTGGCTCCGACCACCAGAGTCTCTAGCCCGCACTACCTCCTAAATGACTGAAGCTTGGAAAGGTTCTCTTATCTCAAGACACGTGAAGACTCGGGTTCTGCCTCGAGCAATCAAAAGAACTAGAAACAACGTTATCCTGAGGTCCCTCTCCGCTCTCTCTCGCTAGCGTTGAAGGAGTAGGGCAAGCCCCTGGCTCAGACTACCAGAGTCTCCAGTCCGCACTTCCGCTCGGCGCCATTGCCATCATCATCTAACTGATTGTCTCGGTATTGAAACCACAATACTCCTTGTCCTGCTCCTCCAAGCACTGTGACACCGGCCTGTACACTAGTACGATAGCTCGATGCATACATGCGTTCGGTTCCTGCTACATATTGACAGCGCGGGTTCGAATGCTTCTACATCCCCCGATTTCCACCACTTCGTCATGTACCTCATCTCACCATAGCAGCCAATGGTCCCGTTGCATTATAAATTCTATGCTACCACACTCACGGTACCAACCCCCCATCCTCTCCGGTCTTCCTTCGACTTCTTCTCAGTCGGGACCAGGCAGCTAGACCCTCCTGCAGAATAGGAGACGGGCGTCGATGGGATATCGAAGGAGAACAAAAGAGCCGACTCAAGCGCATAGGAGCCATCGGGAAGCTCCACATCGTCGGATGGCGGGACTATCTCTAACGCTGTGGATAGCGTAATTTGGCTCGGGTGGTCCGGCAGAAAGAAGCATTTCCTTCCGTCTCCTGAAGTAATACTTCAGTGTCTGCAATCGCCCTTCGACAGTTCTGTGCAGCCCACCCGTACATTCGCTCCGCGTCGGACAAAGCCTCAACGTCGTCGGCATCAGGCCCTCTCCGGGAACCGACGAAGCGGGCTTGGGGTTGCCCTATTTGGTCGGAACGCGAGATCGACACATGTCGAGCTCTGGGGCACTGAGCGGAAGGCGCGCTCGAAGACTTGCGGTCCCTGCGGATGGTCGATCGTGCTTCCGAGACGACCCTTTTTCCGCCCCCGTCTGCTCTCGCAGGGCTGGGGTTTTGTGTGAGATTCGATGCTAGCACGCGGACGTGCTTGGGGTCTTTCTGCGGAAGAGAAGGGCGATGGTGGGAGTGGGGCACTGGTGCCGGCAGTGAGGCAGTATTCAATTGGGTGAATTGAAATGTTGTCGATGATGGATTTCATCGCAACTTGGGCCGATTAGCCATCCGCTTTTCAGGTATCAGATGAGGAGTTCTTACCTTGTAACAGGCTTCCCTATACCCGAGAATCTCTGAGCAGGCGTATCGGTCCATTTCGGCTTCGGTGCTCGAACCGAGTGCGGACAGGAGACCGGGCGTTCTCGCCTTCTTTTTATAAACGCCGACGTCGTCCACCACGGTAGCGTCCTCTGTGTCGCCGAGATATCTTCTCGGCTTGCGGGCCTTCTCTGCTTCGGGGCGCCTTTTTCCTCACTTGCCGAATCGTCCTCGGTGAAGCGGTGATTGTGTTGTAGGTGATCGGGTGGCCGGTCTTGTACGGCGTTAAGGTCTCATCGAGGTTTTGTATCGTGTCCTTGAGCTTTCGATCTATGGGGGTGGTCAAGGAGGGCTTCGGTGGTCGGTTTGGTTGGTTGAGTGGGAGATTTAGGAGATCCAGAGAGGATCGCGCAGCTTGCGAGAGTGTTGCCGAGCTAGTTGCAACTGGGGCTGCGATTTATCAGGGGGGAGGTCGCTGACAGTGAGGGGGCTGAACGTTCCTGGCATTTCCCAACCTCTGGTGATATCCCTGATTTCGTCAATAAAGTCTGCTCTTGATGCTACCTCCATGTTTGTCGCTGGATCGGCAGAGCTGGTGTTTCCTCCCACGATCCGACGTCGCTGTCCTCGAAGCACGCATTCACATTCCGAATCAGAGCCCGATGTCATATGGTGTAAGATTAGCCGTGCGACTCGCCGAAGCAGCTGCGCCCGTCAACACCGTCGGGCGCGGCCCTGGAGATCGTTTGGAACGCCTGACCGATCTGCAATAGGAACAGTCGCTGTTGATCCCAGCCGTCTCGATCGGGGCCGAGTCGGGCTAACGTGCCACGACCGTCGTTGATCTTCCCTTCGATGTCTCCGATGAGCATCGGCGGATCCGATCGAAGAGCATCTTGCAGAGCCTTTTTTCCTCGCAATGCGTGGATACCGACGGCGAGCGTCCCTTGCGAGATGTCGCCGTGGCCCTCGATTGAGGAGTCGTCGCTCGGAATCGTCCGGAGCTCTTTTTCAAGCCTGGAAATTTTGTTACTCGTTCAGTATTAGTACTGACCTGTAACAGAGCATCTCCCTTCCTTGCCCTTCCCTTCCGTTTACTTCTTAGCGAGCGTGAGGGCCCCTTTCGCTACGGTTTCGCTACGGCTCGAGGGGAACGGAAATATGCGTACGTGCGTGTGTGTGTAGGTAGATGGTTCGTTCGTCGGGTGTGAATACGCTGTATATGTAGATATGTGGAAATGACGGACGGGGGACATTAACGACCCTGGTCCGCGGATAGGGGTAGGTATGAGATGGGCGATGGGCTGCGGGAATTGGGAATGGCCGGGAAGCGGGGTGGGGGCTCAGTGGGAGGGAGGAGAGGAGATGGTGTGCACGGGCAGCGGCGCAGGTGCAGGTGCAGGTGCGGTTATGATTGGTGGGATCGTTGTGAGCTGTTGGATTCGATCGATGGGTGGTTGGCATGAGGATTGGAGCATCACTGCCACCCCTTGTTATTTGGTTGGCATGAGTACTTTAGGTCATGGGTTGCAGTTTTCTCTGTTTGCGTTCGGTTGGATTCAAAATTTCATAAGACAGGATCACCTTTTCTTTTTGGGACTTGAGTCGACACGTAGCTTGGTTTCGGGGAAGATAGTCTTTGTGTATTTGCGGTAGGGGTCAGATCCGTGATATTAAACGCCATCGCGTTTGGTGGGACTAGTGATGTAGCCTTGCCCTGTATCGATCTGAAAGCTGTACGTATAATGCTCTTTCTTCAACCATAGCCGTACCGGGCCTCCCGAGGCTGCGGGCCATGATTGATAGACCTCACCATCAAATGTCGGCAACGCCGTTCCCATACCGCGTTCCGCTCCGTCCTTGCGCCCCCAACGCCCAAACCCTTGACACCGTCCTCGATCCCGCTACCCCTTTCCCACAAAACCCTCCGATATCTTATCCACCAACCCTCATCTAATTTCTCCAATCTTGGTGCTTGATCCATCCGGCATGCTTTGGCCGACTTATGCATGTTCATACTCCCTCGTCCGTCAACATCCAATTACCAAGGCCTCTTCGCAAGCCCTGGAACGCCTGCCGTTTACATCGGCTAGGTACTCCAACGCCTAGTCGGCAGCTCTCGCGGTGCTCTTCTGTGCCTTTTGACGCCCACTATTCCGATGATGATGGCGACGATGACACCGACGCCGGGCAAGACCACACCGATGGCGATGGTCGAAGGACCGCTCAGTCCGCCATCGTTACCGCTTCCTTTTTGACCTTGTGAGGATGAGGGTGAGGGTGAGGACGACGTAGGAAGACGGTTGAGAAGTCCAGGCAGGCGAGGGCGAAGATCGCGGACCGGCGATGTCGGCGTTTCGGGGCTTGGAAAAGTGGTGGAGGAAGATTGGGTGGGACGGGGTATACCCGTTGCAGGATTTGGCTGCGAGGTTGGAGTCTGCGATTCCGGTGCGAAGGATGTAGGTGGTATGTCCGTTGCAAGAGTTTGCGGAGAGAACGGAGGTACGGGTGCAGAGGATGTAGATGGCGAAATGGTGGAGGGCACAGAGGTTCCCCTGCTCGTGATGTAGCCGGTATCGCGTGTGCCGTTGATCTGAGGACAGTCCACACTGAAGGAGCTAATGCTCATGCTCGTACAACTTTCCAGAGGTACCAGTGTAGCGTTGCTGTTGCAGTAATCCGTATAAATCGTGACTGAAAGGAATCATAATCAGTACATTCCGTCTTGGTTGGAAGCAGCTTCAAAGAAGCGAGCGTGGTAGATACCGGAGCAGCCATTGTCAATGGTGCTCGAACTGGCGCTATTGATGAATGTGGAAAATTGCCCACAATGGCCATTTCCCAGATCGGTGTCTGTGTACACCGTGGCGTAAAGCGTCTTGCAGGAGGAATCGGTGTAAAAGCGGACGGATGTTGTGGCGGAGACGGGGATGATATTGTGTAGGTGCAACAATATTAAAGCAACAGGTAAATAACGCCCTGCCATGGCTCTAAGCTCAGGATCAAAAAGACCGGAAGTTGGCAAGGGGTCAGCAAAGGCAAATGCAATGGGTGTGTCCTCAGCTGAGATTGCATTTTCAGCTGAGGTCACATTGGAGCGTGTCAGACAAGACTGCGGCGTCAGCAAGGCTGGATCGGTACCCGGTTTTATGTATAAATTCATTGGGACCGACAGCCCCTTTCCTGCAAAACTTGAAGGATTACGCGCGCCGGTACCCAATCAGCTGGATATGGTAAGCCGGGCTGTCCTCCTGCATAATCAATATGCTAGATAACGCATCTGGCTGCCACTCTCGCCAGCAGCCTTATCGCTAATGGAATCCAAGATTGAGTTCTCGTCGGATGACAAACGGATTAATACGACGGTCTTCAAAGGCTTCATAGACTTCTCAGCTTCACTCGAGCCTTTTTATAAGTATTACTGTAAGATGTTGTTCAGAGGTCTTCTTTAACCTTGTCGCTGGGCCATCATAAACATGTCTGCCATGCACCTAAAAATGACTCAACGCAGAAACAGCCACAACTCATAGATTGCAACACTCCAGTTAAAGATCTCAGCAACGACAGTCATATATAGCGGCCATAATGTAAAGCCTATGCCAAGCTGAGGTAGAGTATAGCAACGACACTAAGCGGAGCTCCCTACCTTCCAAGCTCCACCGACGGGTTTCGGAGAGCTTTACCTCTCCAACGTTTGAGTATGATGTAGAAATTGTATGTGATGTAGGAGGAGAGGAAAGCAGCCACGGTGAGGGAAAAACTGGCGTTGAAGACGACTGAGCCGCCAATGTTCATGAAGGAGAGTAGGCAGGTTAAGACGAACGAGACGGAGATGGCGTTGAGGAGGACGTCCCAGCCTGGTTCGACGCTTGGCATGAGCAAGACTGTCCGCATCATTCCTAGGGGAAGCACCGGCGAGGCATCTCTGATATCTTCCGCTCCCATGGAGTCAGCAGCCACAGTTTGCTACGCCTTAACTCTGAAAACTTACACATATGCATGGCCGAATTAGGTCCAGTTAGTGAGTACACTAGACCAGTGATTTCAATCAGACAAGAGAGCCCCAAGCTAGGCCAGCCACCATTAATTTGGAACTCAGTGAAAACAAGTCTCGCGAGTTTCTTCTTGGGAGCAAGGACCCAGAGTGGGATAAGGATGGCGAAGAAGCCACAAACGTGGATGAACAGCATCAGCCCTTCAACCAAGGGCAATCTCTTCGCAAAGAAAGTGTTGAATGAGATGGCAACGGCGGCAGCTACAATGATGAGGAAAGTCCCGTGCCATCTCTCGAAGACGTAGCTAGGGTCGTTGAGGATCATTATGCCCAGAATTTGGACCGCGACGAGGTATCCGCCACTGGCGATATTGACTTGCCATCCCAGCACACAACGCCAGCCTAACACGCAATTTTGTGAGAGAGTATCCAGAATTTTGGGCCTCTTCTGGGCTCTGCTTACCAGTCATGAAGCTCAGGATTCTTTGAGCACTTGGAGGCGCAAATTTGGACACCCAATGGTATTGCCCATTCAATGTCGGAGCCATACAAAGTGTCAGCAATGGATCACGATAAGAGGATAGAGAGATCTTACACAGAGGCCATCTCCGCCATTGACAACACAGCCGGTCCGAAGCCGAGCACTGAGACGACATGCATCCAGACTGAGCCGGCAAGACCGCCGTTCGTCAGTCCATATGAGCTGGCCCTGCACTAAAACATCAATCGTGAGTCAACCGGTTTTCCATTCCAACAGCGATATACAGTAAAACCGCTTCCCATGTGCACATGAGGACTGCCGTGCATCCTAGAATCGAAATGTATCGAAAATTACGCTCTTTCACTTTAGCAATCATCTGACACCTAGCAAACCTACTCAAGAGCATTTTCTCACGCGTAATCCCTGCTTCTTGCCCACTCTATGCATGTCATATCAGTCTGCAGCGGTGCCATCCTTGCTAAGCACAGTATCTTTGTGGGAATAGGTATTCACTGCGAACTGTTCACCAGGGCTAGGACCATTCTTTTTGCACATACTAGCCGAGGTGAGAATCAAATACTTAGGTTATCAAGTAATTATGAAGTGAATCAGAACCTGACACGAGAAGAATGTGTCTAGGAATGAGGGGAGTGAAACATACAAAAAGACCTGCCAGTTCGAGCATTCGAACGAAAAAGCATCCATAACATATGAACGCAACTGCTAAAGACGCACGCGCGTTGGCCGCAGGAACGACCAGATCTTCAAGGAGAGGCTTGCGAGACAAACTCACCTGCCTTGTTCTGACTGCCATGGCATATGTAAGCATGCCTCACGCCTCATGCCCACCTAGGACGACCAGCTGGGGGAGGGTGCATCGAAATCTACCACGCCGTCTGGCTCGCTGGATAGCTTGCTCGAAGATACCCCCTATTCTGCACCAGATTTCGACCTGCACTCCGGACATACTATCCAGCCGGCGTGAAAATGATATATACAGAGAAGTTCTTCACATTACCAAGTTTGACGCATCTGGACAGAGGTGACTTGAATCGTGTCATCTTCACTCTTTACTTGGACACAGATTGAGTGACCGGGCAGGCGGATACAATGTATTGTCAGAGAAGAAGTGTTTTCTCTGGGCTGTGAAACGCCATCCCTGGCTGTTCACATTAGCCCAGTAGCATGAGTCAGAACCGACTTCTCAACCAAACGTAATTATTGCGGGTGCATTTAGAACATCTTTACTTTCTGAAAAGAAGAATTGTATGAGATGAGATCAAATCCAGCTGGAAAAGTTTGTAGACCTTTTCACCCGAGCTACCCGGCGCAAGAACAACCACAACGTCAACGACAACCACTCACCACCACCCTCATTCATCCTCACAACACCATCCCATTCTCACCTTTCAACCATGACATCTAACCCCACCCTCTACGGCCTCCCCGCCCCCCCGAACCTCCAAACCCACCAAACCCCCACCCTCCTCCAACGCCGCCTTCACCTCAGCCCTCTCCTCCCTCCTCGCCCTCCCCTCCACCACCACCACCACCACCACCCCCGGCCGCGCCCGCCCTTCCAGATCCAAACCCGACATCTTCACCGCCCACAACAAAGGCGCCAAAAAGCGCGCCCTGGCCGACATCTCCGGCCCGCAATCCCACGCCCGGACCAGCGACGCCGTCGACGCCGCCACGCTGCACCGTTCGAAGCGGAAAATGGAGGACAAGGCCAGACTGTACGCGAGCATGAAGCGCGGCGACTACGTCCCCCCGGCCGACGGCGGCACGAACAAGGAGGAAAACGCGCTCGTGGATTTCGATCGCAAGTGGGCCGAGGCGGACGAGGCGGGCGAGGCGGGGCGATACGAGACGGAATCCGACGATGGCGGGGACAGCGTCGACGACGGCGGGGGGGGGGGGGGGAGACGGTGGAATACGAAGACGAATTCGGCCGTCTCCGGCACGGCACGCGAGCCTCGGCGGCGCGGGAGCTCCGCCGCCGCGACGCCGCCGCGTACGCGGAGGAAGAGCTGGGCCGCATGCGGGCGCGGCCGGCGCGGCCGGAGGGCCTGATCGTCGGCGACACGATCCAGGCGGCGGCGTTCGACCCGGCGGCGGCGGGCATGGAGGCGCTGGCGCGGAAGCGGGACCGCAGCCTCACGCCGCCGGAGGAGGTGCACTATGATGCCGGGAGCGAGGTGAGGAGTAAGGGGGTGGGGTTTTATCGGTTCAGTAAGGATGGGGAGGGGAGGCGGAGGGAGATGGATGCGTTGGGGAGGGAGAGGGAGGAGACGGAGAGGGGGGAGGAGGGAGGGGGTGGAGAGGGAGGGAGAGGAGGAGGGGGGAGGTGGAGGAGAGGAAGAGGGTGATTGCGAAGAAGAGGGGGGAGAGGCTGGCGGAGAGGTTTTTAAATGGGTTGGATGTGCCGTAGAGGGGGGAGGTTGGAGCTTACGGGGTTCTTGTGCGGTAGGGGTCCACTGAATTACTTGAGTATGAGAGGTTCAAATCTCTATCTACATATTACCCTTCCCATTCTTAATTGCCGTCGGGGACCGGCTTTGTGTCCAACTTTCCTCCCGTAGGACTGTTCGGGCCCACTGAAAACGAAATCCGTCGAGCGTTCACCTTGGAGCGCGCCTCCATGAGCGCTTTCGCCAGCTCCTCCTCATGCCTAGCCTTCCCCAACATCCCTTGAATCCACACGCGCGCGGTCGGAAAGAGTGCGCTGCCTCGGTGGAGGACCACGGTTTCACCGCGTGAGTTGATATGGAGAAGACTCGGGAAGAGACAAAGCGGGTCGAGACCCGTGGTGTCAATCTTTCCATCGGGTGGCATCGAGAGCTCCTCCATACCGCACATGTCTTCCGCTTGCCATTTGTTCTCGTCGCTGGGATCGGGCTGCTTTACGACGACAAGTCTGGCCTCGTCCTTCCGAGCGCTTTCCCACAGCGTGACCGACTTTGAGGCAATGCTGATCAAAGCCTCCTTGAGGTCTGCCGACTCAGATGGTGTAGTCAACGGTCGGAGAGTCTCGAGCACTCGTTGCACCGTGGACTTTACTTGACTTGATTCTGTGATGGGTCCGCCAAGCGCGTCGATACCGCGTAGGGTCAAGACTCTCCATACACTCTCACTTCGTCCACCCGTGGCGGAGAGTGACTCGGACACTGCTTCCAAAAACTGGCTCACCCCTTGATGATTCGGTAGGCGATCTTGGCGGAATGAACGGCTGCCATATGAAATCGCACAGGCAGATGGAGATGATATGTTGGACATCTTCTCAACCTGAGGAACTCGGAAATTGGTGTCCGCCAGATCGGCGTTGGGCCAAAGACGGGACTCAACTTGCATAACTCTGAATGAACAGCGTCGGGGTACTGTATCCCGTTCCGTGTCGATAAGCTGGGCGTGATCCAAACAAGGAGTCAAGCGAATTTTGACTTACCTTCATGGCTTCTTCTGGTAGCTTCTGGAAGTATTTTAACGATATGGCTTTGATGGAATCACATATTTGCCGAAATTCATTGGAACTGAGAACATATTAGCATATGGCTGTTATCATCTGAAAGTGGATAGAACGGACTAAAACTCGATCGTTTGTCGCTCGATAGGGAATTCGGCCTTCAATTGCTCCAGCTCCGTAGTCAGCTCCTTGTTTTCCTCGCCTAGAACTTTTTCCAATAGAGCATGTTTTGTCTTCTTCGTCTTCAGCTTCTCTTCGGCCGCAGAGGATCGTTGTTCCAGCTCTCTATTCTGTGCTGACAAATTTTCTTTTTGGTCCTTCAATTCTCGGACTTTATGTTTTTGTTCTTCTTCGAATTCGGCTTTCTTCGTCTTCACGTGCTTGTGAAGTTTGGCTTTCTCCTCCTGCATTTTCCGTTTATTCTCTTCCTCTCTACGTGCCTCTGCTTCGGTATACTGAGTTTCCAGCTCCTTTTTCATCTCTTGGCATCTCTTTCTTTCCTGGTCACAAGCTTCTTGCTCAGATTTGAGTTCCTCATTTTCGTGTCGGAGATTTTCCATTTCTTCGCTCTTGATATGAGTCAATGTCTCCAGTGTCTTGTTCAGTGTTCTGATTTTGTTCTCCTTCTCCATCTCCGTCCCATAAGCCCCTTCAACCACATCTATGTCTGGTGTGAATGAGGATTCCAGGTACTGCGCAATGCCTGCAAGGCGTTGTAGGGCCCGATTCGAGGAAGCTAGTACTTCAGCTGGGGATTGAGACCCTTCGGTACTGCGGCGGCTGAGACCACAGTTGTTGGAGGAGCCGGGTTCCTGATCCCTCTCTTGATCTGACGTTGTATTTCTGCGTTTAGATAGCCTGCCACGAGGACCATTCGCCGGGTTGGACATCGTATTCTGGCCCTGAAAGTTTTTCACTTCTTTAGCTACTTTAAATTTGGAATTCAAACGCTCGAAAGACTCTGTTACGGCGAAGGATTCCGCTTACCTCTTCTTGAGCCTGCGCACCACCGAAGAAAGAAGACTCCGCACGATTAGAGAGACGACGCAGAAGACCGTTAAAGGTAGAGTGACTTTTTGAAATAGTACGTCTGCTCTCGGTCGGAAAGTTACGATTCGGGATACGAGGACGCATAGAGTCTCTCAGCGATGGCTAGGATAAATGGATTGAGGCATTTCGAGTGAAAGGCTCGGTATAACATACGCGGATGTGTCAGGCGACTTTGGATTTCTTGGGGGAACAAGAGACTAGGCCATACCATATTGCATTGAGGTGTGGATGAAGATCCAATCATGCTAGTCCATGTGGTATCTTGGTATGCCCGAGGTGCTTGGTGGTAAGCGGTTCCACCAATAGGACAGAGTCAACTGTGTGCCATTCCCGGCCCATGTACAAAATACCACAGAAGTCTGAGGTCGTATAGGCTCACTGCTGCGCTGGCACACCCCAACTGGTGATTGTGCATTGACCATGCAGGCATCATCACCGTGGGGCAGAAACGCGATGGCTTGGTGCACTCCTCATTCTGATTAATTTTCCTGGCAAGCCCATTGCGTTGGTCTTTGAGTGCCCAGCCGTCAGATACGAGGTTTCGGGATGCTGTAGCTCTGTGGCTATGGGCGTATTTTGGGAGGCATTATCAAGAACTTCAGAATCGCTCGTGCAAAGTCTTCCTTGTGCGAAGACTTGCTAGAATACTGACAATCTTGGTAAAGTTATCGATTGAAGAGTATCAAGGTTACTCCAAAATCGCCGCAGACATGCAGATCTGGTGAGGAAAGCGGAGGCATTCGCATATTCTTCAGCATGAGAGTTGGTGTCAAGCCCAGCTGAGAAGTCCAATTTTCCTCTCTTGCTAAGCACAACTCGAGTCACTGGCTTACACGCTTCCTATAAGTCCATCCGCTGATAATGCCGGCGAAGCTGCGATGATCTGCAGGTAGAGTTCGCGGAATTTTGGTGGGGTCCCTCGGGAAGCAGGGGGGTTACCCGTGTGCCCGTGTACCCGGCTCCTCGCTTAAAGTACCTTGAACCACGGAATTCCCATATACTTGAGTATAGGGCTGACGCCGACGTCCGAATTTCGGAAGCAGCACCCCAGCTTCAAAAGTCAATTGTAGAATTTTCAACCCAACTTCATTGGGTACTGCCTGCTAAATGATCGAGATATGTCTTCCGTGAACCAGGTATATATAGCTGTTATAGGTGAGTTGCTGAGCTGGTCGATATTGTTTCTGATGTCTTTTTTGCGTGGCCTATATCTCTTCTCCCGCGGAAAGTAACAAATCAAAAACCGAACTCGCAATTGACATTTTCTGCTCCTGTCTAGAATGGACTGATTTCTCCAATCGATGGCCACTGTGATCTGAAACTTTTCGGCAACATGTGCTATTGATTCTTTCAGGTTCCTACATTCTTCGTGCTCGTTTCTCTAAAGCATGAGCGAAAACATTTCCTGCGACATAATCTGACACCCCCCAGGAGCCGGCGGCGTAGGCCGCCACTTCATCTCCCAGCTCTCTGTCCTCAGTCACAAAGTCCCCAATATCTCCCTCGTCCTCATCTCCCGCTCCACCAAAAGCCTCCGCGCCTCCCACCGCACCACCCCCCTCTCCCTCGAGACATGGGAAAAAGATCTCGAAGCATCCACCTCGCCCGCCCTCACAGTCGACCAGACTCTCAAGTTCCTACAAGAACTCCCCGACAAGCGCGTCCTGATTGACAACACCAGCAGCCAAGACGTCGCCGACGCCTATCCCGCATTTTTGAACCACGGCATCAGCGTTGTGACGCCCAACAAGAAAGCTTTCTCCAGCAGCCTCGACCTCTGGCATTCCATCCACGAGTCTTCCTACCGCCCGTACGATCCTTATCTCGGCCGCGGCCTACTGTATCATGAATCCTCCGTCGGCGCCGGCCTCCCCATCATCTCCACCCTCAAAGACCTCATCGACACCGGCGACACCGTCCGCCGCATCGAGGGCGTCTTCTCCGGCACCATGAGCTTCCTCTTCAACAACTTCGCGCCCGTGGACGGCAAAGGCGGCAAATGGAGCGCGGAAGTCCGAAAGGCGAAGGAGGCAGGCTTCACCGAACCGGACCCCCGCGACGATCTCAACGGCGTCGATGTAGCGCGGAAACTGGTGATTCTCGCGAGGCTGGTGGGGCTGCAGGTTCAGAGCACGGAGAGCTTCCCCGTGCAGTCGCTTATCCCGGTGGAGCTGGAAGGGGCGGAGAGCGGAGAGGTGTTTATGGAACGGTTGGGCGAGTTCGACAAGCAGATGGATGAGGTGAAGAATGAAGCCGTGCTTGAGGGGAAAGTGGTGAGGTTCGTGGGCAGCGTGGATGTGGGGAGGAGGGCGCTGAAGGTGGGACTGGAGAAGCTGGACAAGGCGCATCCGATTGCGGGACTCGAGGGGAGCGATAACATTGTCAGCTTTTATACGGAGAGGTATGGGGATCATCCGTTGGTCGTAAGGGGGGCTGGGTGAGTCCCCCTTTTTTCTTTTCTTTGTCTCTCCTCTGCTTCTCCTCTCTCCATTTCCTGGCGAGGCGTGAGATGGTGTTGGCGGTGTAGACTTCGTGAACATTACGCTAATAAAACTACGCATCACAGCGCCGGCGGCGCCGTCACCGCCATGGGCGTCACGGCCGATTTGATCAAAGTCATTCAGCGCGTCTCGTAGACGTGTCGAATCACTCTACCCTACATCCACCTGCGTCGTAGGCGGTGGACACGATCATAACTGTGCCCGAAAGAATATCCGATGCGAGCCTCGTCAACTATCTCAACTCCGAACTATCTTCCAAATCCTCAGCCTAGGGCTGTTAGCGAACCTTCAATCAAGTATCGTATGTAGAGGGCGCTGAATCAGCCTGTCCGTCCATCCATCCATACTTACATACTTACTTACTACACGGGCGCCTACCCCCTTTTGATTGTATACATTGAACCAAACAAGTTGTAGATAAGATGAAAATGCACGTATGGTGTCTAGGTATGTTCGTTCGGTGATGTAGATTGGATCGAACACCGTAATCGATGGGTCGGCGAAGTAATCTAAGATATACTCCAGAGATGGAATCTTCTCGTGCAGGAAGGAGCTCAGGTGCGAGTCTTGGTTTCTTTTGCGCATGTTGATGGAAGGGAGAGGGGGAATAGGGGTCAAAGGGGAAGGGAGGGAGAAACTGAAATGAACATAGTGTAGGTATTGTTGGTAAGTCATCTTGGGGATCGGTGTCGAGGATGTTTTTTGAGTTGGATGTATGTATGTAGGTATGTATGTATGTATGTATGTATGTATGTATGTATGTATGTATGTATGTATGTATGTATGTATAGGTCTGTCTACTAGACTAGATTGTGCATGCTCAACGTGTTCCAAACTAGCCGCTTTTGAGAAGTCTTTGATCGATAATCGGTTCGACGTTGGGGATGTGAGGTATGATTACGTGTAGGGATTAGAGGTGGTGTGGTTGATGAGGTTGATTAAGGGAAATAATAGATGAGTAAGTAAGACACACATGCTTTTCAACCCTCAGCTCCCTCGACAGCGTTTGTATTGAATTGCAATCTAGGTGTCGAGATGTCATGCTTGGCTTATCGGAGAGAGAAAAAAAACCTTAAGGAGAAACCTAAAAAAGAAAAAAAAAAGGCAAACAGACAAGATCGATGCGCGTTTAACTATCAATATGTATCTTTCTCACCAATCAAGGAGGCACATCTTTCGTGTTCGTTGTCAACGACGAGTTCGCCGTCTGGGAAGTTTCCTCACGGAATGATCCTCCAGTATCACTTCCCCACTCGGATGCTTTCGACTTTCGATTCTGATACGACGCTATGAATTCGCCCAAGCCTTCGGGACCGTTGGAGCCTGCGTGCTATGTATCAGCCTAGATACTCTGTTCAAATGCAAATATGAAAGTCAAAGTGCTAGCCGATGTTGCAGTTGTTGTTGGCGGGGGATTATTTCTTTGGACATCCTTACCATAAGCATACTCCCTCGGCCTCACCTCCGCGTTCTCATCGTCGAGAAAATGCAGCAGCGGCGTCCAGATCTTCCAACTCGCATCTAGCTCGTCTCCCCGCACACTTCGAGCCTTATCCCCTTTCAGCGCGTCCAGCAGCAACACTTCGTATGCTTCTGGTATTTCGCGGCCGTGGTACGTAAGGTCGAGGTCCATGGCTGAGGTTTTTTGGGTGGTTAGGGATGGGACGAAGGTGTTTATGCTTAGGAAGACGCCTTCGGACGGCTGGACGCGGATGGTCATTGTGTTGCTGGCGAGCGGGTCGGTGGTGAAGATTGCAGCGTTAGTGGAGGGTTTGAAGTGGATTTTGATTTCGGTCAGGGATTCGTTGAGAGCTGAGAGAGGCGTTGAACGTTAGCTGCGTGGGAACAGGAAAATTGGAATAGCGCCAGATAGGAATCTGTCTACCTTTGCCAGCTTTGAGCAAAAACGGAATCCCCGCCCATCGCTCATTTTCAATGTGCCCTACTGCTGCGCAGAAGGTGGCGCATCTGGAGTCATTGGGGACGTCTTCCTCGTCTTTGAAAGCGGGCTTCTCGCCATCTTCGGATTTTTCGTACTGTCCAATGATGGTGTTGACGTACTCGATGGGTAGCATCCAGTCCAAGACTCGGGCCTAGAAGAAATGTCAGCAAAGATGATTCCACATCGCCAGGGGACAGGAGTAAGAACCTTTTCGGCGCACAGATCTTCCGCTGAGAAGGATCTCGGTCGCTCCATTGTGAGCAGTGCGAGTATCTGCGTTAGATCTGCGGCGACGGTAAGACATGAAAATTTTGAAGATGGAAAGAGACTTACGGTTCTGCATCACGTCTCGAATAGCTCCTACACCATTAAAGTAGCTGCCTCGACCTTCTGCTCCTCCAGATTCTGTTATTGAGATCTGGAAACTTGTCAGAGGCTAGAAGTTAAGTTCGCGAAAGATAAAGCCTACCTCGATGTTATCAATGTGCCTGGCGTTCCAAATGGCCCCGAAGATCTCGTTTCCAAACCTCAATACGAGAAGGTTGTTTACGACTTCTTTTCCGAGATAGTGATCCACGCGGAAGATTTCATCTTCCCTCCAGTTGGGATCCAAGGCCCGCTGTAGTTCTCGTGAACTTTCGAGGTCGTGGCCGAAGGGTTTCTCGATCTGGAAAACAGCGTCAACAGCTCTGTGCCGGATATTCGGCACTTGATTTAGTTTCAAGACAGGAAAGTGTACTGACGATGATTCTGCTCGCACCTCTCTCAGAATAACAGTGCTTCCTCAAACCCTCTTGCATGCCCGTGAAGATACTCGGCGGCAACGCCATATAGAACAGACGATTCTGCTCTTTCTTTCCTGTCCCAAGCTGCTCAAGTCTCCTCCGGAGAGCACGAAAAGACTTTTCACCTCCCTCATGGCCGGATACGTAAGAGCATCTTTGGCAGAATTGCTCCAGTTGCTCTGCAAAACGCGGACTCTCGAGGTTGATGGGCGATCTGATGATGGAGAGGAAGTTGTCATGGGTCATCTCATCCGGGGCAAAACCTACGATCTTGAAGTCGGTGGGAAGGAGACATCTTCGTTCCTAAAAGCTTATTAGGCGTGCTAGCTATTCTTTGGGTTGTGGGTGCGGCCTTACGAGGCCAAAGAGTGCTGGAAACTACGTAAAGCTGTTAGTACCAAATATCGGTCTTACAGAAGTTGAACTCGCCAGCTTCTTCTTTGCAAGATCTCCTGAAGCGCCCAGTATCACCAGAATGGTGTTTTCTTGTATCTCAAGAGGGGCCGACATCCTGTCTCGGCTCTGGCTTGTAGAAGCTCGACGCAATCCACTCTCGTCGGTCTTTCAGATGTTCCAAACAAATAGATGTTCAAACCGTAAGATGATGCAAGAAGAATTATATCCTAGGAGGTATTACAAGGCGGTCGATTAATTAGCAGGTCTTCAGCTTTTTCTTGAAATTGTCATCCACTTCTAGTGTAGATGTGCATAGATCCGTTTGATTGAAAAGTACTCTAGAGAAAGCGGTCGCATGAGCGGTAGGCGTGAAGCATCTCTGGTGTGATGCTGATGCTGATACTGTCGGTAAAGAGCAGTGACATGATTTTTGCGGTGACTCCAAATCTGGGCAAACGGCACACGTCATCGCAGTACACGAACAGCAAGTCCGAATCGAGCAAACAACATTGGCAAGGAGCATCATTATCATCATCAGCGAGATCAGTACCTCTATTCTACTTCACTTATTACGAGTACAACTTGGAGGAAAAGAGGTAGAATGATGCTTTGCTTTCAAAAGGAAGATCCTACACTGCTAGTGCAGCTCCCGCGTGTACGTAAAGGCCAGGCTCAAGAGCCAAAGCCTGCTTTGATGATACAATGATACAATGACATGCCCTGAAGCACGTCGCGCTTTTGCTGTCGAGGGGCGTAATGAATACACCACCGCCCATCTCAAATCCCTTTCATCCATCAGGCACCCTCGATCGAGCAAAAAGAAACCTGTTCCCATCACAATGCACTGTAGACACTCTGGTAGAGTCAATGCCTTACTTCGCTTGACTCCTTGTCCTTTTACCCACCCCCATCGGTTTGGCAGCAGGCTTTTCAGGCTTCTTCTCCTTCTTTGCCTTGGGCGCTGCCTTGGGCGCGGAGGGATCCTTCGCAGGCCTCCCCCTTCCCTTCTTCTCTCCCTCAGCTTTAGCCGGCTTCTCTTTCTTCTCCTTTGGCGCAGCCTTCTCCTTCTTCTCCTTCGGTTCCTTCTTTTCCTTTGGCGTAGCAGCAGCGCCCTTGGGTCTCCCCCTTGACTTCTTCGCCTCCTTCACCTGCTCGGGTTCTTCGGTGGCTTTGCGCTTGTTGGCAGGGGATTTGGCGGGAAGTTTGGTTTTGGCGGGCGTGGCTTCGGGCTCTTCCTCGGCGGGAGAATCTTCTTGTTCTTTCGTGCCGTTGGCGTCACCAGAGGCTTTTTCTTCGACGTTAAGCTCGGATTGGTTCTTCACGACGTCGTTGCCGGGGCGGGCGAGGTGGATCGCAGGGTCATTGGGTTGGGCGGATTTCTTGATGGTGTTGCCGCGTTTGGATTGGACCGAGACTTCGCCTTCGGCTTTCTTTTCGGCGACTTCTCCGGATGGGGTGGAGCCGTTCCAGTTCCAGGAGGCTGTCGATAAAGAAGGAATGTCAGTCGCATTTGGTAAACATGGGAGCAGATCTTGACATTCAGAGATACAGTACGCTCAAATTGATGGGTAGAAGCCGCAAAATGAGAGTGGTTGCTCACGCGCAACGCGCTGCAAGAAGCTCCACGTACCTTTGTCGCCAACCTCGGGCGTCTTCTCGCTAGCCATGTCGACTGATAGGCTTTGTTGAGATAGAGATACGGGATACGAAGCGGTGGATGGAGTCGCGAGGTTGATGCGACCTAGTTCAAATGAGAAGATTGTATATCGATGTTATGATGTGTGAAAGGAAGGAAGGAAAGAAGGGCGAGAATGAAGCTGAGGTTGCGCCAGAAGGGGGGAGTTGTTTTGTCTTGGCGATTCTGGCGCGGCGATCGGCGACTTGGATTATGCGCTAGTGTGGGCTAGTAAAATAGCACTGGCAGAAAGACCTCATGATGAAGGTAAGAATGTTCCGTTATGTATCGGCAACCAATAATGAAAAGGCTTATGTTAATAGTGATCAGTGACCAATGACCAGTGTACGAGATGTGATAGCACCACCCATTAATCCTTCAATATAGAGCACTGAATTCAAGTGAGCCAGACAAGTGCCTTGCTGGCATGCTTGTCATTCAATTCGACTATAGAATACATGGGTGCCTCTCTAATGAGGATCAAGTCACTCCCTTTAGGAGCCATCTCCTATTCATCAGATGCTCCATAATATGCTGAAACCCAGCTGTCATACCTTTGTTGCGAGAGAAGAGTGCGCACCCAAGTGAAAGGACAAGTCGTCGGAAAGTAGCATCTGTGCATGCACCGGCACTTCTAGAAACTAGTGCCCATAGTTGGCACCCCATCCACCGCGATTGCTGTTTCCATAGAATCCCGAGCCATACCCAGGCCCGTAAGCTCCGTAGCCACCGGCTTGGTGATTCTGTCCTGCAGACTGATGATGCCCGCCGCCTAAGCCTCCGGGCCCTCCACCGTATTGCGAGCCCTGCTGACCATGCATCTGATGGCCCATATATCCACCGTAGCCTTGTTGACTCTGACCTTGACCTTGGCCTTGGGATTGTGGCAATCCTGTCTGACCTGGAACATTTGCAGCAGACCCGGGACGTCCTCCAGGCTGGCCTAACGCAGGACTGGGGCCACCAGGTACTTTGGACGAATCACCATAGTTGCGAAGTGGGTCGTCGTTGCCGCTCTGTTGGCCCATATGAGACCCAAGCCCCGAGTTCTGCGACTGGTAAGTCGACTGAGAACGGCCAAACACATCGGGCATGCTACCATGGTTGCTAGCACCAGCTCCGGAATATTGCTGAGAGTTCTCTGGTGGTTGTGTCGACCCAGTACGCCCATAGTTGCCGAGACCTCCGGGAGCAGCGCTGTCTCTACCAGATGACGCGTGCTGTTGTGCGAATGCACCTGTGTTCGCTGGTGATGCTGAATGCTGGTCGTAGCCCGTCTGCGGGGATGCCCCATACCCTTGATGTGGTTGACCATACATGCCTTGCTTCCCTCCGGCACCTCCGAAAGGTCCTCCTCCATATCCGCCTTGGCTGCCGCCGTACCCGTACTGAGGAGTTTGTGTAAGATACTGATCATCATATCGACGGACGTCGTCAAACATCGGACGCTCGCGACCATATGGATGATTACTTACTTGATGTTGGTTCGCGTATGAGGCATAGTACGGGTGGCCATAGTACGGATGACCATAAGGATATCCTCCATGCTGGCCTCCAGCCTGGCCTTGAGCCTGTTGCTGAAGCATTTGATGCGGTTGACCTGGCTGTTGTTGACCGGATAAAGAAGGGTTCGGGGTCGAGTGGCCGCTGGTTTGAGCTTCGCCGGTTTGGCCGAATCGGTTCTGAGATTGTTGAGCTTGAGTGGTTGCGTACTGAGATCCTTGCTCGGCTGCAGATGAACCGAAAGCACTACTTCCTCTCTGCTGAGATGCGCTAGCATCTTGAGCATTCTGCTGCGATTGCTGACCATAGGTTCCGTAAATGCTATTCTGATAAGCATTTCGCTGACCATCGGAGGTGTGGTATGAGGACATGTCGTTTGACGTAGACGAGTAACCGCCCTGCTGAGGCTGGGTCTGTTGGTGAGGCGGGTTTTGTCCCTGGGAAGTAGAGGGATAGTTATCGAACTGCTGAGACTGCTGGATCTGCTGACCGAACGGCTCATATGCCTTCTGCGCAGGCGCCGATATCTCTTGCTGAGGCGCCTGTTGTCCATAGCGATTGTACGCGTATTGCGAATTTTGGGACTGGAAGCCTGTGTCATTTGGCAAGGCTTGACTTGGCTGCTGTACGGCAGATGGTTGAATTACGGGTGGCAATCCTGGAGCTTGTCTAGGTGTCGGAAGAGGATCGTTCACCTGAGGTTGAGATGAGAAGCTCTGTTGCTGAGGCGCCGGTGGAAGTGCAGCTCTTGGTGCAATTGGAGAATGCTGAGGTGGTTGCGCCCGAGTCTCAGCGTCTTCTCGATCACTGTCAACGTCCACATCTTCCGTAGTCCCGTTCAGCCCCATGCTTCCGAATTGCACCGCTGCCCGATCAACTGCATGCTTCCCCGGCATTACCACAGCCTCTTGCTGCTCCTGAATCTTTCGCTGGTAACTCGGCGAGCGTCCTGGCATTCCTGTCGCTTTGTATGCACTCGTGGCAAAACCGCCAAGTGGAGGCCGCGAACCTGATTTTTGCTGAGACGGATGAAGGGGAGTGGCACCACCTGCTCCATTTTGTGGATCTATGGTGCTCGCCACTGTACTGGCTGCAGTGGCTGACGGTGGAGGTCCAGAAGCATCGAGGACCTGTTCGAGGTTTGTCTCCGTCAATTCATCCTTCGAAGGGGTAATATTGGCAGGTGGCTCGGAGGCTGCCAAGTCAGATGTTGGAGGAGTGTTTGGGATTTCCGATGTCTCATTCACCGTTACAGGTGGCGGTAGCCCAGGCATACTCGTGTCCTCGGGAATCAATGTGGACGTAATTGGTGGCTGAACAGGGGCATCATGGCTCGGGACTGCGCGAGGTGCCTTGGGTGGGGCAGGGGCAGGGGCAGGCTTGCTGAACATGCTAGCCCAGCTACGAGTACCATCAGGCTTCGAGGGTGGCTTAACCTCTTCGACTGGTGGTGTAGGTGCTACATCTGCCGAGATGTTCTCCCAGGATGATTCCATCGGTGTGCTGTCTGCTGCTGGCTGTTCCCAACCAGCAGTTGCACCATCTGAGACCGGTGTGTCTAATTCGGATGTATTCCCTGCAGGGATTGAGTTGGTCTTGCCGGCGCTTGTACTACGCACGCCGTTGGCTGCAGAAGCACCTCTGCCGCCGCGCGGTGCCCCTCTGCCACGGTCTGAGCCACGGCCTCGACCGCCGCGCACGCTCTCAAATCCACCTCTTCCACGTCCACCGCGAGCTGAGGTCGAGACCTCCGCGCCGGATGATGGCTCTTTGGCCTTTGACTGAGATCGTTCTTTGGTCTTCTTCTTCACCTCGCCCCATTGAGAAATGTTACCTGTAGAAGCGGATCCCATTAACGGACGGCATTCAAATCAAGTAGATAAAAGCGGAATACGTACCCTCGGAGATTCGATCAATGGTCCCCTCCAGATCACCGTTAGTCTCCTGCAATGCGAAAACGAGGTCCTCGTCGGTCCAGTCTGGGAACATTTCTTTGATCGTGCTGAGCTTAGGGGCATACATCTTCTTTAGGTCTCCAAGCTCTCCTTCGTCTTCATAGGGTATTTCTGTAGGGATCTCTTCTTTGTGTCCGTTTGCTTGTCGACTGCCGCCTCGACCACCTCGACTGCTGTAGCCTCCGCGACCTCGACCGGAGCCTCGACCTCTTGGAGCCGATGGCCGCGATTTTACTTCCGACATGATGAAGATGTTGTGTACTGTACGTGAGGAGGTTCGGTGATTGTTGGACAAAGGACTGGAACTTAGTTGTTCCACGTGAGGTCTTCGATCTTCAAGGGCGAAGGCCTAGGTCGAACTCACGAAGAAACCAAGGCGGAATAGAGTAATTTGGGCAGACGTATGAAGGAGGAGAATTGGACTCAGGAATAGGAAGAGGCAAGGTTGAAAGAATCGACGGTGATCTTTGTGAAGCTCTGCCAGCCCTGGTCACGACTAAAGCGCGTATCCTAGAGTCAATTTGTGTTTAGCGCCCGCTGCTTACTAAGGAGCCGCTTCGCTACCATCATGAATTGATGACCCCTCGTGCCCTTGCCTCACTTCGCTATTGACATGTCACAATTGACATGTCTACAAATAGTTGAAGAGAATACATTGATTCACCATTGTTGTTCATTGCATGCTGTGCCGACAAGGACACAATGCAAGTGATCAAATGCCTTGTTGTTGAATTCACTTCCTTACTTTGCTATTGCAGCCTACTACTACCTGCACCATCATCCCGCCCAATATGAAGACAGCTGTAGCTCACAGTTGGAAGTCTTTAGCGTCGAAGTTACATCCTCCTCTGCCCCTGTCGGCTCGAGAGTCACAGCGGCTCCTTTCACTCCTCAACGCCTCTTTCGAGCAGCAACTTGACCGCGAATATTCATCCGAATCGTCAAGCAGCGAGCACTACGCCAACCATCATCTACAATCCATTTTGACAAACCCCCTCTTCGAGGCAAAGCCTCTCTTCGAGGCAAAGCCTCGAATGCGTGCCTCTTCCAGCAAGAAAAGTCACTTCAGTGGAAGGCGCCTGGGACAGCTACAAACCCTTATGGAACGACCTATGGACGCCTTCAAGGAGCGGGTCTCCCAGGGAACAGCAGATTTGGGGACAGCAAAGGCTTTCCTCAATATCCAGTACAGGGCTTGCTTGGCTTCTCCGGCCGCCATGCCTAGGGCAGCGATGCAGTCTTCTGGAGCGGCACCGACCATCCTCCAATGGCTGTGGTCTTCTGGCATGGAGGACACAGGAGAATTCCTTACGGACCAGGAGTTTGTCGCTCATTTGGTCCCTTTCCTCATTGCAGAGGGCCGGCAACCTCGGATTCTGCGCTGGCTACATCGGTTCCACAACCCGGAAGAGAAGCCATTCCCGAGTCTACGCGGATTGGAGACCTGCCTCATAAAAGGCTTCTTGTTCGCAAGGATGATCGAAGCAGAGGCGAAAATTGGGGATGGACTGGAGTCTGCAATCACTTTATTTATTCGAAGCCTTGATGGGCTCCGGAGCTCTGGGTCGACCAAGCGTTCATTGCAGAACGGTGCTATACGGGCAGCGTGGATGCTGACAAAATCCATTCTTCGTCTGCAAAAGGCAGCGCGGCCTGAGCCTAGCAATATTCAATCCTTTTTAGAAAAGATGCGAACTTTCGATGCCGACCCCCTACTCAGTGCAACCCTTAGCATCTATATCTCGGAGCGGCGTGATCCCCAGCCGGCTTTGACATATCTTCAAAATACCTTCCCTAAGGCACTAGTGAACAGGAATGCTGGGCAGTGGTCTCATATTGTTCATCTTGGGTTGAGAGCAGCGGAACTGTTTCTACGGGATGGTCGCCAAACCGAAGCCCTCTGGATCATGGGATTCCTGCAGGAAAATTTCGCACTCGAATTAGCCTCGCGGCCAGACCCAACTCGTAAAGTTCGTGCCTCCGGTCAACCCGAGATGATGTCGAGAACGGAGGAGGACAGTCTACTCTTGCTGGATACGTTGACAGCACAATGAATATACCTTGCGTCCAAGGCCTGTTGACTGTTAAGTGCACAGAACCATGGCTTTATCATCGCAGGGAGCGACAAAGGATCTAAGAGGTTTTCGCTTGTTCATGGCTAAAACGATGCTCTGATCACCGGCAGTGTTGCCGTTCGATCAGACTCATCTTGTCTCTAGCGGTACCAGTCTACTCGTTTGGTATAACTCATCAGTCGCTGCAAATACCGTCTGGCTCCGCATTTCAATCACGCTGAAACTGGGAGCCTGCGGACGTCGCATGTGCACAGCGAGCGATCGCTACTATCGCGAAAGAACCTTACTGTTGAAGTCTTTGGGGTCGACTCCAGGGCTTGCGCAAATGATGGACACACCATTGTTTCAAGTTGAAGCTCTGGTCATATGCATACTTGCACAGTGTATGTGTCCTTGGAAGATCGAGCAAATCAAGCTTGTGCAGTAGGGTTCTCGCCATCGACATCCAGTGGCATAAGTCGAGGGCTTGCATCGATCACTTTCCTCTTTCTTAAAGTGACGTACGGGACGCTGCTTTCTTGTGACTTAAGCCAGCTGCTTGTTGTGTTTAACCAAGTTTGCCTGGTTGTTTTACCTCCGTTTCGGTGATGGCTAGAAAATGGCTGGATTTGCAAAATTATCCCATGCTGTTCTGAGCTTTTCTATGGTTGGATACGCGGGACTGGGCTGGATATGGTGAGCATGTGTGATAGTGCTCCGCTTTCAAGGGCTCATAGTCAAAAGCTTTGGCGATTAATCTTTCCACAAAGCCAGCCTATTCAAAACATCAAGTGTCAAATTCGTCAACTGCTTCAAGGTTTGAGGGCCCGCCCCAGGCATAGTTTTTGATCCTGAGCTCTGAGAAATAGAACTATCGCTTGATCTTTCAGCCGATAAACGATCCTACGGCTCGCGGCTGTTCTCGGCTTATCATCCCCCTTCCTCGAGACGATGCTCAAAATCGAGGACGAATCATGGCTGGAGATCGGTATCGCCTTTATAATTCCTCAACATTTTTCTATTTAGCGGAGTTTATCACCTCCTCAAAGGAAGCCTTCCGTGCTCATGGTACTTCGCTGATTTGTGGCCGCTTGCCGAACCCTGAATAGAAGCTCCAGCCAGGGTCAAAGTTCTACTCCGAGCTTGTACAGACCATGCAAGCCTCCACCGTTCGAAGCAGCTGTGACTATTGGAATCGCCAGACAGCGCTTGGAAGATCTTCGAAGCAAACAAAGGAACTTTGGACGATGACAGCAACACCAGAGATCGAGCACAATCAAGAGTATCTTGACTGCTTTGATGACTGCTAGTTTCTCGGAGTTTTCAAAACCAGATGCAAAACCAGGTGGATCATCCCCTCAGATTCCATTGGCATGGGAATGGTCGGTCGAAGCCAGCTTCCGAGTGTTGTGAGTCCATCCCATCCACATTCTCGTACGCCGCCAGCCTTTCAACAGCCAGCGCTGCCAAGATATAAATTCACGGCGCTTTGATCCACGAGCTTTGCCATGAATTACTGCAAATCTATGGCCGCATATGCCATGTTTCCATGGCCATTTATATACCTCTATGGATTTGAGCGCCATGGTAAAGTCTGGGCAGATCTCTTTCTGGGTTCGAACTGCCGTAAGCACGGATTGATTTCGGGCTGGACATGCAGCCTGGAGCACCGAACTTCGAATATGCAGCCGCTGATTGATTTGTGGCGGTTGGTGGAAGTGTCACCAAATCTCAAGCAGCAAATATCGGCCGGACACAGCGTAAATAGTCCTCACAAATGCAGCATTTGTAGAATTGCAGTAGGTCCCAAAACAAGAAAAAACAACCTTGCTCTCCAGTCTCCGACAACTAATGACTTTTCCCAGACATGCGTGGATGCTCCCGTCGCCTGGACTAGCCCTTGCTTCACCCCATTCGTGATACGCCTCCTGGTCGATAGTCTTACAGCGACATACATAGCGATCTTTCCACCCGTTCTGCTAGTAAGGGCCCTCTGGTCTGACGAGTTGTGAATCCAAGGGTTTTGGCATTGCAGGATGGCTGAAGTAGGTTTGCTGATCGGTGGAGATGCATTGGGGGGAGTGGGGTGCTCTCTACTCGTTCTTTGACTTTACTGCGTTTTGGGAGTGGAGAAGCAGTGGTTTGGTTTTGACAGATCAGATAAATTTGAGACATAAGGTTAAAGATCCCATCTATCTTGTTTGTTCCATTCGGGTTGCTAGGCAGAGCATGTCTGCAATGGAGCCCTCAACAGTATGAACATGGTCGTTCGTGGAGAATTGCAAACGCGTCTCTACATCTCTATCCCTATCTCTATCTCGACCCCAAGGTCCCCCAATCCACTACCGCCAAGCATACATAACACCTTGGCTTGATAATAGCGCACACAATTGAGAGGAGATACTTTGCTAAGCGTCCGACACAGCCGTCGACTTCCTCCGCGGCAAAGAGCACTCGAAACCCATCGCTGTTGATGCATACGGGCTCGCTTTCCACGCAAGAGCTAATCTTGATACCTAGCACGCCCCGTCGACGGCCAGCAAGCGCAGCCGCGTTGGCGCAACCTCCGCCGGCGTCATCGTACTCGCGTTCAAGTAACGCATGATCCGCAAGCTTTCGGCCTCGTCTGGATGCAGCGGTGGGAAAGGCGTGCGGGGCTTAGGGTTGGGGGTGCGGTCGTGGTAGAGGGTCCATAGCACTTCTTCTTCTAAGGAGGATCATCCGCGTTGTTCGAGTGGTTGTATAGTTGGTAGATGCGCCAGAACGTGGTGGTGCAGGTGAGGCGGGAGGGTGGGGTGCTGCGGGTTTTATATTAGTTTGAGAGGTGATGCGGAGCGGTGGAAATGGCGTGGTAAGGGTTGTAAGCGTGGACATCCCCGACTGTGAAAGACGCGTACGGCGGTGGGAATTGGTGCAATCGCTTTTTGACATAGTATGAGTAATGGCTAGAGACTTGCTTTCTATTCCTCTCTTTGCCCGAGCGTTTGTATATGGCAACCGAAATGATTTTGTTGCGACGTCTCTTGCCGTCCGGCTTTGCTACCATCGTTGCTGTTCGGGTGTGAGCTTAATGACACCCGGGCTTGGGATAGCATCTACCTTCGAGGTAGGCATCCTCGATATGTGGAGGCCAATGGTCACTATAATATTCCCGATATCCCTGCCTGAGACCAAGGTAATTAGAATCTCT